GCGACGTGCATACCTCTGGAGGGATTGGAGAAGTTTCAACAAAAACCTCCAAAACACGCTATTTATAACACCATTCATAGCACTGACGCTTCGATGTTCTCATCTATTTGCGGGAAATGGTCGACAAGGAAAACCCAACGTAATAACCGCACACTCTGTTATACAGGAGATTTTCCACAGTATATATTTCAAGCTGGTGAGGTTTCAAATCCATAAGTTGGTTGAGTGTTGGCGGTAAAAAAAGAAGATAAAAAAAGAAGATATAACTTCCTGATCAATTTTCACTTAGGTTGATTCAATTTTGAATAAGCTTTGCATATATGTATTTTTTCAAGAAATATTTCGCTTTAATATTATCCGAAGCCGTCAAAGTCAGCGACGAGTAATGAAATGGGAATAATTTTCTGAAACGTGATTTTATTCGAGATTTGCTTCGGGAGAAGACAACTTTCTGTCCGTAGAGCATGAATATTAATACTCATCACAAGACAGTGTCTTATTGATCTCAATTATGGTACATGTAAATATGTATAATTTTTATGTTCAATTAAAATGTTTCTTATTTTGCAGTTGTTATTATCATTCAATGATATTAAAATGACATGAAGTATTTATGATGAACAGTCCTAGAATATTTTGATAATGAACCGTCAGTTGTAAAATGGTATTATATGATCGTATAATGAACAGTAGTCATACCTGCTGGTATGTCATTTATAAATGGTTTTTAGGTTTTTCTTTAACAATCCGAATGTAGACCTCAATGAAATGTTCTGGAATATTAACAAAATGAATAGTCAACCATATTAACCATTTATATGAATGGCTGAACGATAAATGTCGCAATGTGCATATCTTCTTATTTAACAGCACATTTTAAGCAAAAAGAAAAGAAACTATAAGTCTGAAACATTCTGTCATAGCCTCCCCATCAGTACATTCAGTGCTTTGATTTTATACTCTTATTTATTTCTTATCAAGCTCTCAATCTCTTTTCCACCAGCGAGTTACGTTACAATATTTCGATAATATTAAACAGGGAACAATTGACTCATCCAATAATACAGAAATTTGTCAAATATATCTGCTAGAGCATTCATGACTCGCATAATTTGAACAATTAATACAAAAATAATATTAAAGTCAGATTAGTACTCATTTGAGACCTTCGTGAAAATGTACATGTATATCATGTGCTTTTTGCATAAAACGAATATTAATGGCCTATAGTTTTGAATGTCTAGATCAAAAATGTAGTAATTTGCTTAGTGTTAAATATACATCAACAGCCATTGAATGCAGATAAATATGCAAATATATGTGTATAAAATGTTAATGATAAATTAATTGCACTAGACACGCATAAAATTATTTACTAATAAATTGTATGCCTGAATTTCCTTTCCTATAACCTGATTTTTACTTCTCTCTATTTTACTTTTAGTCCGTCACATCCAGTGATTTCAGTGTTTTCATCCGAATTATAGAAAAAAAAGATATTTTTTTCTCTGGAAAATCATTCTGCGGATGTGTACGCGCGTGAGTGTGTGTGATTTTTATGCTTACAAAACTCAAGGTCTGGTTCGTTGTATAAAATGTACTTAGGTCTTTTTTCTGAACGTTTGTCAGATAAACTAAGACATACAAAATACACATTTGAAGTAGGACCCGTCACACTGTCATGACAAAAATATAGTTATCTTGATAGTTTAACCATGACCAAGGTGATGCATAATATTTATTAATTTCACGATAACACTCAATTTCATATAAACATATTTATAAGGATGTCAGTTTCCAACTACGTACGTTTAGCAAAATTCATCAGCGTGACGAAGATAAAAAACAACATGATAATATCAAGATAAAGTTAAATGTACTGAAATTGCTTTTGAATGATTTTTCTCACACGAAAATGTGCGTGCAACAAAAATTTTAACAAACAAACTCATAACTTGCTCTTTAATTTATGCAAAGTTGGTGTATTCCACTACTACACTCCTTAATGATCAACATTATTTTTGTCCAATCACATTGCAGTATTTTTTTTCAAATTTCTGCTTAGTCTAACTTTGGTAAATGTGTACTTACTAAATAAAATTTACTTAATCCGTGGTCTAACCAGTCTAACTAATTCCAATAATGCAATATATTAGGGAGGAGTAAGAGGTGTGGTTTGCACTCTGAATTGTAAAATATCTATCTCAACTCAGGTCAAAAGGTCATGTGTTTCTAAATGTGAGGATACAATCAAATTTATTACATACATAAAACATGAGGGGCACGCAGAGACAAATGATTACATAGTAACTTTTTATACCCTTTTAACTCTAAGAAACAATTTCTGTTATTAATTGCTGACTGTTTTAAACATTATATTTTCTAGAAAAAGTAAACAAAACATTATTTTCTTTCAGCTGATAGGAATGAATTGCATTAACAATCCTTGATATTAAGAATACAATGATTACATTTTTGGACTGGAAAACTCATTGTAAATGGACCCTCTCCACCTCTAAACCTAAATTGACACACAGAAGAAAAAATGAACTGTTTTTTCAAATGAGCAAATCAATAGGGATTTTAAATGTTAGCTAACAACGAATTTGTATCAGTTAATAATCTCTAATATATTTTCTTGACATTTTCCTTTTATTTTAAAAGGATATACACATTTCATTAACTCCATTGTTTTTACCTAATTGCATCATTTTCCTCGCTGTTTTTTTCCACATATTTTATAGAAACACGATAGTCTTACTGTAGATAAAGGTATAAATTCTGTGACATTTCAGTAAAAAAGTGCCTGATTATATATTGAAAGGGCCAATCATTTAGCTTATCTAAATGTGACATGTTAGAAACTTGACAAGGTGTAGACATCTTGTAGAGCGAAAGGGCGGAGCTATCGGTGATTTATAGAAATGCCTTGTTTTTGTTTGAAAAAAAAGTTGATCATTAAATAGGTTAATGTTTAATAATACGCATTAACAAAAATAATTGGTCGCCTGTCTGCGGCAGGCTTGACCAATCATTTTTGTTAATACGTATTATTAAACACTACCATATACTTAGTTGCCGATACACCTAAATTTATTATTTGGACCCATTGACCATTTGCACCCATAATTCTCATGAATAAAGTCAATACACCCGTGTCTGCGGTTATCAACTTTTTGCTTATTTTCTATAAGGAGGGTTGGGTTTCTCTTTTGCTGAATTATTTATATGTTATTACAACACTTATTATCTTTAACTTCGGATTTTAGTGTGTATATCACAGACAAAGAAAAGTATGTCTTGAACCTTTAGCAACAACCAACCTTCTCCACCCCCACCCTTGATAGCTAACGAATGAAAGAAGTAAAACAACTATATGTATATGATGAAGTGCTACCCATCAGCTTATTATTACCTTGTAATTAAGGTAATTGTTTTTAAACGAGATGAAGAAGAATGCTGTGACCTCTCCTTTATTTTTAATTTCATATTACAGTTTTCAAATGGTTATTGTCGGCCTGGCGGCCATCTTTTTTAGCTTGGTGGCCATCTTTTTGCTTCTTTTACGTTAAGCCTTAAGGCAATACGTACTTTTAGAGTGATTCAGCATTTTGCATGGAATGCAAAATACATTTACCATTTTGTGTACAATTTATTACCTTTCTGACTTTCATTTGTACGGGGGTAATAAGTATTTCACATGTTCGTATTCTAAATATATTATTACAACATCATGAAACACATACTCGCCCTTTCAAACAGAACGAAAGTTTTACATATAGCTGAGGCATTATATGATCTTAACAATACTCTGTATAAATAAGTTTTGGTGGTCATTCAATAGTATTAAACCCGTCAATTCGAAAAGAAATATTAAACAATTAAATTAACAATATTGTAACGATCAGGCCCATCATTTTACATCCGAAAATGAACCCGTATCCGGAAACTACTCAAGTACCAAAGTAATTCACTCTACTCTATGACATCGATTTTAATCATCAAAACATACACTGTATGCACAGATAACTTCATCCTTTTAATATCTACGATGGTTATATTACTTAAAATAACTTATTTTCTACGTTTTTGCCGTTTTAATTATCAATTAGCCACACGCTGCCAATTTAAACATGGCAGCTGGCACTGGCTAAATTTTTGCCCGCGCGAGACGGAGACGATGACGATACTGCCAAGCTAGGCACCATAGCCAAGCTAGCCATTCAGCGTCCGAGACTATAAATAGCAGCCCGAATATGCCAGAATTGTCAGTACCTTGGTAGATAGCCACCAGACCACACCTATACTTTACAGCTACAATCTATACTATATTGAATATGGATGTATCTCCAGCCACCAGAAAGGTATATAATACTTTATGCCAGTAATAGTTCATATAGAAGCTTTATGTTAAATCATCTAGTTTGGCATTATTTTCCGTTTATAATAAATCCTGACTGAAGACCAAGTTTCCATAGTCATAATCCTATATTTAATAGTGATACCCATATACCAGGGTAGAACACCACTGTATTTTGTAGTCACCATTTTAGATACCCATCAACCTTATAGCATTTCATGGTAATTCCTACCATAGAATTTGTACCAGACCACAGTCAAGACGTGACACCGTATTTGTCAAGCCTTTCATTTCATCTTATATTATACATTATTCTAGACGTAACAGAAGAATATTCCTGACCTAAGACGAGGAGCCCAAGCCAGAGCCATCCACAGAATATACTATATACGAATTTTATTGTTTGTGAAATGTATATTTAATAAATTGTTGTGTTAATCTTATTTCAGGTGTCCATATCATTTAGTACTTGTGTCCCTATTTTCCCTTATCCATTTACGTGTGTTTGAGAAGAACCCACGTGTCGATATTGAAGTGTGTCCGGGCTAGCAGACTCCGGGAACGTTTCAATATACTACATGATTTACATGAAAGCGCTAACAAAAACAAAATGAAAGTTTTTTTGGTGGTTTTTATTTAAACACTGCAGAAGGAACAGTTATCTCGCTTTAACATTATAGCAAAAACAAAATAGTCATTCTGAATCACATTTTTATTATCGAAAACAGACTTTATCATTTGATAGAAATAGATTAATGTCTGGTTACATAAGTGTCGGCTTGATAGAAGCAAAGATATTATTCACTTGAGTTGAGTCTGTAAAATATATAAAAATACAAGTATAATATATAAAAATACAAATGTCTTTTTACTAAAATAATCACCCACTAAAAACAAAGTGATTTTACCTGCATTCTTTTACAAAATATATAAATTTTGTGTTTATTTGTTGGCCCATATAGAAAAGGACAATTAAAGCATTAAAACCTGTTACATCTTAGTATAACCAAATGAAATACATGTATTTATTTCACACTTTATAAAGTATAACCAATGAACTTTCATTGTCTGAATCACGTGATGTTCCAATAGAAATCATAATCGGATCTAAAATTTTCAATAAAGCCTCGTTTCTATTTCCAGAGTACAATGCATCCTTATCAAATGCACATATCACATCCAATAAAGCCTCGTTTTAATTTCAAGAGTTTGCTGCATCTACATCATATGCATATTGTACTCCATCTTGCCTCATTTTCAGGGTCAAAAATTATATCAATTCCTTACAATACTTTAAGAAACAAAGTACTGTTAAAATGTTTAAAAATGTAAAAACGAGGTCATTATACAATGTTGAGAACAATACTTATTCAATTGAACTCGTACACATCAACAAAACCTATATCACACTCGGCTAGCCGCTTGTCTAATAAAGAATTGACTCTTATGTACTCCTACAATAGATTTCAGTATGAAACTCAACAATGTACATATATATAGTATTGTATACTGATAGACAAAGATTATCTGCTTTACAATAATGCGCTCTTGCGACTTTGGATATTAGTAAAATAATAATAATCAAAATAAATTAATTATATAAATTATCTTACTTCATTTCACAGAGAGGTCGAAATTTGTTGGTGCATGGTTCGTCGACCCAAAGATGTTGAAAACTCTCCCAGAACGCGGCACAGTTGGACACTCTTCCATTGTTGGGTTGGTGCTTCCCCCAATCAAAGAAAGTGACCTCTTTCAAAGACGGATAGTGCCTCCAGTCACCTTCCTGTTCTACGTCAGTCAAACCGATCCAGTGATTTGGTGCTTAAAAAAGAATGCAACATTATTAACTCATGCAAATCTTAGTTTTCAAGTAGGTAATTATAATTAATATAATCAGTAAACAATTGCTTACCGGACATTTTACATAAATAAGATTCTACTGCTCACCGGATATTTTACATAAATAACTTTCTCTATGAAACTAAAGTCATAGTTTTATTTCCCAGTGTCGGGATGCCTTTATATTTTATGACTGTTACGGGTTTAAAATGCGTTATGATTAAGTGTCTATTTATAAAAAAAATGAATAAACCTTCACAAGTTTAATAGACATTAGCTAAAATAAACACTTCTATAAAATAATGTATTTATGTTGACAGTGCATAAGAAATTGATGTTTTACCTTTCAATTCTTTCAGAAAATTTCGGAGAAAGAAATTCTCAACAGAACTCTCTATATTCACAAGACCGGCGTCAAACTGTTTGCAATACCTCTAAAAAAAGAATTAAATGAATTATACTTAAGGTAACCAGATTTTGATATATATCAGACTTTATTTTTATATCAGGTTGAATTATATCAGGTTTCATTGTATCAGATTGAAATATAGGAGACTCAAGTTTACACCTTATAAAATGCAACATATTAATTTCCAGCGTTTGCACCATGTGATGGTCCAATAAAAATCATTGTTGAACCGTATCATATCCATTTAGCCTTATTTCATCTCCTGTGTCTTAAACATCCATATCAAATCCATATTGTACTCAATCAAGCCTAGATTTCATTTTTCGAGTCCAAATGAATAATATCAAATCCGTGTCATACTCGATATAATATTGCATTATACCAAAAATATATAATACTGCATATTATGATACTTAAATATCTTAGATTTGTTAAATTGTATTTAATCTGTAATTGTAATATGATTAAATGAGCTCCACTGTGGTAAAAAAGCATAAAGAAAATAAAATCTGAAATTCATACATAGATCAAAATAGGAAAAATCTGCAAATGATAATAAAGAAATACTTTCAGAATTTCACTGAACATGTGTGATTCTTAGCCTGATTTGAGCAAAAAGCGCTGCAACTCTTCATTTTCGGGTCATTTTGAACACTAAAAATGATTATTTTGGACATTCTGGTCAAGGGAATGGTCCTAAACTTTGCACACAAGTCATTTGTCATGACCTGCATCAAATGGTACACAAATCTCAGAAGTATGTTTCTAATCCTATTATGTCAAAATACATCAGTCCCTTGAAGAGAAATATAAATTAATCCAGGTAACTTATAGGTTTACAGGTTTATACAATTTATAAAACATTTACTGTATCAAAACTTTGCAACAATTTAGTTTTAAGATCATAAAGCAAGCGGAACATACCTGAGCCTCGTAGAACTGTACAGCATCTTTTCCAAATGTGTAGCATGAATTCTGAAAGTAGATCCATCCATCTGGACATGTTTCAGGTCCTGAATAAGTTTAAGATATAGCATGGATTTATAACAAATTACGGAAAATCACATTTGTATTAATGTCTTGTTAGACATTATTTATAATAAATCTTAAAGTATCCCTTTTCTTAATTTGATCAAAGAGTCGGTCGCTATCACCAGGTATTTATGATATGTCTAACAGTGTTTAATAGCGATAAAATATCATTTAAATGGAATAGTTTATTATTTTCATAAGAAAAACTTTATCAAGTACTGAATGTACAAGAAAAAATGCGTACACTGCTTTAAATATTTCAAAAAGATACAAACTACAGATATTTAACCACTTGCCTACTCATATATTGTATTCAAGATGCATTTAGTTGCTTTGATTTATCATAACTATACGTGAGATGTAATCAAGGACAATATTACATTATAAAGAATCTTAACGCTAAAAGGCAAAGAAACCCCAAAAGATAACAGACACGATAGTTTAAAAAACTTAAAGTAACAATAAAATGTAGAAAAAACATAACTCCTATAGAAAGCCCTACGCAGCAAAATTGAAAATATTGCAGGCTCGGTTTAATTGAGATTGTTCATTTGTTTGGAATTGTTAATTGCAGGTTACCGTCCAAGCCCCCTAGCACCGGTTGAAACAGCATTCGTTACAAAATCCGCACTTTTAACCTTAAAATATGAACATTATGTCAATATTAAGAATCATTGCTTTTTATCCTTATTTTTAATAGCCTCACAATAATTCACAATCAATACATTTTATTCCATTGCATCCGGCAGTGTGTATTTTTCAGGAAAGTGAATTGAAAAAAAAGCTATTTCTCCAACATTCAGTAGAAAAAAATCCTAATGAATCAACGTCTCTATACGTTAAATTTTTTCAAGCGGGCAATTTAATGATATTGTTACATAAAAGTGCGGCTTTTACGTCATTAATCAATGCGAATTCTCATTTTAAAATGATTTGTGTTTCTTTTTATTTTTTTTAAATCTTCTAATTTATATAAAAAGAATAGATTTTCAACGTATATATATATTTATGTAACAAAGAAATTCGTTGATTGTTTTATTACTTAGTCAACTCGAACATTTCATTATTGAATAATTCAATTTTGTTAGAATTTTGCATAAATAAATAAAAACAACATACCGTGTGCAGGTCGGCTTGTGTTGTACAGGTCATCAAAGGCCTTCATTTTCGCTGCAAGATTTTCCATGAACTTGTCTGTCTTCCCTTCTAGCTCTTCTATTTGATTTTCGGCTGATTTTACGGACGTGTCCACAGCAATTTGCGCGACGTTTACGTTCTTTTGCATTTCTTTAAATTCGAATTCCATTCTCAACACTTTCTCGAGTATTTTCTCCTGGAAGTCATAACGCGAGCACGACTTCTCTTCGGAGAAGCAAACGTTCACAAATGAACAAAGGAGAAGCACAAAAGCTGGTACTCTAGGCTGCATGATTACAACTACACTAATCATCTTCAGATTCTCTTCTTCCCTTTTTATACATACACAGACGTAAACTTATAGGCATTTTAATATACATTATTAGATTATACCATCCGTACGTTCTAGTTAATATGTCTACAGAGATCTTGAACATTTAGCTTGGTTAAACATAACACAACTAACACAACCTGGCGCTGTCTTAATGAGAGAAATCATTATAAACAAACATACTAGACATCCAGAATGCCTGCTGCAATGATCAATTTAATATAAGATTTCAAGATTTTCAAGATTTTATTCAATCAAAACCAGAAGGTCATAAACCCATGTGGTACATATATTACAATATAGAATAAACAACATAAATTAGAAAATTAGACCAGATACATTAAATAAATAAATCATTTAGTGAACAGATATTATTACAATGACCTCCGGTCTCGCAAGATATCAATTACACCACGCTGCTCGTTGCAAAATACTCAACACTTCGGAAAGCAACATAACAGATACAATTTAATCCATTGATTTACGTGGAATAGAGCCTATTTATATTAAGTGAAATGTCGTGTTGTTCAGGAGTCTTTGTCCCTTGTTATCAACATAGTATGAATATCAATGTTAAAGCGGCATGTCTATAGATACATGCTTATTTTCACGGAAGTTTAAAAAAGCAGTAGATAACATGTTAGTCATGACTTTAACTTACTTCAAAAGTTAGAACACTTTTTCCTCAAGTTTGAATTTCAGGTTTGACCGAGGTAGTTTTGAAAAAAAAAACTTTTTGCCTTACTTTACTGTATATTTTAATAATTTATTTTCATTGTATGTATAAGATACTTTATTCATATACCGTTTCAATACCATCCATCCCATCCCAATTGTTCTTGCATTATAACTGCGCATTTACGGAGACGAAAACTGTATGTATTTACGAATAGTTTCTCGTGTCCACGTGTTGTTGTTTGCACGTTTAATATCAAATTGATTTGATTTTAACAAGTTTTATTTCATACACATATTTCTGTCAACTACACCGCTTTCTGATATCCAGATTCCTAATGATTTATGGCAATTGACCTCATTAATCTGACACGATCATTTAGCCTTGACGAAATACACCGTTTCATTACCACCCATCTTTTTAATTTCATTTCACCCTGAAAAGTTGTAGAAAAACAATAAAATCGACTTAGCGAAAAGCTGTATGCAAATTTAAGTTCTGACTTGAGCTAACTGTACTGTATGTCCTTAAAGCATTTTTAAAACAGATGTGAAATAAATTTAAGATGATGAAGACGGGTTAACATTGAAAAATAAATAAACATGTCTGTTTTGTGTCAATTTAAAGTCTATTTTAGTACCGCCAGATTGTTTGTTTTGAATTTTTTACAGGATCATAAGAAACATTTCAAGTCTGGTTTTATTGTAAATTACATTTGAGGATTATATGAAGTTATGTAGAACTTTGATGAATTAACCAAGATAAAAGTTGACCCGCAAAGTAGATTATTTGTCTTTTTACTATTTTTAAACAAACAAACAAACTAACATTAAGAAACCTATTTGTTTAGATTTGTTTTTAAAGCAATGGTTTCAGCCATATACTTTACTGTATATTTTAATAATTTATTTTCATTGTATGTATAAGATACATGATTCATATACCGTTTCAATACCATCAATCCCAACCCAATTATTCTTGCATTATAACTGCGCAATATATTATTCCCTGCGGTCTGGAGACCGCAGGGTATTGGTACGCGTTTAACTTTTGAGGCATGGAGGAGCACGTGACCTGTTTTCGGTACATGGAGGAGCATGTGATCTGTAAACCGTACACGATTGGTTAATTGACCTTCGAAAACCTGGCTAAATACCGTTTGTCGGTACGTTACGGAATTACCTCTAGGAAATTAGTCAGAATTACACCTAATTAATTCCGTGATATTTCTAATTTCCTATTATTATTTTACCGTTTAAGGTGGAAAAACTTGAATGATGTACTTGAAAATTATCATTGTTTCTTTAATATATGTATCTCAAATTTTACAAACAATAAATTGTTTATACTGAAAATCTACAAAATTAAAATATTCGTAGTGGCATCTGCCATAATAAATAGAGATGTTTTCTGCGTAAACTTGTGTGTTTACTTTATTTTTTTTTGCTTGGAATTGTTCATAAAATGGTAGGCCTATTTAATCATTTTCTTAAAAAGAAATAATTGTTTGATGTTCGACCTTCTCCGGTCATCAACGGTCACGAGTTTCCAAAGACCTTCTTCTATATTGATCGATTATTGTCAACTATATTCCTGATACAAACTTTTTTTTTATTCCCCTCTCCCAAAAACAATGTTGAAAATAGTTAAATGAAATATCTTTATATCATTAAAAATGTTCCCCGCAGGAAACCATTTTACTTGTATTCGTGTATTGAAAAGTGTTGCAGTGTGACTGATAAATATAAATCAATATCATACATGAATAATCTCAATACTTATGACAGTGTTTAAGATCGAATTCTTCTCTGAAACCGGTGCTTAGGGGCCTCAAAGATATTGCTTCTTCCATTATCTAATAAGAATAGACTACTTTAAATCATTGCTGTGAAATATTTTGTCTTTTATAAGCAATATAAGCGAGAAAAGGATTACAAATAGAGATTTTTTTTTCTTTTGAAAACATTTGAAAATAATAATAATGATAATTATGAAGATGATGATAATAATGATGATAAAATGGTAATAATGATAACAACTTATTTATTCAATATCGTGTTTACAAAGCTGTCTTCAAATGACCAATATCCAGACATACACAGTAACATAATTACACGTACGATTTATAGAAAATGTAAATCAAACATAACTCATACAACAATAACAGTTTCATCAGAATTTACTGCTGTGTCCTGAGATACTTTTTGCATATATGACTTTAACTTGCGTGAATATATTTAAGATACCGTGTAACAACACTTAAGTGAAATTTTATATACGTATATATTCATTCTTCGTAAACAATTTCCAAACATCCAAGAATGTGTTAAATATATACTGCAAATGTTTAGACGCATTATTAGTAATCATTAAAATATATGCATTCATTTGTAATTGAAAATTTTTGGCCCTTTTTTAGAAAATAAATTTCTAATAACCTCCTTTTAATTAAATGAAATGTAAATTCGGTTATATCTTTACAAATAATGCTTTTTGAAACTTACAATACTGATAAATCTTCATTTTAGCATCATAGTTATGATTTAAAGCCCCATAAAAATCAGTGACAATCTTTAAATTGTTCAATGATCTATGAACATTTAGTTGTTGCTCACATATTACGTAAGGGAATTGTTCCCCATGTTTGGTGCTCTCTGTTTGATTTTTACAAAAAAAAAATAATTTTTGTGTTAATTAACAGTTATACTCAGTTCCTATGATATCACGGGTTCTATGATATCACGGTATTTTCATTTTCCGTGACTGCATGCGAAAGCAAGATATCAAGCATGTTGATGATACTTTTCTTAAAACTGTGACACTAAATCGAAAAGCATCTGCCAATAAAAAATTTGTGAATAATGAGTATACTCATTGTAAGAAAACTATATTATAAAATTGTCATATTTGACTAGTATTTCCCTTTAATTGTTTTCACAGAGTCAATAGAAGTATGGTATAAACCAATATTCTGGTATATTCACTGTTCATATAGCTTGAATTTTATAGAAAGTTAGCTTTTGGAAGATATTCATAACTTAATTTGAAGATTTTGACACATATATACTTCCAAACTTGCATTTTATTTGGGATTACAGTGATACCGCTGTGAAATCACCCCAATTGGCAGACACTGGAAATAGTTTTATGACATTTTAATTTAATCATTTGAAATAATTCTTTGACAAACAGTTTTGGGAAAAGTTCACTTAATAAATAGAATAAAAATCTCATTCATGTTTGATCTTTATATTTAAATATTTTCTGATAAACGTTAAGTACTGTGACGTCTTTCCCGTATTCTTGTTAACTGACACTGTTGAATTTGTGTAATTGGTGTGTCCTGATCTGAATATTCAAAGTTAAATTGACATTATGCTTATTTATTTTTCATGGTCAAGTTGAGCTGAACTGACTATATATTTTTATTATTATGATGATTGACTTGGAAAATTTTATAGATAAAATATAGATCTGTCTAAAATAAAACAAGAAGTATATTTTAAAAAGATACTCGGCCGAACTAAAACTGGTTTATTTGCATATCGTATCTTAGGAAACATGGAAATAGAATCATAAGGATTATGATATTGACCTTATTATTTTAATATAAGATTAAATTTTTGAAATATTAATTTTTGAAATATAAAAATCATATGTATATGTTGGCACATACGAAGTTTTTTTAAATATAAAAACAAAAAGGAAAGTCTGTAGTAAATCTTTAAAAGTAAAGAAGAAGTAAATATCAACTGCAAACAAAACAATTTATTTTGTACTCACTTTTCTTGTCTCAGTTTTTACAGTCACGTTATTCTTTATTTCTATTATTATGAATGTGGGTTTAGCTCAACGAAAATGTTTAAGTAATTGTTGTTTAGTCAAATCGGCATTTCAATAGAAATAATTTTATAAATATAACGTTTTGTTGATACGAAAAATCCTAATCAATAGATTTGTAAACCTTTGGAAATAACGAAAAGGACCGAAAAGTTGCATAAACAGGTTTATGGGTTATAAGTAGTGGTTTGGTTAATGTTTGACAAAATTTATAACTCATTAAAGCAGCGTAAAATAATATGTAGCAGGATGCAAGTTTAAAAGGTGTAGGAGAAGGCATGGTTGATAGTATAAAGAACTTATGAATGTAAATAGTTCGTTCCAGAATTCCTTTAGATCAATTAAAAATTAGACGCGTATACTATGTCAGAATAATCTGGTTTTTTGTGTTTTTTTTTGTGCTTTTTTGCTAACTTTTTAATGGCCAATCAATCAGATTCCGAGATTTCAGATTTAAATTTTCAAATGACCAATGCTTTTTACATGTATTCAGTTCTTCCCTGTAAATTTAAAGTCTGTTATACAACAAATAAGTAGGGGAGACCGGGACGTAATATTGCATGGAGTAAAGCGATACAAAACTTATAACGTCACATATGACGTCGTAACAATTGTAGTTTGGACGCCAATCAAATTCATATTTTTTCATACTACCTAAGCTGAAGCGGGACTTAAAATAAAGATTAAGCCGCAAATCAACACTTCTTCTTCGTAGGCAACTTTTGAATATTTTTTGAATATACATGTATTTTTTTTTCAATTATACCGTTTGTGATGATATAGCCCATGTATAAAATTATACATTATACATTTGTCAATAAGTTGTACAATAAACTGATATTCTGATTACCTCGTATTTTATCCAAAAACCTGCCTAGTCTCGGTGATATCGTTGGGGCAATGTGTTACTGTATGTAGGGGCAATCTGCTACAGTGTAACACTAAGCCCCTATGCTTTTATCAAACAAGAAAAATATTATAAATATTTCTTTCACAGTAGCAAGGGAATCTAAATGAGTGTTGTTTTTTTTTACAATCTCTACTTTAATATAGATTTATATAAAAAACCTATAGATTTCTTACAAGATATATTGCTAATCCTCAGGGGAAAAAAACAACAACAATAAACATAAAAAACTCAGAACAAACATGTAAATAATAAAATAGGATATAAACGTATCTATATTTATTTATTTATTCAATATCAAATTTATGTTGTTTTTTTCATTCAGAATGGTACGAAACTACAAGAGATCAACACCGCTATGTAAGGTTTCCGCAGATGTTATTAAAAGAGGAATTAGTGATGTAGTCATTTGCGGTCGAAGTATCCGGTCTGTTGCCAATGAGATAAAGATGAACCCTATGACACTGTGTAGATACATTAAAAAAGCTAAAGAACTTGGAACAGATAATGTTGAGAGCTTCTCAGAACGATCTTTTAAGCCAGTCTTCTCTGACATCCAAGAAAACATACTGAAAAACTATCTGAAGACGGCAGCCAATGTATATTTTGGGTTAAGTCCAAAGGAGGTACGAATTTTAGCGTTCGAATGTGCTGATGCGTTTGGTATTGGTATGCCTGAGTCTTGGAAAAGGGATAAAAGTGCTGGACCCGACTGGTTCTCTGGTTTTATGAAGCGGAACAAAGATCTATCAATAAGAACCCATGAAGCCACAAGTTTATCGCGGGCGACAAGTTTTAACAGAGCTAATGTAAATCTCTTTTTTTGATAAGCTTGCAGCTGCTATGGATAGAGAAAAGTTTCAAGCTAGTGATGTATGGAATTTTGATGAAACAGGGGTTACCACAGTACAAAAGCCACGAAGTATGGTAGCGACTAAAGGTGTTTAGCAAATTGGTTCTATTACGTCTACTGAACGTGGGGAGCTTGTAACGATGTGTGCAGCTGTCAGTGCTAGCGGCAATGCAATTCCTCTAACGCTCATTTCCCTCGTGTTAAATTCCAGGACCATTTTATCCGTGATGGACCAGCCGGTTGCATAGGTGCAGCGCATTCTTCAGGTTGGATGACTCATGACAATTTCTTGAAATTTCTGAAACATTTCGCTCATCACACAAAGTAACAAAGGAGAAGAAAGTTCTCCTTCTTCTTGACAACCACGACTCACATCTTCATATCGATATTCCTAATTATGCACGCGAAAATGGTATTGTAATGTTATCATGTCCGCCTCATTGCTCTCATAAGTTACAACCCTTGGATAGGTCGGTATTTGGTCCCTTTAAAAGATACTTGGCAAGTTTTCAAGACAGGTTATGGGTAGAGAGTTACAACATGTACCTGCAGATGGGCACTGTCTTTTGCATTCAGTGTGAAGAGCGTTATCTGAGGAAAATATTGCAAATATAAGCCATGATGAAATTTGTTTCAAACTTTAAAATGAAATTATTGTCAACAGAGGTTATTACACAGAATTTGCTGGTGGCCGCGATATCGTTTCTGATATTGAAAATTACATCACGAAAAAAGAGTTTAACAATGACTCCATCGATTTAGTTCTTGCAGCCCTATGCAATAGCTTTGGTGTTTCTACTATTATAAACTTTTGTGTGCAAACCGAGGTACAGATTTTTTTGCACATACACCTGGCAGAGAAGGGGTTATATTTAATGGTGGCATTCATATAGCCAAGACTAGCCAAAATGGAAGTGCCCATTATAACTGCGTTGGGATATGTCAAGAAAATAACAACAATACACCAAGTAGTGCACCAAGGATACAATCAAGCCAAGGATATGAATCTCATCAGTTCTCTCCAGAACATATAAGACCTCACCCAAAAGGAGCTCCAAGAAAAGGCACTGCTGGACGTAGGAAACGTAATACAGCAATATTAACAGACACTCAAAAAAATGCCATTGAAGAAATTTTCAGAATACGCGAACAGAAAAAGAATAAAAAACTTTTAAATCAAAGAACAGAAAATGATAAACCAAAACAGATAACAAATCAAAAAAGAAAATCAGTTAATAAGAAAAAGAAAGTGATAGAGTCTGATTCTTCCGAGAACGACGAGTGGTTTTGTCTGATTTGCGTAGAACCATATTCCAACAGTCGACCCGGAGAGAAATGGATCCGATGTGTTAAATGTAAAGAATGGACGCAAGAAGAATGTGCTGCTGTCTTGAGGGGCCATGTTTTCATATGTCTTAACTGTGACTCAGATTACAGTGATTGTCACAGTACTTAGTGTTTTGACCATAGAGGCTGTGACTGACATTTATTTATATGGTTTCGTCTTGTTGCAATTATATTTACACACATTGTTATTTAGTTGAGCCTAGTCGAACATAGTAATGAACTGATATGTAAGCGTATCATATTATCCCGTGTTATGTATTACTTTGCCCCAAATATCGGGGCAAAGTGTTACGGTTACTCATAATGTTTCATTTAACCTCATTTACAAATACTTATAGCATTGTTCAAATAAAATTCACTGATTGATTAAAGGGATGTTGTTTATTTTTAAAACATAGTTTATATGATACACACAATTATATTTAATCATTAAATATAAAAAATAAGTAAAATGTAACGTTATGCCCCGGTATCGCCTACGTTGACAGTTTTTAGTATTACATATAACAACCAACCATAAAAAAATTATAGCTGGATGGTGTTGGCAAGTGTGAGATACATGATTCAATACTACATATATTATGAGTATTATAGCAGATAATAAATTGTTCTAGAACAAATTGTATAATACATTATATAAATGTTCATACTAAATCACTTAGAACTTAATCATTTTTTTTCTTCAAGTATAATTTTAAGACTAGCCAAATGATACATTTCTATTGTTGTACTTTTTTCGACATTAAAAATACGTATCGAAAAAAGTACTTATTGTAAACCAATTCACAATAAGATCATTGACAGATCTCGTTCTCTTAAAGATTCTGTATGTTGTAATTGAGGTTGTATACCACACTTGAGTGAAATTATATATATGTATATAATAATGCATATAAACAATTTTCAAACATCGAAGAATAAGTTAAATATGTACTGCAAATATTTGTACATATTATATGCAATTATTGAAATATATGCATTCATTTCTTATTGAAAAATTTGATAAATGATGCTTTTTGGAACTTACAAAATTGTTTAATCTTAAATTGAGCATCATATTTATGATATAAAATCATAAAAAAAATGTGTTACAGGATCTGTAAACAATTACTTTATTTCTTAAGTTCAACTACATTACTTTCATATTGAATTTAATTTAGGCCAGTGCCACTTATGATAAAAAATCTTATCTCGTAGTTCTTTATATACAGTCAATACCATAGAAGTTGTCACAGATGAATTCTCAACTGTTCCGGTTAATGGCTAAATTCGTCTTGTGGACACACTCAAAATACCTGTTTTATACAGATTTTGTAAAGATTTGTTTTTTAAATGAAATGTTATTAATTAGAGCATATAACATTTCAGCTGGTTTAAAAATGCGTACTAACAGTGTACGCGAAATTTGTAGAATAAACAGTTGTTATTTATCTTTTACTGTTATTTAGCTATTACAAATTATTATACACTAGTTCTTCTTTGGTTTTGCAGTCATGACTTTACTTATACTGAACTTGAGTTTGGTGTTGTTCGTGTTTTGTACTCGTAAGTATTCGGCTTTGGCTTTCTTTAAAGTGATTGTGCTTTAACTATATACTTTATTAACGACTGCCAATAGGTTCATATGGGGCGTAGATAATTAAAAACAAACGTATCATTATTATTTCTTTTAACATCGGTGCTAAAAAAGCACACCGTGTAAGACATGTCGCGTGCTTTAAATGACGACATTCCTACGCAACTTTTGCGAACGAATTACTTGCTAATCGCCGTTATGAATGAAGTTAGCAATTCATACACTGCTAAAAATTGCTAAATGAAAATATAAATGTTCGGTCATTTCTTCCAACATATGACTTATGTGTATTATGCAAGAAAAAGAATTAACACCGGTTGTCGTTATAGCTCTCCGGTCACAGCTTAACAGAGACTCAACCGCTCTCCGATACCGGCAGGATTCTTATTTTGTAAGACTAGGTGTACGTGCATGTAAGTTTATACAAACACATGTTCATTAAGTAACAATGCTATAGTAATTTTACTTGAGAAATATTGTATCCCAAACAGTGATTTTAACGCTCAATAAAACCACTGTTTGGAGTTCGGATGCGAGGAATAATACCACGAGGTATAATTCCTTGCATCCGAACAACAAAACAGTGATTTTATTAAGCGATAAAATCACCGATTTGGCTATATTATTTCGATCCTAACACATCATCAAATGAATGCTGCCGTACCTGATATTAAGCTAAATTGCGCCTGGTTTGTTTCCGTACTTATTTTCAGCGCGTAACATTTTTAGTGGTTACGTCATATGTATAATTATAACGTCACATGTCTAAATATAGAACGTCAAACAGTGATTTTGTTGCATAATAACACACACTTTCATTTCTTCTGTGTTCAATAGGGAAAAATGCGGGTCGTGTTAGAATGTTTAATAAAAAACTGTAATAGATCACTCTGCCTTTGCCTGGTCAGCATGCAATTTCATCCAGTCTGGCCAGGCTCTATATTGTTGGCTGATCAACTTCAAATTTCCATATTGATATCTAAATATTTGTAATGAACAGTTATATAAACAGAAGGTGAACAAGCCCATTAAAGAAATTCAGAAGTCACAATACTTGTGGCGCGTGCGTGCGTGTGAATGGGGTGTAGTGCATACGTGCGGGTGTGTGTATGAAGAAGCTCTCGAATTTGCTTATTTGCTTATTTCTATTTAGGTTCCCGCTCATGGTTTTACTCGGGTTCTCGCTGATGCTGGGACACCTACGATGTTTTTCACCAGTAGGTGGTTAGTTTTCATAAGATCTTTAAAGTGTCAATCTAACTTTTTAGGAGACGTTGTTTGTAATACTTCATGTCCGGACACATGGGTGGCTGACAGAGGATCATGTTATCTTTTTAATCCAGATAGAGCATCTAACTACGCAGATGCACGGGTAAGACACCATAATCATTTTTATCATACAATAGAATTAGAATTTATCGGTTTTTTTTAATTATTTGATTCTGTCACCAGAAGGGGTTTCTATTTAGATTTTCTATATTTTCCAAAGTTCGCTCGCTTAGCTCAAAATTGAGAGTATTGGATTAATAATTGAGGGGTCGCTGGGTCGATTCACGGGCCAAGAATACTTTTAATGACAATATTAACATTGAGTCTAATGGTCATTTTTGTCTCTCATCGCTTACTATGAAAGCATATGAAATTAGTAGTCGGTTACTTGCGGAGAAATTTGTAATTTCATCTACTTGTTTGGTTTGTTAAAGTTCAGTTAAATTGATTGACCGCAGTGACATGAAAATCTCTTGAAACAAAATCAGATAAAAACTATAGCATTTCTAAATCCCAAAAGGTAAAAAAAATAATATATTGAAGAACAATGTCAAGGTTAAGTTTTTCTCTTAATAGTATCTCTTTACTCCTTCTGACAATAACAGCGTCTTGAGATTATGAGAGTATGAACGGAAGTCCGACTTGTTATAAGATAGTAATCATGATCTTGCACTTCTATAGTGGTACTGACATATCTTACAAGAGAATTAAAAAAACACTCTTTAGCGAACAAGTAGGTTAAGTTAATTTGTTACAATTTTGCAGTTTTTGTGCGTTATTTTTATGGATTCTGTTTGTTTGTTTCTATTTTATCCAGCCAACTTACGTTACCACATCAAACTGTTCACTTCTAAAACTGAAGCCTGTAAAAATGTGATGACAGTTCGAGAGATAATAAAATGTCATTTTATTAAAATGTCTTCTTATTTCACACAGCAATTTTGCAGTCAACACAATGGGCATTTAGTCGTGATTGATGACGTGCATGAAAACAATTTCCTCAAGGATTTTCTCAGGAGATTGAAACGTAAGAATAATTATATAATTATGTAAACTAATTCTTAACAGTTTAAATAATTCAATGATTTATAAAAGCAGCGTGTGTTCCTTCATAGTTAATTTGTGTGTTAAATTGTTTAGGTAAAAGAATATTTTGATATTTTTAAAGTATGTATGCCTTCGATAAGTTAATATAAACCTGTTCAATTTATACTTATTTTTATGTGAACACGTCGGTATTTGTTACCAGTTACCAGTATGAACAGGGTTTCACAATGATAAATTTTATCAAATAAAGGTCTACACTTATAAAATGTACTTTTCATGTTTGACGTGTTGATTTTTGTATCGATGTGTAAAATTCTTCCTGCTCAGCTAAATTTGTCAAAGTTAAAAAGATCAACAAATATGGGCGGCATTCAATGAACGCATCCCCCAACAAAAAGGATGAACACAGAACCACCTGCAAGGAGCCTAGAAGGACACTTAAGACATTTTAAAAGTGGCAATGAAATACTTATGTTGGTTAATAAACATTGTTTTCCCTTGGTTTGTCACACTGATTAATGCATTAAGGTTGCAAATTGATTCAGAAATATTTGTTTATTTTACATTAAGCGATGGGCTGGTGGATTGGCCTCACCGATGAACTTGTGGAAGGGGAATGGATATGGTACCCTACAAAACGGAGACCTGAATATGAAGACTGGGTGCCTGGGGAGCCAAACAGTAACGGGGGAAAGCTGGATGAAGATTGCGCATCTATGTACCTAGATAGACTGCACGTTAACTTCCAGTGGGTAGACGTTAGCTGCTTGCAGACACATGCACCTATCTGTGAGAGGTAAACTAATCAATTTCAGCAATTATTTAAAAAAATATTTCCTGTTCTTTTGTTTTATTTCACATTTGACTATGTCGATGGCAGATTTGATGACACGTAAGAAAGTATGTTTAATGAGGAACAAACGTAATTCCTTACGACGAAAAGTGTGTGATCTTAGGCTAAGTATATATTTTAGAGTTATTAATTGCATTTTGTTATAAATATTATCAACATTAGTTATAGTTTGATTTGTTTTATTATCAACGTACCATCACTTGTCGTAATAAAACAACTCCAATTCAATACAAAAGTGTTTATTGTTTAAAATATTACATCGGCACACTCGATAGTTCAAAAGTTATTTCAAAACTGAAAAAAGTTAACTAAAGCCACAATTCGGACCTACGGACTGTTCATAATTAAATAACAACTAAAGTAAACAATGTTGCAAGGAACATTGTTTGCTTAAATGGTTTTTGTCCGCCATTTTTTGCAATCTGACCAACAGCGCGTCGCCTAAAGCAGCAAGGCTACCACGTTCGGTTTCCCTTCATGTTATACATCAAAGTTATAATAATGTTTTGTCATCATTTGTTCTCTTGCAAGTTGATATCAAACATTAATTAAGGGTGATATAAGTTACATAGAGCACCGCGGTAATACCTTGTAATATTTGACGTCATTTTAAGTTTTTTTTGTCACATCTAAAATTCTCAATTCGAAGAAAAACTAGAAAATATATATTTATTCCTATTGTAATTACAAAACATTTGCATGTATATAAAGACATGAACTCTACGGTCCATAAATGCATTTCCGAATGTTTGGTCAGGTATGATATACAAGTATTTCCAAACAGTTGGGGGAAATTATCAGGTTTTGTGTGCTTTTCCGCGATTGCATATATCAAACAAATCTAAAATTTTATAGTGTTCCTTCCATATATCTGACTAAATAACACAAAGTCTACGAGAAGGGACGGCTTCCGCTGACAATGCTCTATGTTCCTTAAAGACATCTGATCAAGTAAAATAATTACAGTTATTCCCCCTCCCCCATCGAGACAAAAATATAGATTGTATAATGGCAATCTTTCAGATTACTAATACTTATGTTAATTATACTGAGTGAAATATATATATAGATGTAATTTGAAACTGTTGCAAACTCGGTTTGATTAAAGATGTACAATACTCAGATTTTATATTAGAGAATATTGATTATTGCTTCACAGTCTCTTTGTAAACATAAAATAAATATGTTTTGACTTGACATAAAAAAGATTTCTATTTAATGTTTAATTTTCTACACAATATAGGTGGTTACAATAAAATATATATTGTCATTAAAAAAAACTGCAGATTTTTTTTTTAAAGAAAAGACCAACCTTACTAAAACTGTAATAGGAAACGCAACTTCCCATATATAATTTATTAATTCTTTAATTCAAATAAACATAATAAATAAGGATTTCATAGATTTCAATAAATTTCTATGATTAAAATACTTTACACAATGATGAGCATAGTACTATATCTTCAAGCTTTTTCATGGACAGCACTGGAAAGTGCAAGTTACCGTGACGCTAACTTTAAGCTAAATAACAGGAGAAAATTGCCTCTTGATGGAATATTACGTATTTATGCAGTTCGGTCGGTATCTTGCTTTTTGCATTTATGTCTAACTATTGATTTAGGTATATGATATCTATTACAAAAATATTAAATTTTTTGTTGTGTTTAATTTTTGTGAAGCTAACAGTGACGGTATCATTGGATGAAGAATGTACGATATCTTGCTGTTTTAAGTACTTGAAATGTTTATTTCATTATATAAAATCTTGAGTAAATAATGAATAAATCTTTATGTACATGTATGTTATTATTGTTGTTGTTGTATTACATCTTGGGAGACTGGATTATTACTGTCAGAAAATGAATAATTCTTTGTAGGTATCAATATCTGCTGAAGCACGAGGAATCATTTTGGGAAGTATACTTTTAAAAAGCACTATCAGGTTTCGAAAATTAACAACACAGTTGTGTTGTATTCCTTAAAGGATATCTGTATTCAAACTTTAAACAAAATTTGCCGTGCGATTTTGTATTTTATGCACAAAAAATGAAAATGGATTCCATTCAGGCCACCAGCCCGTACATCACGATAAACACAAAATACCTTTACATATTATAACACATAATCACAAATACGGTGAAAATCTATAGTAATCAACATATTAACATTTATAAACAAGTATGTAAATAGTTTTATAAATACAAGACTATAAAGAGTGACATTTTATTTTCCTGTTCCTGTATCTTGAATCTGTTCTTTTCTGGATGACATTAATACATGAACTTTTTTCCAAAGTTGGATTATTATAATATTTATTATGAATATAGTTTTCTCTAAGATGACTGTAAGTTGGACAAACTAAAATAAAATGAAATTCATTTTCAATCTGGTCTTCACAACAGAAACAAAATGTTTGATTCCTATCAATACCTATTTGTCTTCCTTTTCCAATCAATAAAAGGTGCGATGATGACCGAATACTTACTAAAGCATTTATAAACTTCTTGATGTCAACAATATCAAGGTAATTTTCATACTAAAACACTGATTTATAATTAATAGAAATATACAAATAGTAAGTTTAGCATTTGAATGACATTCAACATTCAATTTCTATATCCAATACTGTCGTAATACAACAACATATAGTAACATATTTGACATATCTATAGTTTTGCATAGAAAGAACTCTTAGCCAAAATTTAATGCAGCGTATACTTCTCAAAATATGCATAGGGTATCTTCCACAGCCATCAACAATTACAGCATTGCGGGAACGTGGGGTGCATTCATGTATCGTTTACAATTGCTCTTTTTTCAATATGATATATATATAGTCAAGGCCGCAGATTTCTGATCCATACAAAAGAATGGGGCAATTTTAGCATGAAACAACTTGAAAAATATTTTTTTTGACATTGGCATTAAATGATTCAATGATGATAATAAGAAGACTAAAACTCTCTTGGCTTTATTAGCATTATACTCAGCCATCTTTTGCATTGATAGCTTACTACTAAAATATAATTCCAACATAGGAAAATCCATTAACACATTGTAATTGGTTGTTATTATATGTCCATTTTTCATGACGAGATGAATAGCAACATTTTTCTAAAGACCAAAATTTTAGACATTCTATATTAACAGAGAATTTCCAATCATTACAATATTTTAACAAAATATTTAATTGCTGTTGTAAACCATTTACATTATCAGCAGTCAAAGCAACATCATCAGCAAATAGTAAAAGTATAATTTGTACAGCATCTGGTGTCAGCTGTAAGCCAGCATTACCTATGGTTGCTATAGCAACATATAGTTCATTTATAAATAGAGAAAAAGGATCGGGCTTAATTACAGCCCTGTACACTCAAAAATTTCAATATGTTTAGAATCCAATCTGACACAAGTTTTGACAAAATTATAGATATCTTTTATTGCCCTTAAAAGATACCTTTAATGCCCTGATGATGTAAAACTAAATGCAACTTTGATTTTTTGATGCTGTCAAAAACTATTTTTAAATGTCATGTGAGTATTCAAAATTGTACATTCTGTTGTCTAGTTCATTCACTTTCTCTGTTGTCGTTTTTGACAATCCTCAACAGTATCTAAACTTTCTCTCATTGATGACAGTTCATTTTTTTACATTCACAATTTCGGACCTAACTGACAGAATTTCATGTTTTACTTCATAAATTTATTTTGAGGTTTTAATGTTAGAAGCCACAATGGCACCAAGAATAGATTGAGTCTCTGCAGAGGGTCCTGGATTAAGCTCAACATCCGATGATAGGATAAGTAACCGTTCGCTTAGATAATTATATGTACAAACTTGTACTTGTGATTTCATCATAAAGTCATAGTGTTGATACTTGTTCCTGCCTTAAAGCATATTGCTTTAATGGGCATGGAGCAAACGTCATGATTAATAGTATGATTTTCAAATATATTCTGTCTATATAATAAGGTACATGCTAGGAGCACTATTCCAGTGATGAAAATAACAGAGCGCAAATTGCTGAACTAGTGTTTGTGCAATGTACATATGATGTTGTAGGTAAATGTTTTACTACATGTTTCTGGCCGCCACAAAACAATCCTTTACGTATTCGATAAAATGAATATCTATACCTATGGCTTCTGACGCTTTTTTCAAGTAGTGTTTGAAATAAAACTAAAGTTAAGCTCTTCCCCTGCTTGATAGAAACAGTTATGAACCATAATAGACACTTAATTCCTTGAACGGGTTTCAGCGTTATTCATTCTTGCTGATGAATGGCTGTCGATGATATCATTAACAAGAGGCGAACGGCTGTTGACGTTACTAAAATTTTGATGACACTCAAACTAAAATATCCTATAACTTTAACAGAAAAACATTTTTGAAGGTATGGTTTGGAATATAAATGACGAAATGTTGACGTTTACGAATCGTATGATAAAAGGATTTATTATAATGAGAAAATATAAGTTTTTGTGACTTAAACAAAATTCCCCATCTCATTGGATAGTGTGGTTATTTTCAGTCAACGTGAAGTAAAGCTTGCACAGGGTCAGAAATTTGTTAGCATGCTCCTTTGGATGTTGACATTGATTACTCGAACACGTTTAGAATGTGTTAAAAATAGATGCCTACTTACCGATCGTCAATTGTGTTTTCTGCGACGACATGTATATACAAGTACAGCTGTCGACGCTTGAACTGCTGTCTGCCCGTTTGATTGTATGGTGTGATATACTAGTAGTTGAGTTGTATAATAACAAGGCAGTTTGAAGGACAGCTAAATCCCTTTCCGCAGTAATGAATGTGTACTTCTTGTCTTTTTACAACCCATGACCTTGATGTTGATCCATGCATATCATCAGCACGCTGATTTTTTGTACCAAGTTATTCAAAATCTTCCATAAAGTCAAAAGTTATGGAGAACATATAACCTTGACCTTAGGGGTAGCAACCTAAATGTTGAGCTCTGCAGGTTGTAATGGTGGTGATCATTTGTGCCAAGTAATTTTAAAACCTTTGAATTGTTAATAAGTTATAGAGCGGACATGAAAAAAAGATGTTTTTATATTGGACCTTTGAGTGTGAGCCTGACCTTCAGGTTTCTGCCTTGATTATTCTGCTCTGCCAATGGTATAATAGTGGTGATCATTTCTGCCAAGTTATCTTAAAAATATTACAGTATTTAGATGTTATGGGCAGACACAAATTGTAGACTTTCTAACATTTGGCTTGTAAGTGTGACCTTGACCTTGGGTATAGCAATTCAATAATTGCGCTCTGCACATCGTCTCATAATGTAACAATATACAAACATAGAGAATTTCGAGCCGCAAGCAAATAAGTATATGTTCTAGGTTCTTGTAAGTTTTGGGTTATAGTAAAAGAAAGATAATTGAAACACAATTGCTATGAAACTTTATTACAAGCTCGTTGCAGAAATATCATTATTTCATATATAAATGAAGCTAATTAGGACGGAAGCTATCCTATGATCTCGTTCTCATTGGCAACACTGCAACATTTAGAAAATAAGAAAGAATTAAAGTGATATTATGTCCACACAAGGATTTTTAACTAAAGTGAACAGGTGTGAGTCAAAATAAGTTTAAATTTTGCCATAATTCATGTAATTAGTTTCAATTTTAACATTAACTTTGCATGAACGATAAATAAATCGTGTGACCAATTAAAAATTTCTGTAAAGTTCGATTTATAAAAAGAATGGACAGCCTTTTAATATTCTAGACTTATATATTATCCTAAAAAAATTATTTTAGCAGCAACACCATATTTTTCTCCATGATGCATATAATGGTCTCATTAGTCTCCCGTGCATCAAAATTGTATCATCACAAAAATCGACTTGCATGCATACATTATTTAGTATCATTCAATTAATTACTGAATTCAAAATGTATAGGTCACATATTGGTTGATAATAACATTTAAGGACATGAATGGGACATGTCCAGTTTCCGTACTCTCAGTGCCTGAAACGGCGAATGGACCCTCATTAAGCCTAGAAAACATACATACGAACAAATTGTATCAGGTTCAGTTTAATAGTCAGTGTATCAGAATACCGTTCAATATTTAGTGAATTAGATTTGGGTATCAGAATGTCGATGAATATTCAGTGAATCAGGCTCCAATGAATATTCAAATTATCTGACTCAGGCGAGTAGTCAGTATATGAGGCTCTGATGAATATTCATAGAATTATCATTTACTTCAAGAATGAAAAAAAGTTACTTTAATTTGTTTCTTTTCAAGAAATAGTATCATATTCCGCATTAGATTAGAACTTAGGATCATTAAATGATGTATACATGTATAACTTAAGGCAATGTTACCAAAAGATTTTTAAGGTAAGATTTATTTAAAAGATGCATGGATGGAATACAGAGATGCTCAAAAGGGGAAGTTTTATCTCCTACTTACTTTTTCTCGCAGATCGGCTGGAACTGTAGAGAGCACTTCACATCTGCCCATTTGAAGCCTTCTTGCCTGTTGATGATACAACAGTCCTCGTTGTGGTTATTGTTCGGCTCGTGAGGTCCCCATTCCACGTAATCAGCTATAGTGTTGCTGTCTATCCATTTATATTCGCTTTCTATGACTGTATCAGAGAGTCCAATCCACCAATCATTTGCTTTTACAGAATACACAAAACTATACATAATTCCAATGTCAAATTAGTTAATATGAATTATTATAGTTCAATTGTGTTGGAAGTTATAAACTTATTTGAACACTCATGGACGCGTTCTAAGCAATTAGTTTCAAATATATATAACGGATTGCCCCTTACCGGGTTCGAACCCACGTGTCCAGCCCACCATAGATTACTTTTTCGACGTGTAACTCAATCGGCTACGCCGCTGCTCATAGTTAAATTAATCTGTCATGTGGATTTATCAAGAAGCAAGTAAGATTAATTTTATCAAAGATTATAAAAATGTTGAATGTTTACCATAAAATCCGAAGTATTATCAACCGATGCGCGAACTTATACTACTTTTAAGCTTCAGAATGTTAACTTTGAAATAAGATTATGCATGTATATGATCAAACTAATATATGTACTTGTAATGTTCTTAGTAACTTTTTCACAAGATCGATTTATCAATAACTGTGAAAGAAGTTGAAAAATGGAGTGTTTCTGGATATGTAAAGATTCAAATTTATTTTGAAATGTATACATGTTAAACCACCTGACTTATGAATGCGACCACTAGAAAATGCCCAATTTATACATGCAACCACAAGGAAATGGAAAACTTACAAGTGAAATGGGTCAGAAATTGTTGAAGGAAGTTGTTCTCGTGAACATCATTAATATGTACAAGATGAGACGAATGCTGATTACAAAAATGCTGAAATTACAATTATAAATTATGGTATCATCAAACAAATATGAGAAAACACATTTATTATATAAAAGACACTTTAATTTATAATTCGTCATGGCAAACTACTTTACTTTACACAAAATTAAAATTTGGTATGCACTCAACAAAATTCAATTGCAATAAATATTGAATATTCATACCAGTGTTTATAAATCATGAAAAATAAATAATCATTTTAACGTATGAGAGACATTTTATATTGTTAAAGATAAACACGGTGGGTAAATAAGTTAAGAACACTGCTTATTTAGAACATATACATGTACAATCATCTGAACATACAAGGTATAGGATACACGGGTTATTCTAGATAAAGAGGGTTCTAAAGTCTGTCATTCGGCTCATCGAGAACCCTCTGGGAATGACGAACTCAAGCTAATTTATGCTGGTCGATGTGCGCTTGTTGTCAATCCACTTGTCTTGGGTTGCATCGTTAATGGGATTTCCATTGTTTACATACATCCCAGGTATTACTTAATGTTGGTCCATAGATCTTATTGTATGCATCAGACTATAGTTGCATCATTTTATAGATCTTTTCCATGAAAATATGAATAAAAGTTCAAAAGCCAATAAGAACAAATCTAGGTTAAACAATTCGAAAGTAAAACAAAGGTTATGTATACTACAAATGTATTTTATGTATTATGAAAATGCTTCATTCTGTTGTGAACATTCTTTCTGGTCATATCCGCAAAGAATCATATTAATAGTCTTTTGTTTGCAGCTGTATCAATAAATGACCACAAATAAAATATTTTAAAATGTTGCTGTTTTATTTAACGATTTACGCGATTTGTTGATATTGTGCACTATCCGTATTTAATATCTACATTAAAAATTTTATATGCTGCTATCTTTATTATAACTCTAGCTTATATCGTAACAACAATAACGTGATTATATGAAACCATGATTTGGACTGATAAAAACAAATTGATAAAGTAAATGGATGTAAAAGTTGAAGAGATCCTCACATATAATTCCCTCCGACCATCATATTATATGTATAATATGATATCACTGTTGTCATCTTATCTGACAGTTGTGTATCCGATTGTATGGTGTGATGTTGTAAAAACTGGTTTCACAACAGATTTAAATTTGTACACCATATCGCTGCTTGCATAATCACGGAAAACCAAGCTTGTAAAGTCCTTAACCAGCAAGTATATTTATGTTCAATGCTTATAAATCTTACAAATGGCAATGTCTCCCGGTAGTTTAAACAGCAACAACGATGTTAACAACAATCTTGTAATGCACCACATACTTTTATTTGGTTATCAAGTCCATCATAAAAGATTTACCCTACACTGGGCAACTTGAGTGTTTATACAACGCCAAACGTCCAAATTCTGTTTTTATTACAGCAGTAGTATATAATAAACTAGAAAAGTTCTCACCTCAGCTTCTGTAAAGGTTTGCGACTGGTCGTGAGCAAACAGATAACATGAACCCTTGTATGCTACCCATGCATCTGGACAACTTGTATCCGCATAAACTGAACCTTGAACATATTAATTTGATCAAATATGGTAAATGTGAGTCCATCATCATTTTAGAAACGAAATCAATGTTAAAAGGACTTCACTACGGTTATTGACATGACGGGACTGGAAATAATTTCACGAGATAAAGGTTTCATTTGATGTAGGTCTAGACCCATAACTTGTGTATAAAACTTTATTTTTTAATGTCAAATAATTAATTGCCACAATATAACACTAGTTTGTCATACCAAATGTATATATCAATGAGTATAAATTAGTGCAAACGATATTTAAAAGGCAATGATACAAGCAGCGAAGTGATGTAAACAATAGGTTAACTTTGCAATGACATAAAAAAGCCAATATACATTGTTGAATACAATATAGATTTTATTGGATTAGTACACAGCTCCAAATTCAAATTCCTGGTTTTTATACATTTACTTTGACGAATGTTCTTATTGGCAATCTATAATTTTATAATTTCTTAGAAATTCTTTTTGGTGACAAATACGCGTTTAATATCATTTATTGATCAAGAGTGAAGAAAACCTGATTGCAATTTATTAACAGGTACAAAAATAACACTGGAGTTTATTTTTTTATTTGGGGTGGGCGGAGCATGAATGAATGAAAACAGTAAACTCCACACTTTCACAAAGGTTTGTGAACAATTTTTTTATTGTTAAGATTAAAATAGAAAGTACTTACTTTCAATAAAGAGAACAAATATCAACGCCAAACTAATCATCATTATCATGTACATACAGTATGTAATTGTTTCAAATGAAGTCCTTTTTAAAAGTCATAGAGATAAGATAATCGTAACATTTTATCTTACAATGTCTAACACACTATCTACAATGAGAATTCAAAACGAATCACATAAAGTGTTGCCTATATATGTAATTAAATGTCCTATTGCAAGCCACCTCCGTGGTCGAGGGGTTAGAGTCGATGACTTCTAATCCAGTTACCTCTCTGGCGTGGGTTCGATCCCCGGGGGATGCTTTGGTAGTTTAGCGCGGAGGAAGGTAGTCTAATACTGGTGTAACTCTCCAGGAACGATGGTTAGGAAACTACCCGCCTTTATGACTGAAATAATGTTGGGAAAAGGCGTAAAATGAAACAAACAAACAAAGCATACAATTCTATACATGAATTATATCAAAATGATGAAAAGACTTCAATGCAATTATTTAATTGTTCAATTTTAAGTAAACTAATAAACATGTTGTGCATGTACTGCTCATCACTGTATGTGCAAAGTAATATAAAGCTATGGTGCTGAAAGTTCATTGAGTCATTTTCCTTTTTCCTAATTCTGAAATGACCAATCAAAATTCTACTTATATTCAGTTCTTCCCTGTAGATTTTATAGGAAGCCAAACTTAAATTTCTAACCTTCTCTTAAATGTAATGGTTTTTGTATTGGCAAATATCCGAGGTCCTTACTTTCTGATTAAAAAAAGGATGTATATGTGAACAAAACAAAAGAGGAGTAAACCCTCCAGGTGACTATTTTATGAATACATTTGTATTTTTTTAAAGCAAATATGGGGTGCTGGACAACTTTAACAACCGACCTTACACATTGATAACATCGGGGAATTGTGATTTTATTCAATCTTGTCAAAGTATTAAATTTTTGCACGAAAAGTTCAATTAGATGGCATTTTGAAAATCAAGTGAATTTGTTTTATTAAGCTTTTCGCGTGCTAAATATTGTAACTTGTATCATTCAATTAATACAATCAATTATTTATAACAGTATATGCGAGTATCTTTTGTTTTCAGGACAAACTTTATGAGACTTACCTTATAGAGATACCTTCATCCGTGACATTTATCTTCTTTGTCATCTGAACGGCATCAGTCAATTATCTATTATTCAGTTTGCACGTTTCCAACCGTATGACACCGTCCAAATAAATTTAGAGCAAAGTTGTCACAGTAATTGAGAAGATCTACGAAACATTCGAAATATGACCATGTCACCTGAAAGAACATTTTTCGTATTGCTCATTGGTAAATACATTTTTGAGTATCAGTATGGTTTTTACAATATGTTTTTATATAATAATCTTACAATATGTTAAATCTTCAGAAAAAATGTTATTTTAACAGTATATGCTAATTATCTATACGGCAAATTAGTTTGCATTACTTATTTTGAAATATTATTTGATTTTATTTTGTGTAGTTTTGAACTTTACTGCCATAGACGGGAAAAGACTGTACGAGTTTGTGAAAAATTCTTCTCTCACTGACACCATTAAAGCAACAGGGTACATGAACATGCAGCCAGCTGCTAGTGTTATACATTGCGGCTATGTGTGTAATGAAAACGTAAGATGCGTTAGTTATTTCTACAAACACGATGATAAAATGTGTCAGCTTCACAACTCAACATTCCAGGACAACTATGACTTACAAACATCTGTGAATACTGAGTACTACGTAAAAACGGAAGGTAAGATGACGAAAACAAAATGTGGTGTCAATATGTAGAAGTTATTACATGGGGCAAGTGTGCCTTTAGTCCATATTGGCACACTTGGTGACTTATTTGCCCGAAGGCTTTAGCCCGAGGGCAATTTTGAACCAAGTGTGCCAAAATGGACTTAAGGCGCACTTGCCCTATGTAATGACCTGTTATTGCATTTTTATAACTAATTATAGTAAACCTATTTTTATTACTATTGTTGTCCGATTAGATTATCTAAATCTATCAACTTATTCTCGACGGTCATTTTTTGCGATGCAGTTGTCAATAACGTAACGTGTATATTGAGAAAAAAAAAACGCAATTTTATTACTAATTATAGTAACATATGCAATTATTGTCCGTATTCATGTCAATGTTTGTTAGACATAAGCTGTTGATGGAATATAAAAGGATAAATCATAGTGCTAAAGTTGTTGATGGGATATAAGGGGATAAATCATGGTGACAAATCATGGTGACAAGTTGTTGATGGGTTATAAGGGGATAAATCATAGTGCTAAAGTTGTTGATGGGATATAAGGGGAAAAGTTGTTGATGGGTTATAAGGGGATAAATCATAGTGCTTAAGTTGTTGGTGGGATATAAGGGGATGAATCATGGTGACAAGTTGTTGATGGGATATAAGGGGATAAATCATAGTGACAAAGTTGTCGATGGGTTATAAGGGGATAAATCATAGTGCTAAAGTTGTTGATGGGATATAAGGGGATGAATCATGGTGAAAAAATTGTTGATGACATATATAAGGGGATAAATGATAGTGACAAAGTTGTTGATGGGTTATAAGGGGATGAATCATAGTGCTAAAGTTGTTGATGGGATATAAGGGGATAAAATATTGTGACAAAGTTGTTGATGGGATATAAGGGGATAAATCATGGTGAAAAAAATTGTTGATGACATATATAAGGGGATAAATGATAGTGACAAAGTTGTTGATGGGTTATAAGGGGATGAATCATAGTGCTAAAGTTGTTGATGGGATATAAGGGGATAAAATATTGTGACAAAGTTGTTGATGGGATATAAGGGGATAAATCACGGTGAAAAAAATTGTTGATGACATATATAAGGGGATAAATGATAGTGCTTAAGATTTTGATTGGTTATAAGGGGATAAATCATAGTGACAAAGTTGTTGATGGGTTATAAGGGGATAAATCATTGTGACAAGTTGTTGATGGGATATTAGGGTATAAATCATAATGCTAAAGTTTTTGATGGGATATAAGGGGATAAATCATTGTGAAAAAGTTGTTGATGACATATAAGGGACACATTATAGTGACAAAGTTGTTGTGGATGTGGTATAAGGGATAAATCATAGTGGCATAAGTTGTGGATGGGTTATAAGGGATACGTCATAGTGCTTAAGTTGTTGATGGGATATAAGAAGATCATAGAGACAAAGTTACTGATTGAATATAAGGGATAAATAATTGTGACAAAGTTCTTGATGGGATATAAGGGGATAAATCGTAGTGACAAAGTTGTTGATGGCATATAAGGGATAAATCATAGTGGCATAAGTTGTTAATTGGGTATAAGGGGATGAATCATAGTGACATAAGTTGTTGATGGGATATAAGGGGACAATCATAGTGACACAGGAATAAACGGTGGCTGCACTTCTGTGGCCTCAAACCTTATGGGGTTTGTAGTGACCAGTGTGTAGATTCCTGTGGGGGACATAATATTATTCGAAATATTTCTCTTAAAATGAGAAACAATAGCTTTTTGTTCAGAAAGGAATCTATTTCATTTAAAATTGTTTTTTGAATACCTGGCTGAACGGCGATTGTTTGCATTTTTGATACTGCAAATACTTATATAAACAGTACATATATTACTGTAAATAGAGTGTGCCGACTGACAGATTAGTGTTCCCTGTACAAGTTATGCATATGTAACAGCAAATTGCACTGTAGAGATCTTTTTTTTTTAATATGTTTTGAACCTAACTAACTCATGATTGATTGTTGGTTTTAGAGTACTTCATTGAATGTCCTCAGAATGATGGAAACTGGGCTGAGGCAAGATTAACAGATGGCACAGTATATATGTTTAAGTAAGTCAAATGTAAAATGTGACCTTATGTCTGGTGCTGATATTAAATTGACAATTAGATTAAAAGAGTGTATATTTTACCTTAACTCTTCAACGTTTAATCATAATTATTTGATTTCACCAAATACGATTTGTTTTCTCCGAAAAATGAAAAATATGGCTAAAATGTGTTGATATAATACATATGAGTACATTCACGTAGACAAACCACATTACACGACAACACGGATGCATGCTAATACGTGCCCGCACGAATGTTTATGTGTGTGTTTCGATTTGATGCTATGATACATGCTTTAAGGACGACAAATGCGGGAATATTGGGGATACTACCATGTCTTAGTCTTCCGGAATATGTTCACGCCTAACTTATGCTGACTCTATAGTCTTATCATCTAATATATTTATATGTTTTCGTTACAGGTTAATGAGAACAACAAAGGTGTCTCAGCCAGACGCACTTTTGTCCTGTACTTCCATTGGAGGGAGACTGTTAAAGATACTGACAGAAGAAAAAATGGATTTTGTAAGAAATAATCTGACAAAATGTGAAAGTAAGACAATTTTACCTATAAATTATTTAGCATCAAATTGAATAACATATATTAGTTTGATATATTACTTTCTGTTGAAAATAAATGAACGCTAGACCTATTTCAGATTATATCATGGTTTGGATATGATATTACGTTTGAGTACATTAAAGTACCATCTTGTCTACTATCTTGTCCTTATGTGACAATGCATATCTATGAGAGTTGTCGCAGTTTTATATCATGAAAATAATACATACTACAGGGTGATTCATTCTGTCATAAATCACCTCTTTTTGTTACTATACAACGGGCAAATATCGGAATTATAATAGAATAATATATAACAATTTATGATAAATAAATATAATCAGCTGATATACGAAATGTAAACAATAAAAATGACTGAGTTCCTCTCTCTAATCGTAGCACTTTATTTGACAGGTATACACGGATACAGTTATTGGATAGATGGAAGCAATGCTAACGCCTCGGACCCTTTTGCTACTGATGCTTATAAAACGGCTGATAATGAGGCAATTCCGATGACAAGTTATTTCTGGTATCCTGACTTGCCCGACTGGCCTCAGTCAAGTCATTGTATATGGATATCTGATATATTTGGTTACAAATTTGACGATGTAACGTGCCTACACGGTCTGCAAACCGACGGTGTTTATCCTATTTGCGAGAAAGAAGTTCCATAATAATACTGTTATAAATAAATGAGTCCTGAATACGAGATATAAATGGAAAAGTATGAGGTGTCAATGGGTTTCTGCGTTAAAGAGTGGTGTTACATTGCTATAATTGATATTGTCAATAATCGTTTGCAAAGTATCTAATTCTTCTAAGGCAATACTACTTTCACATTTCTCTTACCCATCATCTCTGTCATGCGCTTGTTTAGCAGTCATTATCCAATCTTCAATGTCGAGGAGTAATGATTCAATTTTTAATGTTAAAAGAAATGGACTTAATTATCCCAATTGTGGAACTTTAAAGTTACAGCAGAACAGCGTTAACTTTCTCCTTTCCTTACTCCATTTCCAGATTTTTATTATTCACAACAGAAGGTATCAAGTGAATTGTGGCAGCTGTTAAACGTAGCCCCGTACTTCAATTCCTTTGTTCATGTTTTTCTTGTCCTTCGGAATCATTGTTTCCAGGACGTTAGTGTGGAAGACTGAATAATCCCTTATGCTGGTGTTAGGGTTTGTGACAGATGAACATTGCACATTGCATTATTTCTCATGAACAAACTCGAACTGACTCTGCAATTTTCACATATTATGGTTGTTTTCATTGCCTTCCAAGGGATTACCCCTTTATACACAGTAGAAAAAAATGGCTTCAGGAAAACTGATTTACGTCTCCTGTCATTCGATGGTTACACGAAATAGACGCCAAATAAAGTTGCAGAATTAAAAAACAGATGTCAAATTAAAAAAAATATATAGTAATATCGGTATATATAACGTTAACCTTGAAATGATAAAAGTTTAGAACATAAATTCCAATTTGATTTTTATTGAACTATTTAAACACCTCGTGAAAATGAAATCAAAACTTCTTCTCCCATCTTGTTTGTTATTGTATTACTATTATATATATAACTATTTTGAAGAACTTAATTAGATTGAAAAAAATGCATAGGTCAAAATTGATAACAAAAAGTAAAAAGAAAATGCTGATTACTAATAAAAATAACTTTAAAAATATTGTATTTCTAGCTGTTTTGTCTGCCGAAGTAAAACTGGTTCACTTGTATATGTTATTTCTATGTTTTCCATGCAAAGTCATATAGAAATATTAGCATAGCTTACATAATAATTACATAATAATTTCTTGTAGGGTTGAACAGGCTCAATCAAACCGAGCCTGCAACATTTTCAATTTTGCCGCGTTGGGCTTTCTTTAGGGATTCTTATTTCACTCTATTTTATCGCCACATCAGCGTTGTTTGTGCCGTGTGGAGGCTGTAAAAAGTCACTCTGTATATTCAATCAGGGATGTTATATTTCCGATCCTTAAAGATCGTTCAGCACGACTTTATTGTTGTGCTTGTGGTATTTTAGTTCTTTCTATTCGGCATCTTTCTTGTTGAGTGGTTCCAGTATTCCTCACTTGAATACTGTTGAATCACCCTTAGGATATGAGGCCTGTTTTTTAAATTTGTCTTTTGACGTTATATCTGTGATATGCAGGCTTCATAACCTCAGATCCCCTTTCAAAATTCCATTTTATTTAGTTCCGCCCATTGTTTTTTCGTTTAGGGCACACGCATTTTTTTTACCTGGGGACCATATGCCGCTTTTCATGGAATGGCACTAACGTGTTACAGTGAAGGTTCCATGATAAGCGCCATATGGGCACATCTGCGGATGATTAAAAATTCTAAATTTTACCAGTTCATGTTTAATGTTGAATTTTGTTTAAGCCGGTGCTAGGGGGCGTGGACGGTATTTGCACTTGACAGTTCCGTCCATGAACAGGCTCAATCAAATCGGGCCTGCAACATTTTCAATTTTGTCGCGTTGGGCTTTCTATAGGGATTCCTATTTCAGTCTACTTTATTAATCTTGAAAAATGAACACTTTAAGAAGTATATGTTTCTAAACAAACCTGTCGTGTTTCGGCAAGTGAACTCAGTTTCTAACACCAACACCTACGCAGTCGGTAAATCAATTTTTTTTTAAAAATACTTGATTAACATGCAAAAAATATAATAATTATAACCAGTGTATTAATTGAACACATTAGTAATCATATAAAATATTAAACACTTATTGAACATCATAAACTAATCGTTCCTGATAATTTTTGATATTATTTACATTATTTTGGACAAAATTTAAAACTTAGATCTCTTGTGTAAAATAAACTCACTAAGTTCTTACATAAAATAAACTGTTCACTAAAAATGTAATGAGACCTGAATACAAGAGGTATTGTTAAACAGAACGTAAGTATCTGAGCAATTTAACTAGAAAGTTAAAGACCTGTGCTGTATATCTTATTTTAGAACTATCATTTACATTTTATTTCATACCTTTACATTATTGTTTAGAACTATCGTTTACATTTTATTTTAGAATGGCCAATGAGATTCCCCAGTTTCATTTTTGAAATTTTAAAATGACCAATGAATACTCGTCTTATATTCAGTTCTTTCCTGTAAATTTTACAGGAGGTCAATCTGAAAACAGACCGGCCTTTGACCGGAAAAACTTTATGAATATTGCATTTTATGTGCAAACAAATAAACCATATTTCCTTCAAACGTTGAATTACTTAGTAATAAAAGCTTAGTTTCCAACCTTGTCATGGGAAAGTTGTTGCTTCTTTAAGCCTGTTGTTAATTATTAGGAACCAATTCGACAGTGAGTATCTTACCTTTAGCTTTCTTCACAATCTCTCGGCCGAGTGGTTAAGGTCGTTCATTTCAAACCACTTGCACCTTACCAATGTGGGTGCAATCCTGACAGAGACTATGGATTCTTTCATGAACGTCGCTATTTTACTCAGGCGCACGTTCGTGCCTGAAATAATCCACTTGAGGTGTTCCTACACCAGTAAAGCTGGAAAGACGCCATAATATTATGACCTATATTGTGTTGGTAAGACGTAAAAGCCACCCAAAATTTATATAAAATAACTTCATAATCGAACAATCATAAACTCGATCGTATGAATAACAAACAAAACAAACAAAAGAAGATAGCAAATATGTTCGATTGTAGAATGGTATACATAATGTTTAAATTAGATAAATTCGATACGTGTACAATTATTTGAACTGAACAATTATTTGAAGTCTTCTTTCAGTGAATAAGTTTTCTAGCAAATGTTACAACAGTGAAGGATAAAATTTGTTTACCGCTTTATGCACGACTGATTAACTCTAGAATAAACAGATTCATTAATTGCTTCTCTTGGTCTTGTTTCATGTTCTTATAATTATTTATATTTAGGTAGCTATCCTTTTAACCGTTTCAAACAAAGCTCAATTGAACGCACACTCTATCGAAACTCTCAAAATAAATAGATAGTCACTACTTTTAAAACGGGAGTATGCTGTAAACAAGTCGTGTTTATCACGTCACTTCTGTCAAAAAACCTCAGTGAAGTCCCTTTAAGTTAGCTACCCTTTTAACCATTTTAAATAAAGCTCAATTGAAAGCACACTCTAGCGTATTTACGTGTTTATAATAACTTTCAAAATAGATAGATAGTCACTGCTTTTAAAACGGGAGAATGCTGTAAACAAGTCGCGTTTATCACGTCACTTCTGTACTCGAACGATCGATCTATTTGTATAATATCGTGAAATGCTAACGTTTTTAATCGTTCAACAGGTATTGATTTGATCAATATAAACTTTTAAACTAAACTATTTTTAAAACTGAACTGTTTATGGACAATCTCTTCGTAGATCATTCACACTTTATTCCCATCTCGTGTTTATAACAATATTTAGTGAAGTGCATAGCCTTAATTGGATTGAGAGGTCTTTGTAAGACCAGATCAGGTAAGAAATATTTATTCCATTTGTCTTAAAGTGATGATATATAAGTTGATATTACAAGGTGTCTTTAAAAAATGATATCATCAATACTTATAATTTATATGAAATACATAAATACTTTTTGCAATTAAAAACAACAGATTTGAAAAGTTGAGAATGATTTATATCAGTCATTAATTACTATTTAGAGATGATTGCTAGAGTCTTTCTACTAAATGCCGTAACTGACAAACTGACTCTTGATCGAAAATGATCATTAAGAGTTTTACTTTTTACATATATTGTATATTATTCAGAATTGATATGGTTTAGTTTTGCTATTTAAAAAAGCATAAATGTTAGCAAGTTGCATTTACAATAATGAAGATAGACGAGCGTTTATTGTTTTCTTCATTTATTTCTTAAATAATAATCTGTCCGCGATTAAAGCAATACCATGACATTTTGTTACCGAATAAGAATTGTTACAGGTTCTATTTTAAAGTGTTTATTGTAATACATTTAGTTCTATAAATGTACGGTACAGGTCTATAATTACATTAACATTGATTTTCAATAACAAAAATTAATGTCTTTTTTAATGATTCTATATAATAATGTTCTCTAATAAATTATACAATGTAAGTATATATAACTGATTTGTAAAACAAAACAATAATACCATATCAAATATATGTAATTTGAAATTTTAATACATTACAAGAGTAAACATTACAGACTTAAAATCTATTTTAAATATTTTATTTTTGTCACCATATCGGATATATGTCATTGATCGATCACCAATTAAAAATTACAACCTTGTTTAACATACCGCTCGACTAATTTTTATTGAAAACAACCATGTAGTAAATTGATACGATTTGGATACTATAACTTTTGTCTCAGATTTCTTAATTATGACTTCTTTTGTTATTGTTGTACTTGTACAATATATACATCAAAAAGGACATTAATATTGTTTATGTTCATAGCAGTTATAACAAAAAAAATTTATCCGAGTTATGAATCGTATTATATTACGATTTACTATAGGAATATTACAGTAACTACTGTTCTTAATTGGTGCCAAATTAGTAAATTAATTTTCAATTAAACACAAGTAAATGTTGACAACTTTTGTTTCAACTTGTGGTTGTAGTCTTCAGATAAAGTGGTAGAATAAATAGAAGCTACAGTCCGGTGCTTATGAGGATGTATGTGGTCGCTCATAGAATCACAACTGACAGATACTGATGAGGACTTAGGTCATTCAGAATTAGAATGAACTATCGTCATTTATAATAGATCAACGTCATTTTCAAATATGGATCGCTATTAAACAAATATTTCTATTGGTGCTGTCTTATATTTAAGATTAATAACACTATCTAAATAAAGACTGGCGATTTTCCTTAGTTAAGCAGCCAAACATTAAATGCACGATTATTTTGACAACACTTAAAAATTTCTTAATTAATTTAACTGATGAAAAATATTCATAAATTATACCAAATATGTTGATCTTAATTCTAAATCACTGTATTTTAGTATGAGTTTTCATAAAAGTGGATAAATTATATAGGAGATGTAATAAAAAGCTGTGTTTTATCTCAAGTTCAAATGGACTGAAATGTTTTGATGATAAAACGTGACCTCATAGGTAATGTGTGTAATGGTTCAGTTGGTGAAAATCTTACTTTATTGATTGTTGTCCATTGTTTATTTGATTTTCCAATCTCAAGAGGTTTAAACCAAACATAACCTTTTTACTATTATATTGATCAGGAGATTGACCCGTCACAACTTGTTTATCGTGAGTTTCTGCCAAAAGTTTAAGTTCGTGATACGGTTACAAGATAAATTCTTTTTAAGAAGTTGTTGAAAATAACTACATGTACATGTACTAATATGTGAACGACTGATATGACATTCTTCATTTATGTACTAGCAAAATACGTTGTCAAGCAGAACCCGGATCAATAAAGTTGTTTTGAATAGAATATTTTTTTTTTATTTACAATTTTTTCTGCATCTAAGATATCGATTTTATTTCATTTATTTCACAGCTAATTTTTAACTACATAAAATTTTTGAAGCTTCTTCTCACAAACATTTAGGAGTTGTTCTATCAAACGATTGTTCATGGTCAAATCATCTAGAATATATTAAAAACAAAGCTTGGACAAGGATCAATATTCTCCGTAGTCTAAAATTTACACTCGACAGAAATACATTAGAAACATTATATTTGACATTTAGTCCGTCCATTATTAGAGTAATGGAGATATACTTTTTGATAATTGTTCAGCTAGCGAAAAGCATGAATTAGATATGATTCAAAACGAGGCTGCCAGAATAGTCACAGGTGCTACTAAACTTTGTTCTCTTGAAAATTTTATGACGACTAGGATGGGAATCATTATCAACTCGACGTAGTAATCACAAACTGGTCTTTTATTTACAAAATTCGAAATAGTTTATGGTCCTACTTACTTACACACTCTTATCCAACACGTCAAAACGAAGATACACCTTCAAGAAATCCTCTGATATTCCTCCTATCTATGTCGAACATCCTTTTAATCAAAACTCTCTCATCCCGTCTAGCATCCGTTCTTGGAACACGCTCCCTCAGAATACAAATCATCAGAATCTTTACAACAATTCAAGCGACTCCTTTCAAACCCACACAAACCCCTAATTATTTTAACCACAGGGCCTCGCAAACTTCAAATCCTGCATACTCGCTTAAGACTTGCCTGTAGTTCCTTAAATGATGATCTTTTCCGAAAAAATATTTCCGAATCAAACACATGCGCCTGTGGTCAAACAGAAACAGTGTGTCATTTTCTTCTAAACTGTCCTTTGTATCAACATATGCGAGATATCCTCTATAGGAACATCATACAGCTGGATAGATCCTTGATCATAACTCACACTCTGCTTTTGCATGGTTCTAATTCCCTTTCAAACAACCAAAACGTAGAGCTTTTCAAGTCTGTATACCTTTATATTGATTCTACGAAACGATTTATATAATGTCTGACTGCTACTGCTATGCTGCTTATATTCTTTTCTTGTCCTTATCTTTATTTTTTTAATTTCCTTTTTGTGTTTTTTTTTTCTTAAGTTGTTTTCTGTAGTTTTTTACTTAATTTTTGTCAAAACTTACTAAAAGTTTGTCCTTACCATTAACATTTCATTTTTCCTTTTCAATCTTGCATTAATGCGAATTAATTAATTATCAAATGCGTTTTTTTTGGTAACTTGTTTATTACAACCACCACAGACATTGAAGATTGTTATTGTTAGATAATGGCTTCTATAAGCTTCTGCTTTCGGCCAAAATCTATAATTATTGTTATGTTGTTATCTACACATGTACAAATATTCTAAATAAAATATGTTTAAACCAACTACAGAAAATGATGAAAATTCTTTATCACAACATACCGAGCTTGACTATATTGTTAATAAATCGTGTAAAAAATTTAAAAAAAAAGAAGTAGAAAGATTTTACTGAACCGATCATTACGTGATTGGGTCCCATATACCAATCATTTTATTATTTTCAGAACATTTAAAGACAAGTATGTCATCTTCCGGGGGTGAACATCACCTGCGGTATATGCTGTTGTTGGGAGAAGGGGTCCCATTTGTGCTGAGAAGTCTGATTAACAGAGAATTAAACACCTGTAAGAAATCATTGTCTGATATCTTAACAGCAAAGGAAAACGATATGCGTGAATTGTTCAAACATGATAGTCAATTTAAGAAGCTCTATCCATCAAAAGGTCACGTCAATACGGATTTAGAATCATGGGACATTGGTTTACTGTCGGAAATTCTTCTAGATCTTTTCGGGCAAGATTTGACCCTTCATGAGCGCATCCAAATAAAGTCCTTTGGTTACTCCCGCAATGATCTGATTCATAGATATTTGGCAGTCTACGAGGAGCATGAATTTACCCGTGACATGTCAGACCTCGTCGTGGTTCTACTCAGTTTGTCTGCGAAAATTGGCCAAGAAACATATGACAGATGCCAGGATCTGATAAAAGATTCAGCTCATGCAGAAATTGCAGAACTAATGGTACGCCTCAGAGCTTGTCATGAATACGATAACAAAATGGTCGCAGAAATTGATGGCAGTGTCAAGGCCAAACGACTAAAACATGAGAAAAACACATCGAATCCAATTGAGGAAATGAAAGGTAGGGGGTCGAAACGTATTCAATATGTTGGTTTTCTAATGTCAAATATGTTTTGGAGATTTTTGTGTGTGTTTATTTGGCAAATTTGATTCTCATTCTTCAAACATGTGTTTATACGTTCTTGGACAATTTAAACATATTTTCATATTAATAATAAAGACGTTATTAATCAGATCCAGAAATCAATTTATTAAGGAATTCAGATTCAATATCACCTAAAACATTAGATAACTGTTTAGATCTATCTAATGTTTCGTTTCAGAGTACGAATTTATGTTGCGAAGGTTCGAGGAATCACTGACAAAACCTAGGCTGAAAGAAGGTATCGACTTTGCATATGAGCATGGTATGTTGTTCTTGTTAGTTTTTGTTTATATTTCGTTGATAAAAAGAAAAACTCGTTATTTTCGTTTGTCCGTCTATTAATGCGGGTGAGTCTACAATGGGCATCTTTTCATAAGTATTTTGAATATTGGTAAGAATATATCATTTTGATACTCTTATAAAATATTTCTTGAAGATAAACAAATGTTGATAGAATTCTAAGCGAGTTTGTCTGAACATTTATATGATGAATAGCAATATTCACATTTGCTCTTTACTTGGGATGCAGCTTATTATGTCACAGTGAGCACAACACATTGTTAGAATTTTCCATGTCTAAAGCTTAACCGGCGTCAGACGTTTATCATTGGTTTTTAAAATTAAAGTACTGATATACTTTCAAAAGTATGTAAAGAACGGGTGACATAAAGTTCAACAAAACAAAGTCCGCTTAAAACAAAGACAACAACTTTAAGTTATCAAAAGTATTAATTTACAAAGTAATAAAAGAAAGTATGACATAAAGTTGGATTAAATAAAAGTCCACAGCTATCAAAAAGGCGATGTGACATCAAATTGGACAATCAAAATTCAAAATATAAATATACTAAGTAACAAATATAAACTTGATATAAACTTGGACGAAAACAAAGTCTTCAAAAACAAGGTCCACGATTTTTGATGATTATGATGCCTTTTTCTCTCTCCAGTTATTGAGGCACGTATAGAAATTCGTTCTCAGAAGGCCGAGAATGTCACCAAAGGAACACTTCTATTATTAAATGCCTTCCACGTGGTCCTTGGAAAAGTTGCCCAGAATCAAAGACCAAATGTAATCAGGATAACGAGCGATGCGATGGTGGACGCTGCACGAAATCTCACGAAAATCATACAAAGTATTGACGGAGCCTCTATTCATGAAGTCTTATACAACCATGTCCTTTTAAATATTAAATGTGCCAGTGCCCGGTCCATGAAGAAGGTGCTGAAAAAATTGTTTGCGTCAGATTTCAAAGCTGTACTTACCGACATTTCGGAAACTTTAAAGAAAGAATTTGGAGGAAACATTCACGTCAAATGTCATGTAATGGAATCAAGTATAACAGAAACAGAAAATCATTTGAGTAAGTAAACTATAAACATATTTGAGGTAAAAATAAATTAATCATAGAACAATTAAAGATATACCAAAATTAATCTAATACAAATACATGTAATGTAGTCAACAATATTTTCATTCCTTTCTGCTCTTTGCCGTGTAGCTTAGATAACACAGAAAGTAACAGTTTTTTAATGATTTAAAACACTCTTATTCTTTGCGTAATCATTTTCAAAATATATATAATTAAAGGTATATGCACTTCTTCGCTGTCGAAGATTTAATTACCCTGAGAAAAAAGTAAGAGATAAATCTCTCTTTTGCACTGAATGTTTTTGTTTTTTTTTCTTGTCAAATAAAGTTGTAATTACCTTTTATAAAAGGTGAACAAGGTTTGGTTATAGGCACGTATGATGATTTGAGCTGTAGATCTGGCCATGCACACCCTATCGTGATGTTTTGTAACGACGATGAGCAGTTTTGTTGTCATATCTGCGCATTGCGGCATCACAGGTTTGAAACAAAATTCATTTATTGTCAAATCTGCTGAAACATGATAATATAATGTACAAAATATAAAGAACAGCGCTTTAATAATTTTTGGTCCTTTTTTAATATATTCTAATTTGTTTCTTATTTTATGCAGATATTTAAATTTATTTCGATAACAGTAATTATGATTCTATAATTTCACAAATTGTATTGAAACGATGATAGATGATAACTTACATTACATTTATAAAATCATATAGACACCATAATTGGAACACACTGTTCCAAATTACGATTCGAATATATATACTTCAGAATGTTGCTGCATGGCAACGTAACGTTGTAACTAAAGTCGGTCAAATTATTTCAATGTTGCGTGCCACAAACTGAATGCAGATGCCCATGTAAATCTATGCCCATTGCATATTTGCTTTATTGACATAAACTTCTACATCTTAGATACAAAAATGTTCATTTTTATTGAAATTGCCCTCTGATAAAATTACACAATAATATATCTTTATAGAGCATGTCCTGGACTTAGACAGACAACACAGGCTGAGAAAATCAACTATGCTAAGACAGATGTCAAAGAATATAATGCCAGAGTGGAACTTGATGATGCAATATGCTGGATCAATGGAATTTGCGCCCTCCCAAATGGAGACCTTCTATTCATTGATGAAAACAACAAACGTCTAAAGAAGTTCGACAGCACATTTAATTTCGTCACCCAGATTGAGCTTCCTAATGCACCATATGACGTGTGTTATATGGAAAACAACCAGGCAGCCGTTGGGTTATGGGGAAAAACAATACAGATAATGAATGTCAAGGACAACTTGGTAGTAGAAAATAGCTTCGAGCTTGAGCATTCCATTCTTGGTCTGATTTACAATAAGAAAAAATTCTTTGTTACTGATGAAGGATTCGTGTACACGTATAACAGTGATGGATCGGGAAAACATCTTCTATATAAATCAAATGCAGAATTGGTTTGCTTTTCAAAGTTGACCTTAAGTGCGGACGGCGAGAAACTGTTTATCGTCGATGGTTATGGGGGTCTCGAAACCATTGATAGAAAAGGTAATCATCTATTTACCTTAAGAGAACAGGAGCTAAAGATGTCAAGAGGAATAAGTTTGTCAATGGACAAAACCCTGCTTGTATGTGAATATGAGTCCAGCACCGTGTTGCATTTGGATGCAGATGGTGAGAAGATTTTCGGAACTGTCCTCAATAAATTGAATGGTGCAAAGCGGCCAACTGCACTGTGGTGCGATAAGAAAAGATCAAAGCTGATAGTATGTCAGAGAGACAAAAACGAATTCCTCGTCTATAATCTAGGATAAATCTAACTGCCCCCATCCATCTGGCTTCTGTCTTACTTATATACTATACGATTGAGGCCACATGCTATATGACAAAGACATGCTTTAAGTTTAATTCACCATAGAGAAGTGCATTAGACCATCATCTTGAAACGACAAAACAGAAAATTCATGACTAAATTTTTGCGTGCAGATTTTGTAAATACATGTATTTCTTTTGAATAAATACATTTCTGCTTTGTAATTTATAAGATATATTAATTTTGTTTATATATGACCATTTAGCGAATAATATATATACTTTACCTTTGTCTGATTGTTTATTGTGTTCTTTGACTTCGATTTTTGTATTTTTCTTTTTAACTAACTTTAAATTCTTGAACATAAATACTTACCGGATATTGTTTTATGTTTCTTTCATAATATGTAAATATTCATATGATCATTTTATTGGAGTTTTTCGCTCAAATTAAAATATACATACATTCAGCTAGTATTTAGGACTTGGATAATTCAAAAATAAATAAACAGGTACCTGACGATTTACATAGCAAAATGACCCCCAATAGCAACTGTGCCGTTTAAAATATAGTGACTAGAGTAAAGGTAACAAAATTAGAGAATAAAAACAGAAAAAAATGTAAGCAATCTGTTTCGTACATTTCACGAAATGATATTTAATTATGGTGTTACACTTGATTTTGAACTGTTAATAAACAATCAGCTACTATTCTGTTGTATGTAGAAAAACAAGATGTAGTTTTACGTTGGTTTTCTCTTTCTTTTTACAACAGCTCAAATAATTGAGCCTGCTATTTTTTTAAATAAGTAGAGCCATGTACACAGCAGAGCAGACGAATTTTTGTTAACATGTATCATGTTACCGCTGCACGGCGCTGATCAATATTCATGTATGCATACTGCAGCAAGAAAACCGGTTGGTAATTCTCTACTTTGTTATGGTTTTATGAACATGTATATGGCTGACATGTACCTTAAAAAATAGAACAAAGATCAACAAGGAAACAATCGTAAGTCTTTTGTCTTATCTTGCTCAGAAGGATTAGAATATATGTATGTACTATGCAATGTTTTTTTTCAAATCTTGATTACGTAAAGTTTAAACTTAGTTGTGCTACTGTTACATGTATTTCTTTTTGTATGTTTGATTTCATAAAAGAGCATACTGGTTTTTCATTAAAAACCGAAAATATTTCAGCTTAAAATTACGCGGATTGTAAGTGCCATTTTAAGTGCTGCTTTAAATGTCAATAAAACTGTGTCTTGAACACTTTATTATGTAAAACACACGAACGTTTGTCTTCAAAAACAAGTTTCAACTTGCAAATTATCGCCGTTATAAAGCTACACAAAGGCGCTGTTATTACGGTTGCGTGTTCACATGAAATATGTATTTAGCAAACGTTAATTAGTACTGAATGTTTAGGTAAATGTGAATGCAATTGTAAATAACTTCGTGATTAATTTTGGTCTGCTCAACATTTAAAGAATAGTAAATGTAATATTTTATATCGACCACGGGGGAGGAAGTGTTACACGAGGGATGGAGTTCTTATGATAACTTGTCAAGGAGTTCTTGTGATAACTGTCATGGAGTTCGTCGGAAAACTATTGTATATACTTTAAAAACACTCGTCAAAAATGGTATTTTTCATCTTTAAAAAGTGAGTTTTAGGTGCTAAATTAATCTTTTTGCAAAATTGCAAACATAAAGCCCCCGCTAACAAATTTATACCCGATTTTTCAAATGTCCCGGAGTTCTTGTGATAACTCAAAATATGTCCTGGAGTTCTTATGATAACTTTTGTTACTGCCAATGTGTTTCTTGCGCTAAATCACGGCACGTTTTAACTCAGTAAGGTTGAAAATCATTATGAAATGTAGTACGCTCATTTTTTGCACAAAAATAAGGATATATAACGTTGGTTTTAAGTGTATTTTAGTTAAAGAGATATTACTGAGATATCTTATCCCCGTTTCTTTTTTATGGTATTTTTGCTGACGCAAATTTCGTAGAATTGAAAAAAGGATTGATGTAGAGCATTGACTTTTATGATAAAATGCGCTCAAGTATGGTGTCTTCATGTATATTTTCTGCCAATGCCTGATGGGTATTTCCCCTATGTAATCTTAGTAGAGGAAACTCTGTTAATTTTGCTGTAATTGATAACAAAAATATATTTAGTCAAACTTATTTCGCCCGAGCCCGGAGGGCCTTGCAAATTTGTTCTAGAGCCAACCGCAGTTGTGTTTGTATCATATTGTCGTACTTTTTGGAAACATAGGTTTGAAAAATTATCCTGGTTTTATACATGTACTTCTTTATTATGGTATAAAATGATACAAATTACTTAGCCCTTAGATAAGCGATGCACAACTATATATTATCTGGTAGTTGAGAACAACGTGTTAGTTTTGAGACATTTTTGTTTTGTGGTTTAGGCCATGATACTGCCGCTGATTCAATCTTACGTAGATGATAGCCAATCACCTGTTTATCCTTTGCATACACTCGATCAAGACCAACATTTTATACACATTTTTGTGCAAAGGATGAGCGTATTATATTTTATAAGTATTTACAACCTTATTGAATAATAAAAAAGCTAAAACGTGCCGTGATTTAGCGCAAGAAACACATTGGCAGTAACAAAAGTTATCATAAGAACTCCAGGACATATTTTGAGTTATCACAAGAACTCCGGGACATTTGAAAAATCGGGTATAAATTTGTTAGTCGGGGCTTTATGTTTGCAATTTTGCATTATAATTAGGTAATTATGTATGGCAAGGATGAAGACTCTAAATAAACAGGTCAATATTTGCGAATTGGCAAATAATTTGGAAATTTTACTCAAAACTACCAGATTTTAAGCAAGAGGCGATGGAAAATGGACTATGAATTAGTTTTTGACACAAAATACAATATGCAACGCAAGGTTAATCATTAAAGTTTATTTTAGCACCTAAAACTCACTTTTTAAAGGTGAAAATGCATTTTTCAGAAATATATAATTTATAACAAAGAAAATATATAATATAAGTGTAGTGTGAGCAAACGGTGGATTAGAATGCGTATTTAAAAAAAGTCATCAACAGAAAGAAAAGCAAATTTGTTCGTTCGTTCGTTCATAATTCTAAAATGTGATAACTTGTTCAGGATTTCTTGTGATAACTGTCACAGAGTTCGTTGGAAAACATTTGTATATACTACAAAAACACTCGTAAAAAATTTCAAAATTCAAAAATAAGTTTTAGGAGCTAAATTATACTTTAAGGATTAAGCTTGTCACACATCTTGTTCAAAAATTCATTTTTGAAAGTTAAAAATAATCATTTTTGACGAGTGTTTTTGTAGTATATACAGATGTTTTCCGACAAACTCCGTGACAGTTATCACAAGTTATCATAAGAACTCCATATTTCGTGTAACAGTTCCTCCCCCGTGGTCGTTGATGTTGACGTAGCCGATGCAGATGTCGTTGCCTCATTGATCTTCTTTTTTATTTGTATAAATACAGTCTATACACGAATAATAAAGTTTAGGCCATTTAAAGATTATAGCAAAGATGAAGTAAAATATTCAAAAACCTTTTCAAGGTCATTTATGAGTCAAGGTCAAGTTCAGTCTGATCTTCTTGAAAGCCTTGTACAAAGGATTATTGAGCCCATGTATGAAATACAAAAAAAAATGAAATCGATCCCCAAATATTTTTACGGAGCCCCTAAGGTGACGTTTTCGACACTTTTTCCCCGGCATTTAATTCGTTTTTACGAAATATTAATTCGTTTTTAAGGAAATAATTCGTTTTTACGAATTATTAATTCGTTTTTACGAAATATTAATTCGTAATTACGAAATATTAATTCGTTTTTACGAAATATTAATTCGTTTTCACGAAATATTAATTCGTAATTACAAAATATTAATTCGTTTTTACGAAATAATAATTCGTAATTACGAAATATTAATTCGTTTTTACGAAATAATAATTCGTTTTTACACAATATTAATTCGTAATTACAAAATATTAATTCGTAATTACAAAATATTAATTATTCGTTTTAATTACGAATTAATATTTCGTCAAAACGAATTAATATTAAAACTTCCTATAAACGAATTAGTATTTCGTAATTACGAATTAAGATTTCGTAATTATGAAAAAATAGTTCGTAATTACGAATTAATATTTCGTAAAAATGAATTAATACTTCGTAATTACGAATTAATATTTCGTAATTACGAATTATTATTTCGCAAAAATGAATTAAGTTCCGAAAAAAAAGTGTGGAAAATGGCACCTCAGGGGCTCCGTATATTTTGTCTTGAAATGTTTCTGTTATCATATTTTAATATCACACAAAGTTTAAATACATGTAGACTCTATCATATGTAGTTTATTCTGTTATGGTATGTACTCTATGTTAAACCAAGCATATGTCTTTAAATTGAGATAACTTCGTAATTCATCTACAGATTTGTCTATTTCTTGGACAAAATGACCTTAATGACTGACAAAATCGATGTTTTGAATAATTCAAATATGAACTTGACAATAAATGACCTTGTCAAGGAGTTTCGGTGCAAATGTGACAACTTTCCTATTCATGCACATATTTGTTTGACTTAAAATTAGACAAATCAATACTAATAACAAAATCGACATGTTGAATTAGTAATAAAAGTTTTACTTTCAAAGTCAGATTATTGAATTTTGCTTTAAGTTGTTATAAGTTTTTTTTTATTTATGAACTGACCTGATTCATTCTAAAAAAAGGAAAGCGATTGACACCATGGACATTTGAATAATCAAATAGGACATTGACATTAAGATGAGATTGATCGTCAGTTGATTATTTTGGAATTCTGCAGAAATTGTGATATTTTAGTTGTTTACTTACACTTTTGATTCATACTTTGAAAATATTACTGACAACTCGACATGTTGAATAATTAAGGTATGACCTTGATCTATAAATGAACTTAACTGTCAGATATGAAATTTAATTCAATTCAGTAAAAGAAAAAGACTTGCGTTTGAAAATTCTAGACTACAATTTTCTACCTCTTATTTTGATGACCTTTGGAAATAAGAAAAAGTCGAATGTACATACATGCATGCTTTCGATCAGTTAAAATTGGGATTTTATTATTCATTTTTAGCTCGACTATTCGCAGAATAATCGAGCTAATGCAGTCACCCATTTGTCGGCGTCGGCGTCGGCGTCGGCGTCGGCGTCCCTGTGGTTAAGTTTTTGTATGTAAGCTGGTATCTCCATAACTACTGAAGGGAATGGATTGAAACTTCACACACTTGTTCTCTGTGATTATCTAAGATGATTGGCACAAGTCCCATAACTCTGATTTGCTTTTTTTCATAATTATGCCCCTTTTTCGACTTAGAAATTCTTGGTTAAGTTTTTGTATGTAAGCTGGTATCTCCATAACTACTGAAGGGAATGGATTGAAACTTCACACACTTGTTCTCTGTGATTATCTAAGATGATTGGCACAAGTCCCATAACTCTGATTTGCTTTTTTTTATAATTATGCCCCTTTTTCGACTTAGAAATTCTTGGTTAAGTTTTTGTATGTAAGCTGGTATCTCCATAACTACTGAAGGGAATGGATTGAAACTTCACACACTTGTTCTCTGTGATTATCTAAGATGATTGGCACAAGTCCCATAACTCTGATTTGCTTTTTTTCATAATTATGCCCCTTTTTCGACTTAGAAATTCTTGGTTAAGTTTTTGTATGTAAGCTGTTATCTCCATAACTACTGAAGGGAATTGATTGAAACTTCACACACTTGTTCCTTGTGATTATCTAAGATGATTGGCACAAGTCCCATAACTCTGATTTGCTTTTTTACATAATTATGCCCCTTTTTCGACTTAGAAATTCTTGGTTAAGTTTTTGCGTGTAAGCTGGTATCTCCATAACTACTGAAGGGAATGGATTGAAACTTCACACACTTGTTCTCTGTGATTATCTAAGATAATTGCCACAAGTCCCATAACTCTGATTTGCTTTTTTTCATAATTATGCCCCTTTTTCGACTTAGAAATTCTTGGTTAAGTTTTTGTATGTAAGCTGTTATCTCCATAACTACTGAAGGGAATTGATTGAAACTTCACACACTTGTTCCTTGTGATTATCTAAGATGATTGGCACAAGTCCCATAACTCTGATTTGCTTTTTTACATAATTATGCCCCTTTTTCGACTTAGAAATTCTTGGTTAAGTTTTTGCGTGTAAGCTGGTATCTCCATAACTACTGAAGGGAATGGATTGAAACTTCACACACTTGTTCTCTGTGATTATCTAAGATAATTGCCACAAGTCCCATAACTCTGATTTGCTTTTTTACATAATTATGCCCCTTTTTCGACTTAGAAATTCTTGGTTAAGTTTTTGCATGTAAGCTGGTATCTCCATAACTACTGATGGGAATGGATTGAAACTTCACACACTTGTTCTCTGTGATTATCTAAGATGATTGGCACAAGTCCCATAACTCTGATTTGCTTTTTAACATAATTATGCCACTTTTTCGACTTAGAAATTCTTGGTTAAGTTTTTGCATGTAAGCTGGTATCTCTATAACTACTGAAGGGAATGGATTGAAACTTCACACACTTGTTCTCTGTGATTATCTAAGATGATTGGCACAAGTCCCATAACTCTGATTTGCTTTTTAACATAATTATGCCCCTTTTTCGACTCATGAATTCTTGGTTAAGTTTTTGCATGTAAGCTTGTCTCTCCATAACTACTGAAGGGAATGTATTGAAACTTGAAGAGTTTGTACCTTTTCGGACAATTTTATGTATTCATATAGGTAAGCATTATTATACTCAATGAAACACCCTTGTGACAAATTTTCGAATAGTCGAGCGTTACTGTCCTCCGACAGTTCTTGTTATGTTTATTTATACAGGTGGAACAGTCATACCTTCTGCGGAGGAAAAGTGTGCTTTCAACTATATTTGTAAACGAAACTGTTGTCAGGAAAAAGTCCATGGGAAGAATAAACTCTGCACAGATGAGTCTATGAAAATATCAAAATGTTAAAGGCGGTTTGCTATACAAGGCCTTCAAATATTAACCACTGCTCTTTCCTTTCAATAGCAAATAGAGCATATAGAACGTATGGAGTTTTATGTGGTAGACGACCGAGCAGGCGCCGCTGGAAGGAGCAAAACTGGATACTCACAAATATCCGGAAAGTGATGAAAGATTGTGGTACAGAAAGCGAGCAAAAGAATGTCCAAAGTCAAATAGATAAATCGTCATTTTTCTCAAAGGTATCTGGTCGTATGTCTGTATTAAGTAAAACATGGAGCAAAATATTAAATGGAAGGAACTTATTTCCGCAATCTGCATTTATGATGGTCAAAAGATCTTTAGATACAGAAAAGTCATCATTTGATCTAAAGCCACAAGACGAAGTTGAACGAAATGGATCAAAATATGAAGACGCGTTTAATGCACTTTTAATTGCATTTTCTGAACAATCAAAGGAACAAGAGAATGATAAAGAGATTGTATGCAGTTCCAATCCTGTTCATGAACATACATTGCATTCCCCGTTTAGCAATTGCCCTACATTACAGCAAGAACAGCTCAATGAACTTACGATAGTTTATGAAGAAACTATCAATAAATCTTTAGAGGCAACTAATGAAGATATTGATACTTCAGTTGTTTTAATTTCGGGATTAATAAAGGAAAGTCGCTATCGTCAACAAGTTCGTTCTCGTAAACGTTTTAATATTCGCTTTCCATTTGGTGGGTCACTGATGAGAATAAGGCGTTTCTTTGATGAGTCGTATTGGAAGACACGTAAAATACTTCGGCAGAAGACAGATGCTGCGTATAAAGATATTTTAGACAATCTATTTTCAGTTGATGAACAAGAAATGATGCGAATGATAATAAAAGAAAGGTTAAATGAGCAGATCTCAAGAGGTAATGAGTTTCAAGACAAAAAAAGGCATACGAAAAGGGAAAACGCCGACGAAGCTGCAAAGGAGATATTGAAAAATATTATCCGAGGAGTAATGAAGACTGAATTCATGAAAATAAAGGTAACAACAATATTTGATTCACTTAAGGATAAAATCACACAAAGGAAATTCCTGGAAAGATTTATATGGATTGTATTGAAATATGTCATAGGTAAAGAAATCGTTGAATTCATAAACAATATAAAAAAATAAGGATTGGCCGTCATAAACACGTACAATCATCACGCAATGAATCGAAAGCCCTGTGTGGTAATCAAGTGGTATTTTTTTTCCACGCAACGAATATATTAGATACTATTGTATGTCGCATTTGTGCAACTTGTCCCGGAAACTGTTCAACATTTAGGGAGGTGGTGTGATTAATTCAGATATTAAATCAAAGCACAGAAGGCGCTGAATTTGTTTGGGTCTCAGAATGTAAGAAAGGTGCAGGTTGTGAGATTATATGTTTAGTGCCACCAATGCTTTCCAGCGTTTTAATTGTAGTAAATTGGCTATAAGACTAATTGCAACACTGATATTCAATCCAATGTTTATTTGACTTTAACAATTTAAAAAATTAGTTATCTTTACTGGGATTTGAACTCCAGACCTCTCGCTTCCTAAGCGAGCCCGAAAACCCTTCAGCCACGGTGAATTTATATGTGAACGGCCTGAAGAAAACCATATTATTCTAAATTAGGGCTTGTAACGACTTTAACTGTTGTTTAACACAGATGTAAATAATCCTGGAGCTTACTATAAGCATGTATATTTAAAAAGAATCAAAGGGCTGCAAGTTCTGTGGTATTTTCTGATCTTTGCAATCTAAATCGTACTGTATATCTGTATGCATTTTCCTGTATAAGTTTATTTTTATGTATTATAATTCCTTTTGTAAGGCACCAGAGTTTGATACATACGGAATTCTGCATAACTAGAGTTGCATCAAAAAATCATTTATGTTCCTTTTTTTACGACAGCCACACTTTATCCTTGTATGTCATGGCTACTTCCTTAACAAAAACACTTAAAAAAAAGAATTTAACAAAAAAAAAAAAAAAGTTTCCTCGACTGGGATTAGACTCAAGACCTCTCACTCACGAAGCGAGCGCGTTACCACTGTACCACTGAGAAGTTATACCCAGAACGTCTGAATAATATCAAGTCATTCTAAATTTAGAACTTCCATTGCAGTTCGGGTTTGTAATCCTTATTAATTTCGAGGTATTTTGTTCAGGGTAAACCTGTTGTTAAAAATTGAAGTAAATATTTTAGCGAAAATCCTCTCGCCCAAACAGTCCGGCATGTAGAATCTATATATTCCACTACTCGGTTTGTGTAGTATTCGGTAATCGACATGGCTGAAAATAGTATTTTCATTGATAAAATCATATTCATCCGCGTAATTTGTGATTGTGCATTTATTGACAATTCTATAAGCCAACGCTATTGTTTAACTTTAAATGCGTTGTAATTTGTTGGATACTTGTAACAAAATAGAATATTTCCTTTCTTTTAAATCGCTAAGTTTTAAGCTGTTTTGAGAACTACTTGTTGTTTAGGTTTGTCGTAAACTTCTGTGTCAAGAGATTGAATGTCCGCTTTGTATTTAGTTATTTCGATCAGAAAATACAATAAAACAATATTAGAAATCTTCGAACCATTCGGGAATTACTTTGCTTGAAAATTGATGCGCCTGTCTTTGACCATCTTTACGCAGTGATCTCCCCTGAATTTTTCGGCTTTAGTGTACATACAAAAGGGAAGTAACCGCTTCAAAAAAGTGGACTACTTTCGGCATTTGCAATTAACAACATTAGATTCTGAAATTTCGCTACCATTATTTGTTTGGTCTGACGACCCAAACAAATAAAAATCACTGAATTGCAGTTTCCAATCATAATGAATAAAGCCGGAAGATGTATGTGATGAAACAAAAGTTTTTGTTTTCAGCAGAAAGTAGTACTTGTAATTATAACAATTGACAAAATAAACGTTATTTAGACATTCATCAGTATTGTATATATCTTTTGAATGGAACAGTTACGAGAGAAATGCATTTTATCGTTTCGTTGTTGTTTTACGTAATTTATCTAATGTGGAAAAGATTTGCTAATTATTCATTTATTTACTTATTTATTTGGCATGCAAAACCAAATACACCGCATATTTTTATTAACACATGTCCAATACTGCTAGGCCAAGAAATATCAGGTTGTAATTTCAGCGTAACTGGGCCACTTTTACTATGCAAATGTTCCTTCCCTCAGTGGCGGATTCCATCTCGTTTTTCTTCTTCTTGCCATACACGTTGAGACTGGTCGAGTCTTTACATGTGCCAGAATTCTGGTAATGACTCAATACACTTTACAAATCTTATAAATCTAAAATGTAAGTCAATACTGGCCCTATCGTGCTGAATGTTCAATAAATACAGTTGAGAGATATGAAATGTTACTACTTTTATATCATATCATAACAAACTCAAATTTAACATACATGTCCAATTAATGTGATGGCGTGTTAAAAGTCAATGTTGCAAAATGGTGGAATCTGTGATATTTATTTTAATACAGCGTTAATAGTATATCACATTGATATTAACCTGGCAGCACTGTCACAGGGACTTTTTATAACTTTGTACAAATAAATTAGGAATAGATTTCTTATTTTAAACAATATTGACATATAATTGGGCTATGGTCTGTTACACGCCACCAGAAAATTCAGAAAGACTGTTGTCACTAACAAATTACTCTGGAAAAATTCCACACCAAAGTTCCTGTCGTCAATGTCCTACAAGTTATGGTCTAATATTTAGTATTCCAAACAACACAAACTAGAAAATGACACATTTTATTGAGAACATATATGTCATATCATTTTTAAAGTATAATGAAATTATCCCAATAACATTAGTTAGGTACATGGAGTTACAAAACTGCGATTTATTCTGTAAAATCTCAGTTTACTTTTGTCCGAGACCTGAAACAACATATTTTGTCAATCTTGCAAAAGAATACCTGAAATAAAGGGTTATAGTCAGCACTGTCTCTGCTTTAGCAACTCTCTAAACATTGCAAAATATCACTAGAAACTGGCTCTTAACCCATTAAAGCATGAGCATTTTGTGAAAAATGGCGGTTTTCATTGAAAAGTCTCCCGTTATAAGTTCGAATCGCTATAAACTACATGTATACAAAAACTGCTTCAATACTAATCGAACTTGGCACAAATGTTAACTGGACCATTGCCTTTGTAACAACATGCTCAGTCTTCAATTTTCTGTTACCATGGCAACGAGGGGACATCTCAAAATTGCCAAAAATCAATATATTTTGCGTTGATTTTTTTCCATCGAAATTGATTTCAAAGTGCTGCAACTTCTCAATGGACTGTTACTTTATGATCGACCTGGGGTCATTTTTAGCCTTTCACAAGTCCTTAAGAAGAAATAAATAAATATTTTGAAAATTTCTGAAAAGCTGTTTATGCATTAGATTCGGTAGTATAAAATTTAATCTGAAGTTAAACGTTTTTAAAAATGTATTTATAAATGATATCATTTAAGCGTGCTTCAAAAATATCTTTCTATGAAATACACGCAAAAGGTTTGTACATGAAGGCTTTCTACGGTGCCACAAAGGTGACATGTGTGTATGTGTTTTTATTTATCTCTTGCGCACGACTATGTCGTGCCACGAGTTACTAAGTCATGGCGACGAGATAGCTAAGTCGTGGCCACGAGATACTATCTTGCCAAAAATAAATATATTTTGCGTTGATTTTTTTCCATCGAAATTGATTTCAAAGTGCTGCAACTTCTAAATGGACTGTTAAACGAGTTGAAATTAGTGGTGTGAAATAAAGAAAACATATTATACATTGCTGAAACAATATTGATTCTCCTGGACTCGTACAACGTATACAATTCTATAATCTTCTTGACAACATAGATTGTGATCTTCAGGGTAAGAACCTATCTCCGCTTTTTAAAAATCAAGATTTTTTTTCAAGATTTTATTCAAAACCAATAATATATATAATATGCATAAGCTAGGTTATGATAGATCAACAATATAATGAACAGTTATTCAAAACTGATTAACAAAACATATATACATAAAATTATATAATAATGAGATCAATTTGACTAACACATATCGGTATTTGACTAAACTTTACTCTTTGGTTACACATAAAAATAATAGCCAAAGAAGTGTTTAAATGCCTGTACGGAAAATCACCACCATATATAAATGATTTAATTCAATTTAAAAATTCCAATTATTCTTTTAGGTATCAAAAAAGTGTAAATGTCCCAAGGGTCAAAACAGTAACATACGGTCAGAATTCTTTTAAGTTTGAAGGTGCCCAGATATGGAACAGTCTCCCTAATGACATCCGCAAGGTTGAAAATTACAAAGAGTTTGGGAGACTGATCCAGGTCTGGAGTGGCCCAAGTTGTAAATGTGCTATGTGCTTGTAAATTTGCTATGTGTTTGATATTCTGCTTAGTTTTAATTTATGTAAAAGCTTAGACTACATGTTTTGTTTGTTTGCCTTGCTTTTGTGCATCCCTTTTAGTTTGCTATGATGCTTTGATTATATGTTGTGTGTTAATTTTTCTTAAACCCTTGTATTTTATGCTAGTTGAATCTTTGTTGTTTTTATATGCTTTGTTCATATTAAAATTCCTTATTCCCGATTCCATTAGGCTGTGCATGCAACTTAATTTTAGTTTACTTTGTTTGTTACACTGTATGTGCTTTATCTTGTTTCTTTTTTATGCTGTATAAGTTCTATCATAAATTTTTATGCACTTTTATAAGTAAGTTTAATTTTATCTATTTATTTATTTATATATATTTTTTAGGAAACCTTCAATTACGTATTTATAAATTGTAGATTTTAACTTATAACTATTACTATTTTATTAATTTTTTTATTTTTTATTATTATTTTTATTTATTTCACATTGCTATATGTATCATACTTAAATTTCTAGACTACAGTCATTTATTACTTTTAGAAACTGTTATTACCTTTAATACAATATGTACTGTGCATGTCATCAAGCTATGCTTTAATTTACCATTTTATTGTAAAGTTCTTCTTAACCTTGATACTCTTATTTCATGCTTAAGCTGCTAATAGTTTTTATGTTTTTATTTTCAGAACTGTTATATGTTAGTAAATATGTTTTATGCTTTTGTTATTGTTCTTAAATAGCTTATTAGCTAATGTTTCTTGTAATATGTAAACCGACTTAAAATAAAGTTTCTTGTATCTTGTATCTTGTACATACCTATATATGTTATCTAAATTGTTTATATGTTAATGCACTCATACAGGTTGAGAAAATCATGCCTTACAGGAGAATGAGTTATTTAAATTTTGAAATAATAATTTTGCAGAATAATGCAAGTTTTAATAAAGTTGAATGGTCAGAGCTATCCGTGTAAGATTCTATACAGTATATAATTTATAAATACATGCATTAGGATGATTTGAGAATTTTGAATCATTAAACTTTTTACGAAGAGAAATAAAAAAGTGACATTCAAATAAGTAATGAAATTCATCCCCAAGAGATGGTTTAGGACATAAATGACATATTCTTTGATTTCTTTCAATATGTAAATGTCTATCTTTCTCTATAGGTGAGAATCTGAATGTGAATATAGTTCTGAATCGTAATAAAAAAGCGAAATCAAAGGGGGGCCACTCCGTAGGATTTAGAATAAAACTTCTCCGCAGTGGTCTCTCTTTGGTTCAATATATGGAAATCGGCGAGGTCTTCCGAATGACATAATGGCACCAAAATCGAAGGAAAATAATAACAATAATTGCAATGTCGTGCTTATATTTTTATCAACATTAAGTATACTTCTTATTTACATATTGGCGAAACTTTGTAAGTTTCTTTTTTTTGATGATTCTCCTTTATGTTTCCGTACTTAGCATAAGTGTACCAATAGTCGGATAACCACCGATTTCACTTCCAAGACATAATTTTCACTATTGAGACGTTTCACTCCCAAGACGGTTCACACCTAGACGTTTCACTCCCAAGACGGTTCATAAGTAGACGTTTCACTTCCACTTTGTCAATTGTATGGACGTTTCACTCACCATTTTTTTTAGAAGTTCAGGGCCGGCAAAACTTACTTGTCCGCTTTTATGTGAAGCATCTTCTTCTTCTTCCAATATACTGGCCACCTTCAACTAACTGAAGTTTACTGCCAGGTTAATGCGCAAGACGGAAAGAAAGAGTAAAAATAGTGAGGAATATATACAGTGCAGGTTAAAAACGGACAAGAGTGTGGTTTAGATATAGAGTTGGGACAGATGAGTACGGAATGACTCAACTGTACCGGCTGACGTAGCGTCTGGAGGTAGGCTGTTCCAGTCTTTGATGGTACGTGGGAAGTAGGATTGTTGACGGTATTGTGTACGGCAGTAGGGTATCTTGTAGGATAGGTTGTGTGAATTTCTTGTAGATGTGGAGTTGGAGGGTATGAGTTATGAATTGTCTAGAGCGACCTTGTTGTTGATGACTTTGTAGAGCATGATCAGTCTGGCCTCCTTTCGACGTTCTTGTAATGATTTCCATTCAAGGTCTGCAAGCATGTCCGTGACGCTAGACCTGTTGTGGTTCTTGTTTTTAACATACTGTGCAGCACGTCGTTGGACCATGTCTAGACGGTGTATGTCTCCCTTCTCGTGGGGGTCCCAGACAGTGCTCGCATACTCCACTGTGGGGCGAACTAGAGCTTTGTAGGTCGTTTCTTTGGTGAAAGTACAGGCGATGTTGACGTTTCATCATTTAACTTGTCCGTATGATATTTACATAGTTTATTCTTGAAAATTTTCACTTGTCCGTACAGGCTGTGGGACAACCTGGGCAATACGGACAATTGATTTTGCAGGCCCTGGAAGTTTATTAGGAAACTTAACAAATTTATTTTCATTATTAAGAGATTAAGGGAAATTCAATTTAATCATTCTGTTGATTTTGCGGGTATTGTTAATATGAATTTGAAGAAAAAAAATTTCTATAATACGTTACAGAATATTTTATTAGATATTTAAGTATATCATAAATATCAGAATAACTTTGGTATAATAAAGGAATGAAACATCTTGAAGACGTTTCACTCCCATTCGGGATAGCCTAATTAATTCGGTGTGAACGGTTCAACCCATTTTACAGACTTTTTTTTTTCTTACTGTCAAAGTTAACCGTCTTTTGGAAAAAGACAGCGCCCGCCCAAAATTTTCTCAGTGTCTCTTTGATAAGTCTAATTAGTTGTACTACATTTGGGAGTGAAATGTCTTGGTGTGAACCTTCTTGGTGTGAACTGTCTTAATAGTGAAACGTCTGTCTCCCACCACCGATGGTAGCTACATATGTAGCTAGAATAGAAGGTTTCAAGTTTTACATGTAACTTCTTGTACATTATAACTCATTATTCGCTGAAGCATAACTCAAACATCGGTTTTGACAGAATTCTAGTTCTCTGTAAGAAAAAATCTTGAAATTAATTTATCAGTTCATTGCTGTTTCCACTCAAAACTAAAGGACATAATCATTCTAAACTAAACTCTTGTCTTTATGATCATTTTTTGGAGGTCACTACCCAATACCCATAACTTAGCAATTTTTTTTATCCATAAAATTTCAAACAGGGGTGTGAAATTTGCTATTATAGATTTACATGTAACTGGCTTTCTTTTTTTTTAATGTATTTTCATCGTTTTAAAACAGATTTTTCATTTGTTTTTAGTGATAAAATGTCACACGTATATCAATCACAGCAACAGTATTGTTAATTTACTGTAACAATTTTCTTGCTTATATATCACATTTTTCAGAACAATTACAAGAAATTCATTTATTCCAGATACGATACTTGTAAATGAGAAGTCGAGGCAAAAAGATTCAGACAGCTGGTGGATGTTTGATGTGTTTTCACAAAATGACAAATCTGAAAGCTCAGAAATTTCTGTGCTTAGCTCACAGTTATACATACTTCTTTTTCATGCCATGGTTGAGGATTTATACAATATAGGTCACATGATCCTAGGCTACTGTCTAACAGTCTTAAATCTTGTCCTTGCTATTTTATTAGAGTTATTATCCCATCTTTCAAATTATATCATATTTGTCATTGTTCTATTTATTTTGGTGTTAACTGCATATTATTTACTGATCCAAAGTTCAAAAACCAAGTATGAAAGAAGCAACTCTAGTGTAGTAAGCACACTTTCAGATGGATCGTTTGGAGCAAACAGTAGCTGTGATAGTGAGTTAGATAGTTCTGTAAAATATTACCGTGGTAACAGAAAGTACTTGAAATTATTGAGACGTTTGCTGTTTGTAGCTGTACTGTTAACTATACCTTGGGAGTTTATCAGATTATACCAGTCAGCTGTTGCAGAAAAAGTGGCATTAATGACTGCTGTAAGTAGAACTCCTTTTCATTCTCATGTTACTGTTGTTAGTTGTCATACTCATTACTGCTGTCAGTTGTCTTACTGCTCTCAGTTTCATACTGCCCTCAGTTTTGTACTGCTCTCAGTTTTTGTACTGCTCTCAGTTGTCTTACTGCTGTCAGTTGTCTTACTGCTGTCAGTTTTTGTACTGCTGTCAGATTTCATACTGCTGTCAGTTGTTACCTTCACAATTTTACTAGAGATTCAACAATAATGTCAAACCAATACAGCAGTTCATTGTGAAACTTTGATTCAGTCAACTGTTATTGCAATACATTGATTAATTATGGAAAACAATATTAAAAAAAAGCAACTTTTTGTTTTGATAATGTTAAAAACTGCTTAAAGTAATGGTTTAATGATATCCATTCATTTTAAAAATTTAATATCACTGTTTTAAAAAATATATGATGTTATGTTTACAAACTTTAGAAATTTGTATATTTCCCCATGTTTAAGGGAACTCCAGTAGAATGTATACCTCATCAAATGACACCTTGGCATAGTTTGAAATCCTGGTGGCGAACACAATTTTCATGGATGGCTTCAGACCCATGTTACCAATACCATAAAGCTTTACTAGTTGATCCGTTATGGGAAGTTACTCCGTTAAAGGTGAGATATCTTACCTTGATTTATTCCATATAAACCTACAGTTACTAAATTTGTGTAATGGAATTGTTCAGCTTTGAATATGGAACGGTCCATTCTGTATTAAAAATGTAAGGGATTTCATATGTCAAAATACAGAAATTCAGCTACATGTACCATTTTTAGCTCAAACATTCGATAAGAATAAGTAGAGCTATCCTAGTCAACGGAGCGTTGGTGTCGGCGTAACCACTTAGGTTAAAGTTTGCATACCACCTCAAATATTTTCAAAGACTTTAAGTCCATTGACATATGGCTTTGGAACTTTAAACACTTGTTCAACGTCATGCCACCAACCTGTAAACAGGAGGAGGTAACTCTATCAAGCATTTTTACAGAATTGTGCCCTTATTAAACTTCGAAATTACGTTAAATTTGCATACCACCTCAAATATTTTCATATTCCATTGACATCTGGCCCCGTGTTCAAAAAGATTTAAGGATCAGGATCAAGATAAGGATCAAATTTAAAAACTCAAATATTCATCATTGTTTATCCTCATAGATTAAATATCTGATATTAACTTGATAAAACTGGATTTGCAATAGCAAGTTTATGAAATTTTAGAATAAAGTAATTGTTATTTTTGCAAGATACAGACATTTTACAGTTGATCCAAATATTGGTCCTAATCCTGATCCTTATTTTGATCAGAATACATTGTATTTTTGTATTTATTTTGTGTTTTCTTGATTTTATCCCAAAATAGTTTAGCTTCTTTGCTAATCAGCAATTTTTTACATTTTGAATTAATTCAAGCCAAACACAATTAGGTAATTTCAGTAAAATAAAACATGTTGATCCTGATATTTTCTTAGTGAACATGAGGCCAGGCTTTAAAATGAGTTGAAATTTTATTCACTTCTTTGAGAGCATAATAGGACTCTCTTCAAGGCCTGTTACTGTAACTTGGATTTGAAAGAAAAAAAATGGCCCTTTTCTAGCATAGAAAATTTTACATTTTCAAGGCTCTTTTACTACCAAGCACTAAGAATAGTTGATCATTCTGTCCTACTGACAGCTCTTGTTACATTATCAGACTGCAGGCTGGTTTGGTTCTACACTGGTGACAAAGGATAATCATTTCTAGTATCAGCTAGTTAGGGTTAATAATTACTCTTTTAGGTGTATAAATAAAACATAGGTGTATAAATAAAACACCTGTAATTAGGTTTATCACTGAGATTAATTAACATCTTTGTCCTTCAGTATGATACTGATTGTTTTTCATCTTGAAATACAGTTTTAAGGGTATTGGACTTTAAGTCAACACAAAGTATGTTCTCAAAAATATTTCTATGTTTGCAGGTAATTTCATCAGCATTCAGCCACTGTGTAGTATATCCATTTGAAGTGTTACTAGGAGGTTTTGGACGAGCATTAAGACTGTTTTTTGCCGAGATACCAGCACACTGGCAGCCCTTTATGTTCATTGCACTTGTCATTTTTGGTATTTTAAGTCTGGTTATGGTATTTGGGTACAGGATCCATCTACCTCTGTTGTTTAAGTTTGAGCCAAAGACACCTGTTAAAGTAATAAAAGAAAGAAAATCTTCAAGAGTAAAGAATGAACCAAAAAGTATACAACTACCCGAAAGAAGTAAAGAGAAAAAGAATATGTTGTTTTTCCGGAAATCTCAAACAAAAATTGCAAAGTAATTTATAATTTACTGCCAGGAAATACAAGTACAAACTGGCTACTTTAAAAAAAAAGCTTCAGGGAATCAGTCACATGTTGATGGAATGAAAACACAAACACGTTCTTATGAATCATTTAAATAAGTAATTCAGGCTGTATTGTTTTCTGAAATAAGTAATTAGATGATTTTATGGAAGTATCATTATCTACAATTATTTAAATTTAATGTCAAAAACAAAATTCAAGTCTTCAAGTATTGGAAAATAAGTACACAAATCTATATCTGAGGAAACTCTTGTTCTTGCTTAGACAAGTATTTCACCCGTTTCTGTGATCTTGACCTAATGACCTCAAATAAGGGTATTCTATAGGCCATGGACAATGTCCATACACTATACAGATTGATAAACTTGGGGTTATCACTTCTCAAGTGTTTGATCAGACATGGAATTTACACTGTGTCACTCTGACTTTGACATTTGACCTTAAAATCAAAAGTGGGTATCTTCTGCTCATGGACAATGTCACTACAAAATTATTATTTAAGGAACTTGGCCAAATTCATTCTCAAAAAACTTATCGGACAACAGACATGGATATTACACATAGTGCCACTGTGATCCTGACCTAATGACTTAAGAATAACATGGTCTTGTTCTAGTAATGACAAAATCCTAGGACTGTAGACCAAAGTGTTGTCTGTTTATGTTTGGAGAAGATTTTAGTGGTGCAGGCAAAAGCATTCTCTAAGACCACAGTGATCACAACCTTTGTCATTTCGGCCTACTGACCTGAAGATCAAAAGGGACAATCGCTTAATGGTGTTTTTTTTTCACCTACATTTTACAGCCAAATAAAAGCTGTTTTAATCCCAGCCAAAATTAGGTATATTTTCCCCTAAAATGCTATATTTTCCCCGGAAATGCCCTGTGCACATTCTTCACCAAAACCATGACTTAACAGCAGCTGTCATTTAACTTTAATTGACTGAAAGCTGTCCATATAAATAGCCTCAGCTATGTACAATGCATGTTGAATTGAAAATTTTATTAAATGTGTTGATAAAATCCATTTTCAGTTTTTTAGCTCGACTATACGAAGTATATGGAGAGCTGTCCTACTCGCCCCGGCGTCCGCTTCCAGATTTCAGATTAAAGTTTTGGTGCAGTAAAATATTTTTAGTCCCCTACCGGTTTACCGGAGGGGACTTGAGGTTTACCCTCCGTCCGTCTGTCTGTCCGTCCGTCTGTCCGTCCGTCAGTCCGTCCGTCCACAAAACTGGATCCCGCGATAACGCAAAAAGTACTGAAAATATTTTAATGAAACTTGATATATGGATAGATGGCAGTATGGAGATTATGCACGTCTTTTTCTTTTCTTCCTATGTTGAAAATTCTGGTTGCTATGGCAACAAATAGACTGAAAATATGGCAAATTTTACACATAACCTGGATCCCGCGATAACGCAAAAAGTACTGAAAATATTTTAATGAAACTTGATATATGGATAGATGGCAGTATGGAGATTATGCACGTCTTTTTCTTTTCTTCCTATGTTGAAAATTCTGGTTGCTATGGCAACAAATAGACTGAAAATATGGCAATTTTTACACATAACCTGGATCCAGTGATAACACAAAAAGTACTGAAAATATGATTATGAAACTTGACATATGGGTAGATGGCAGTATGGAAATTATGCACATTCTTTTTTATCTTCCTATGTTGAAAATTCTGGTTTCTATGGCAACAAATAGACTGAATTTCAAGATTTCTGATTCTAGTTTTTAAGTTTTCTCACTATAAGTTCTTTATTTCTTAAGGTATTTTCTTCAAACTTTAAATATAAGTTGCTTGTCATCAACCACATCATATGTGACAAGGTTTACAACTCTAGCACAAAATTTATCAGAATTACCTCCCTTGAACTTAAAATTTTCATGAAAAAAACATTGTTTTTTTTAATAACTTCTTTTTCTGAATGTATCTACTTCAAACTTCATATAAATGTTTCTTATTGTCACACAACATTTGTGAGTGTTCAATGCTCTAGCAAGACTATTTCCAGAATTATGCCCCTTTTGATCTTAGACTTTTTTTTGAGAAATTGGTAATTTTTACTCCAACTTCTTCAATCATGATAGGATTTTAAAAATGTTATATTTTGATAACAGGGATGTTTAAAAAATAACTTTAGAGTGTCCTTCAGTCCGTCTGTCTGTACATAAAAACTGTTTCCTGTGATCACTTTTAAAGAACTTTTTCAACAAATTTACTTAAAATAGGAACCTAAGTGAATGGCCAATGGCCCTTCAGAATGTTGCTTGGGCTCTTACCGGTAGGGGACTTATGGATTGCTTGCAATACTATGATAATTGCTTGTTCACTATAACTTTGTCATCTTAAGATATCAACTTCAAACTTCAAATGTATGTTCCTTATCATCAACCACATCTTATGTGACAAGGTTCATAACTCTAGCACCAATATTTTCAGATTTATCTCCCCTTGAACTTAGAATTTTCCTTAAAAAATATTATTTTTTACTGTTACTTCTTTTTTTCTTAAGGGATCAACCTCATACTTCAAATATATGTACCTTATCATCATCCCCATCTTATGTGACAAGGTTCATAACTTTAGCACCAATATTTTCAGATTTATCTCCCCTTGAACTTAGAATTTTCTTTAGAAAATATTATTTTTTACTGTAACTTATTTATTTCTAAAGGGATCAACTTCATAATTCAAATAAATGTACCTTATCATCATCCACATCTTATGTGACAAGGTTCATAACTCTAGCACCAATATTGCAAGAATTATTTCCCCATCAACTTAGATTTTTTTACTAGAAAAATGTTATTTTTTACTATAACATTTTTAGTTTTAAAGGTATCTACCTCAAACTTCAAATACTTATTCCTTATAATCAAATATATTTTATGTGACAATGTTCATAACTCTTGAAGTAATTTTTACAGATTTATTTCTCTTTGAACTTAGGATTTTCTTTAAGAAATATTATAACTTTGTTACTTTTTAAGGTATCTACTTCAAACTTCAAATATATACTTCTTATCATTACATACATGTTGAGTGACAAGGTTCATAACTCTAGCGTGACTATTTCTAGAATTATTTCCCTTGATCTTGGAATTTATTTTAACAAATGTTATTTTTTTACTATAACTTAATACATAATTATACATAATTGATTTTTCTTTCATAGTTTTGTCCTCCTTACTGCGTCCAGTATTTTATTTTTGTCGAGCTTGGCTGTCTCCTGTGACAGCTCTTGTTTATTTTGATTCAGTTTTTGTCCCTTTTCTGATTTATTGTGCAATATTTCCCATTGATCAGACAAAGGAGGTTTACATACAGATAGACCACATCACTGTATGCTCCAAGTTTTTAAATGGTCACAGTATGAGACAGCTCTGTATCATAATTAGTTCTGTTATTTTTTTCCCTCTATGATATCTTAATAATATTAGTGCTTTGCTTATTTTTGATACATGTAATTTAGCAAACATGCAGCAAAAACTTGTTTTAAAAAATGTGGATGGAGTTTTTATTTGTGTTTTAATAAGCCATTGAAGAGTGATTGTAACACATAGACATAAGTAGAATATGTTGTATTGTCAATGGCATTGGCTTAGATTGGTACCTTTAGTTATGGAACTTTTTCATATTTTATTGTTGACATTCTTTTAGAAACATATCTTTTCTTTTATTGTTGACTTATTTTTAGAAACATACAATTCATGTAAACTATGAAAGTGATGCTTTCACAGATTTTTTATTTGCATGCCTTAGAGGAAATATAATTTACATCATAAATATGTATATTGTTAATTAATGTGATTTAAAATGAAATCTATACATTTAATGCACACATTGACAAATTTCATACTAATTCTGATATGATGTTGGAAGGAAATTTGTTAATCAGCCTCATGTTATCAAGTTTAATTATTTCATGCATGTATATCTATACTCTTCTCTGAAGAGGATTTTCAAATATTCAATGTTTACAGACTTGTTCAAATTTGTTGACATACCAATTTCTAGTTGGTTGCTATTCTGAATTATAAAAAAAATGTTTAATTTTTAATCAATAATGAAGTAAATGCAAAACTGTTTTGATCTTTATATAGTCAATTAAAATTAGATTCTGAGAATTTAAATTGATTTTATACCCTCTGTGATACAGTATGTGAGGACTGATTATGAATAAATATTATACAAATGTATAATATACATGTATATTTGTCAATGCAGTTTTTAAATTTTATTTAAAAATAATGAATTGAAACAACTGTTTTGTTATGTTTCACAGTTTTCACTAGATTTTGCAAGGTTTATAGATTAAAACTTGTTGAAAACTGACTCCAATGTAGTATGTCATATATGATATGCAGTAAGTTAAAGGGTTAGCTTTTATGAGTCTACAAGTTCTGTTCCCCTCAGACCTTCACTCACTCGAACATTTTTGTTAAAGTACTTTGTTTTGTAGAGTTCCAAAATAACCATATAATTATATTTGTTGTGTACAAAGCCCAAGGTTATAAAGAAATGTCCTGACTTGGTAATTTGATTGGTCAGATACCATCACAGAATACATGTATACACTGATCAATGATAATCCGGATATTCAAGACAAAGCTTAGAAGGAAGTTTTATAATCTTACTGACTGCTTCTCAATCATTTGATTGTTTTTTTTTGTTGTGTACAGTCTTGATGAACATGTATTTCCATATGAATTGATATCAGGTCACTTGTGTTTAAATTCCACTTCAAATGTCAATACTGATAGATGTAACAAAGGTCCGGCCAGGTTTTGTAGCATTATTTTATTAAATGGAATAAAAACCAGAACATTTCTGGACCAATTACAATGTGTATCTAATTAACCAATTTCACTTTCAAATCGAAGGTTATTACCTAGACTGTACATATTATTCACTTGAAGGGGTTTTCTACTTAAATTACTTGTAATCCAACCACTAACACTATATCAAACTTGTTGTTGTATGGAGCATAAGTGCTTACTACTGCTTAATTGACTTAAAACTTTGCATGTTCTACCAGAATCATGATCCATATTTAATGGTTAGCGTGCCAATCTGTCAGTCTGCGCAAAACCATTATTTCTAAGAAAAATTTCAATATATGAATTAATTGCCCAACTGTGGTTGAAGGGTTGGTTGCCTTTAAGGGTTAAGGCCATAGTTTATCCCTGCACGATTGTAAGAGGTGACAAAATGGGTGAAATAACTGTAGTCCATGCATCTCTTAGCTCAAGCAAGTGCAGTGGTTTTGAGGAATTTGACCCCTGGTGTAGCTTCAAGTTTAGTACACCTGAGATAAGCCAGAATAATTCTTTCCTGTTTTCCGACGCCATATGACCTAAATTGTGTTGGTGTGCCATAAAATCAAACAAACAAAAGAATAGAGAATAGTGCAAACCATGATCAGACAGGTGTTTTTTTGCTCTTGGTCTGTTTGGGTAAAGTCTGTTGCCACCAGCAGGCTAAGGGTTAGATAGTTGGGGGAAAAATAAACTTCCACCATAAAATGTGAAAATTAGTTTATTATAGAGTGACAGTACAAACTAGAAGCACTCACAATACTAACAAAGTACAACATACAAAATAAAAGCATGAAAAGATGAATTCCAGCATCTTACTATTCTATGCCAATCCTGGCCATACCATTACCAACCCAGTCGTCTCTATGCCAACCCTGACCTCACCAAGGTTGTATCTTACTTCTATACTGCTTACATTAATGAAATATATCTTATGACTATATAACAACATTATACCTATACCTTTATTTTAACACATCGGAAATATATTGATGAGAGCCAACTGTAGACAATGTTTACAAACAGACAATATTTACTTGCAATTTGTACATCAATATTAGATTATAAGCTTCCAGTTGGAATATTATCGATTCTTAGATACTAAATTTTACTTGCAATCCGTAATATTTGTATGTTCATGAAGTTAAATTTACAGGACATGTTGATTTTTAATGTGAATCATTATGACTAAATCATAACAAACACTATAAATGTAAAAAAAGAGATAGTGTCAAACTAAAAAGCACTTTTTTTCTCATTATCACATGTCGGTTACAAAAAGCTATAGCAAATGAACTTATCAGAAATGTTTTCTTTTTACTTTTCAAATGAGGCACAATATTGACATTGTTAATAATAATACATTTTAACATAACTAAATGGCATTTTATCATAAAAAATAATAAACTTACAAAAATGTTCATGTCATTTATATCTAATTGTTAAAGTATTTATAAATCACACTAGAAACCTTAGATGGCATCCCAATGTGTGACAATAAGACTGATTTTGATTCAAATGTATCAACATACAGGTACTTAAAAAAACAATTTGGTGAAGAGTAATGACAGTTAGTAACATTAAACACTTTCAATCAAAGATACACACTGAAGCTTAAATAGGATATCACAATTACTAATGTAACATAATTTTTCATAACTTATTGTTCTTCTATGTATTTTCGTTCCTTTTTAGAAAATTCGTTCCTTTGTAAGTTTATATATACATTTCCAATCCACTTTGGATTCTACTCGTCCTTTTTTTCTGTCCAGGGGCTATGCACCTAGTTAAAATCTCTGTCCTTAAGGATGACTGGTGCGACCAGGGTCCACACATACAGTACAATACAGATCCAACTTGACACGATCTTCACCCATACTGCCGCCATGTTCGAGTTCAATGTGGAGAAATCGGAACTGGGGCTGAAAATGACAAATAAAAACTCATTATTCCATCTTGATAATAAACTTATAAAACCAACATAAAACTGATATATCTGGCATGGAAATACACCTGAATGTTTGAGGGTATATTTTTTTGTTTTAAATGCCAATTTTACTTTTTTGTTTAGAAAAATAAAATCGAAATGAGATTTTTGAAAAAACAGTTAAAAAAATTCTTTTGGGTTTGGGAAAAAATTTTTGGGTGTTGCTCAGAAAGGTTACTTTCAGCAATAAATATCTTATTCTATTTTAAAGAGGTTATTGCTCTGCAGAGGTTACACCATCTTATTTTTCTGTCAGTACATCCATCAGTATTCACAAATGGGAACTTGGGTGGCTATTGGAACAATATTATTCTGTTGCTCTTAGGTGCCTCAAAAGAACAATGAGAAAAACAAAAGTACCAGTTAGAAGGAATGTCAATCCTGATTAACATCTTAGACCTGACTTGTCAGATTTTAATGAATGTATACAGAAACAAAATTCCATCAAAAACAACCTTTAGATGATTGAGTGTCTCTCTTCAGACAGTATTTAAAATAAAAATTTTTTGTTTTAAAACATTTTCTAAAAAAACAGGGAAAAATAGAAACTTTTCTTTTACACTAAAACAGGATAGAGTTTTTTAAAGTTTCTAAACATCGTTCTTAAAAGAAATTTAAAATTAGCAAAAAATGGCCCCCAATGGGCCCACTCCCTGACATGATGCTACTAGTATACCATACCTGAACCAATTTGTAAGTGTCATCATCACATACAGTGATCCAAGCATCAACATGAAGTGGAAGAAAGAGTAACTGTAAGCCACACCCTCTTCCTCATTATCCCACACCCTCTGACCGCCTTTCTCCTCATCATTGGTGTCACTAGACCCTGCAACACAAATAAATATAATTAACTCACCTATATTCAAAAAGGAGTATTTTCAATGATTAAAATGAAAATCCCTATATCGTCACCTTAGTGCAATAACAGATTAACTCCCATTAAGTTATATAAGGAGTTAACCTGTTACTGCATTAAGGAGTCAATATCTGAGTAAGTTAATATCTCACAGTGAAATAATTAGAGCACACTAAATTATTCTCACAATGTGTAGCAATAGTGAAATGTGCCAAAAACACTTTGATTCTTTAATTTTAAAACAAAAATGTCTTCCAAATTGTCATTTGTATTTCTAGAGAAACATAAGTTTTTCATTTCTTTTTATTACGAGTGAAGTTTTTACTTTAATTAAGGAAAATATAAATTTAATAGAAACTTTAATCAGTATATTCACTATATTGATTTCTTCAGATGAGATAAGAATTGTGAAAAAAAAATTGAAACAGATTTCTAAGTTCTACAGAATTAAAACTATTAGACCATCAGTTGTGCTCAAAAATAAAGTCAAACTCAAAACAGTGTTAGAAGGTAAATATGACAGTTAATATAATAAACACCGCATAACAGATTGTCTATGATAGAAGTATATAATACTAAATAGACGTGATATATAAATCTGAACAAAACAGCAGTTATAATATAATTATGTTCGCCCATTTTCTTTTTAATCAGAGGTGTAGTTGGTATGCCAGTCTAATAAGCCAGGTCTGCTTGACTGGTATACAGTCAGGTCTGTAAGGAGCAGACCATACTGCATATCATTCAAGTATAATGGTAGACCTGACTCTTATACCAGTCTAGCATAATGAGCAGACCTGGCTTTATACTAGTCTAGCATAATGGGCATATCTGGCTCCATACCTGTCTAGCATAATGAGCAGACCTGCATTAAACCAATTGGTTCAATGAGCAGACAGATTTTTATACCATTCTAGCATGAGTAGACCTGGCTCTATACCAGTCTAGCATAATAGGCAGACCTGGCTCCATACCAGTCTAGCATAATGAGGTGACCTGGCCCAATACAAGTCTAAAATATGTAGTTAATATATTACATATTAATGAATTTTGACTGGTTAATAGAATTAAATGATTGATTCACTTCTATTTCATATATTGTTCACTTCTATATCATATATTGTAACATGATTTACATTTGATATATAGTTTTAAAGTCAAAATTTTATATCTTTAGTCAAGATGAAAATAAATATTTGTACTTTGAATGAGCAAACATTTGCAAAACAGGATTTTTTTTTATCAATTTATAACATACTTATAACAGACTATTTCAGGTCTATGTCAAAGACATATTTTTTATAAAGCTCAATTCTTAAAATGTTTACCACCGTAATTATACAAGTGAATCAATAATTTTCTGGGTGAGCTAACTGAACATGTAAGCAACATCACACTACAACTGAAAATGCACTAAATACCTGCATAATAATTGCCTGTAAAATAAGGATAAACAAAAAAAACGTGCAGCCAAAAGTTTCAAGCTAATCATGTGGATGTTAAATTTGTAAAATGGTCTAATAATATAAGACATTATCTTATACAGAAATAAATTTCAGTTCTATTGTGTATGTAGTTATAAGCTCATAAAGTAAAACACAGTCTAAAATCTGTTGCTGGAAACAACCAGTACTAAGTAGAGTGAGTAAAGGAAACAATGGTTTTCCCTTAATGGGGTTTGAACCCATGTGACCAACAGTTATTATAATGCTGGTCAGACATGTTAACCACTTTGCCATGGCATTGCTTTCTTATCTTTTCTTTTTGTTGTTTGAATATTTAGAGATCTTGTGAAAAAATGGGCAATCATACATACTGCAATAACCATAGCTATTTTAACAAGATTGCATTTGAGAAAAATGCTATGCCACCGCATTAATACAACACTAAATAGTAGTGTAGGAACAGATTTTTTTTGTTTCTATATACAATTTTGAAGATTGTCATAATGCATAGATCCCTGACCTATCTAATTCTTATTATCAGATTAGTGGTTAAATCTGTTGTTAACTCAATAAAAGATCAGAGTAGGAATATATCAATGCACTTGAGTCTAGTGTATTTGATGGTCATATTTCACACAGCCTAAATTGCATGACTACATCAAAGGACAACACAGTAAGACACTTTGTCAAAATCTAGGTCAGCTGAAATCAAAGTTCACTTAACATCTTAATCTGTACACATGGTTCAAATTTTATAGCTGTACATAAAAGGACAAGAAAGTAGGTCACATCATCAAAATCTAGGTCACCTGATATCAAAGTTCAATTTTACAACTAAAACTGTGCACATGGTCAAAATTTCATTGCTGTACATCAAAGGACAAGAAAGTAGGTCACTGTCCCCTTGGGCAAGGCAAAATTTTGGACCCAAGGGTTTAATTCAAAACAATCTTGATACAGGTCCACCAAACAACATTTCAAGTCAAATATCTAAGCTGTAGCTTTCTCCCATTCAGAAAAGATTTGTTTTATTTTCTGTTTTTACTATGTGAACATAATGAGAATCACTGCCCCTGGGCAGGGCCAATTTTAACACTAGGGGCATAATTAAAACAACTTTAGTAGAGAACCCATAGATGATATTATATAGCAAACATCAAAGCTCTATGCCTTGTACCTTCAGACAAAAATATTTTTTATTTTTTTTAATATATGTACATAGTGAAAATCAATGACTCCTGGAGGTGGGGCCAATTTTGCCCCAGGGCTATAATGTGTACAATCTTGCTAGAGGTTCACTACATAATGTTTCATGCAAAATATCTTAACTCTAGCCTTTGTAAATTTAGAGAAGATGATTTTTTAAGTTTTTACTATATACATATAAGGAAAACCTATGGCCCACAGGGCGGGGCTAATTTTGACACAAGAGGCAAAATTTGAACAACTCTGGTAGAGTACCTATAGATGATATCATTTAACAAATATTCAAGCTCTAAGCCTTGTACCTTCAGACATAAGATTTTTTGATTTTCTACTATACATGTATGTATATATTGAAAATCAATGACCCCAGGGCAGGGGCAATTTTGATCCCAGGGCTATAATTTGAACAATCTTGATTGAAGTTCACTTCACAATGTTTCATGCAAAATATCTAACCTCTAGCATTTGTCAATTGCTAGAAGAAATTTTTTTACTATTAAGTTTTTACTATATACATATAAGGAAAACCAATGACCCCCGGGGCAGGGCCGATTTTGACCCCAGGGCTATAATTTGAACAATCTGAATAGAGGTCTACCAGACAATGCCTTATGCAAAATATCTAAGCTCTAGGCCTTTTGGGTCTTTACAAGAAGATAAAAAGATTTTACTATATGTACATATAGTGAAAAACAATGACCCCCGGGGCGGGGCCGATTTTGACCCCAGGGCTATAATTTGAACAATCTTGGTAATGGTCTATCAGACAATGCCTTATGCAAAATATCTAAGCTTTAGGCCTTTTGGGTCTTTACAAGAAGTTATTTTAAGTTTTTACTATATGTACATATAGTAAAAATCAATGACCCCCGGGGCGGGGCTGATTTTGACCACAGGGTTATAATTTGAACAATCTTGGTAGAGGTCTACCAGACAATGCCTTATGCAAAATATCTAAGCTCTAGGCCTTTTGGGTCTTTACAAGAAGATTTTTTAATTTATTCTTATAATTCCTTTTGGTTGCCATGGCAACCAGATTTCTGCATGGAATGAAATTCTTTGAACAACTTTGGAAGCCCTTCACCCAAGGATCAATCCTGCCAAGTTTGGTTGAAATTGGACAAGTGGTTTTTTACAAGAAGATTTTTTAAGTTCACTATATAATCTATATAACACACACACACACAAACAAACACACACACAGGTGAATCGCTATATGCCACCGCATCGCAGATGCTGCGGTGGCATAAAAACTTCAGTGAGCCCAAAATCAAATACCCAAAATCTGCTATTTTGCAAATAGAGTATAATTTTGCAAAAAAAGGTTAAATCAAATTTGAATTTTTTTACTCAAAAGTTTCTTACAATCAGTGAAAGAACTAAATTATATGATTAGTTTTTGAAATTTTAGAAATGTTTGTGTTAAATCTTTTGGTTTTGATGCACTTGCATTTGTAGCATACATGCACAAAACATGGAATGATTCTGAATTACCGTAAAACCAAACCGTTACATAAATTTTCCTACCACTTTATCTAATGTTACATTATAGTATTACATGTATTTCTGTGACACTCAAAGCAAAACTAGCAGTGAAGGTAGGTGTAATTTCTAGGATAAAGTCTGAATTCTTATAACATATTATCTTTATGTTTTATACCTGGATTGTATGCGCCTAAAAATGAGCAGCAACATGAAAAGCTTACTTTAAGTTTCAAAAATCAATCAATAAAGATACCGCAACAACTTTACAGCCTGTATAGACATGTTACGATGTATAATATATATACAATCATTAATCACAGCTAAAAAAACGATAAAATGATGCAGTTAATTATTGCTGAACAACATTTAAATGGAATAGAAAAAAAGTAACTTTGAATCTTGTATATCTTGTTTTGCTCATGATTTTTTTTAACACCTAGATAAAAGGTTAAATACCAAAAGTTTTCCCATGTTTTACTTTAGTTTAGTTTAATACATCACAGAGACATTCCACTTTATTGAATTCAAGGACATCTGATAATTCCTCTTGTGTGATTCTAAGCTTAGACATCTTGTAACCATGTATATTTACATGATGAAATCTTCAAGAATCAGTTTCGTATATTTAATATATTACATACCCGGTTAGACAAGCCAGGAAAAGGATTTTTTTACTTGGTAAAAACATCCCCTGATTCAGTTTATTGTGACCATGTAAAGTCACTCATGAAAGAACTGTCCCCCCCCCCACATTCAACATTACCCCTGTTAAAGAATTTAGACTAGATATAATTCATGATTTAATACCAAACAATACCAAATAAAATATCAGAGAAGATAACATCACAAAACTAGCCACAAATTGCCTGAGCCAGGTCTTGATGCAGAACATTATAACTTTTGCAATATGATATAGGACAAACAATGTAACTATATTATGACAAGACTACATAAATATTTTCAGGTTCTTTACTTCCATGATACACATCAATAAAAAAATAAACTTAAAATAAGCACTGTTTTGACTGAAAATGGTAAACAAAATGCAAATTTCATGATGCAAATAACTAAACAGGTGATTTAGTGACATTTAATTATGAAATGCTACATCGAATATACAAAGTGAACATTTCTTGGCTGCAATCTTAAAAGAATTGGTTTGATTATTTTATCAAAGTAATTTTCAACCTTGCTTATAAATGAAAAAAAGTTTTTATATTGTTCCACTTACATCCGATATTTTCGTTATTTCATAACTGGACAAATTACTTTTTAGGAATCTTATTACCTACACTACTAGGCTTTGCCACCAATATAGATCTAGGCAAATTGGATTTAGAAATCATGCACAATTGGTAGACAGCAGGGAGAAATTGATAACAACTAGTTAGCTACCCAGGTAAGTAGGAGGACTGATCACTTAGATATGACAAAAATCGGCAGAGCCTCATTTCAGTCTGTTCCGGCAGCCGGTATTAAATCCTTACAGTCATTACATTCATGCACGCTGACCAGGCTATATACAGTTTGTTTGTTTGTTTTTTGTTTTTGTTTTTTTTTTAGAGTTTTTTTTAGAGTTTTTTTTTAAGAAAACTGCTCAAGGAATTTTACTAATAATCTAAAGAAATAATTTTGCTTCAAGAAAAAAATGACTGATCAAAGTTTAATGCTCCTCATATTCTGTACAAAAAAAAGACCATATACATAATAGCTCTATAAGAAAAATAACCATTCAAATATACATCTATGTAAAACACTTTAGTCATTCTAATGATAATCAGTCTCTGCTAACAACTCTTAGTTAAAACAGATCATTTCCCATTAAGTAAGACAGGTTTAAGATTGAAAGCGTGATGAAATACAAGGCATGGGGGACTTGCAGCCAAGATAAGGTATGAGTGAATATAAAGGTGACTAGCTTGTCTGACACTTGAAAACCGAAAGCATTCCAAGACAGTATATATAGCATTCTAAGAAAGCCAAAGTTTCACATGAATTGCCTACCATCTTCAGTCAAAGGTATCTTATCAGAGCCTGAAAATATTGGAGTTCCTTACTTAGGATAGAAAATAATTGTTATCATTCGTTATCATGCTAAAAAGACATCTCTATAAAACAAATTTCAGTATCTCACAGAGATTTTACAAGCATTCCTCATTCCAATTCCTTTACTTTGCCAATAACAACTTTCCTATATAATTCATTATACTTAAAGTGAATTGGTCTATATTCGGGGGTCTGTTATTCCATCAATAATTATGGTGATAGCATTTAAAATCACACTTGACAACAAACCACGAAAGAATTATATATCATATGGATTTGTTGGCAAGTGTAAGATACATGATCCAATATGACAAAGATCTATCTATAGCAGACAATAAACTGTTCTTGAACAAAATATTATAATTCATCATATAAAAGTTGACAGTAAATCACTAAGAACACTATGAAGATTTTATTAGAAGAAATGTTTTATAAGAATAACAAAGTAATACATTTCTATTGTTTTTATCAATACTTGAAATACTTTAAGATAACATGCCTATCGTAGACCAATCCACTCTAAGTTCACAAAAAGCTCAAACAAAACCAATTTTTAGTTTGTGTATTAACATAAATAATAATAAATTAACTTTATATTAAATTTTAATTTAATTAAAAAAAAAAATACTCGTAATATATCTTTTCTTTTGCATATTATTTTTCACCAGTAAATTTATACCATTACATACCAGTGTCACTCTGTAAAATGGTCTTCTCAGACATTGTGATTTTACCAACCTGACTGTTAGTTGATGTACGAATACTACAAAATAATTACATTTTTTGTTATATAAAATATATTCATCAGGATAACAATGTAAATGTCCATAAAATATTCCTACACAACATAACATGTGCAACAAATGTATAATAATAATAAGGAAAAAAAGAAAACATTAACAGAGTTTTCCAAATTGCAATGAAAGAAAACGATGTCAAAAATAACTATTAAACATGAAAAATCTAAAATTTCTTGGGGAGTTGCAATGAACTAAGATTATGTCAAAATTAACATCTTAGCATGAAAAATCTAAAATTACTAGGGCAGTTAAATCCTGTAATACAGTGAAGGGAAATACAACACTTGTCATGTATAATGCCAAAAACAAGTAATAACTAGAACTATCACTGAAGGTGGTTAATACCCCCACCAGCAACTTTTGACTTTTTGAAAAATAAGTGGTCCAAAGAAAGTTTGAATCACCGTCTAGGATGGCATTTTTAAACATTTCAGCTCTAAAATAGTGAAGAAGCCCTTATTTTCAAAGATTTAAGAATTTGTAATTCAATATTTTTTTGTTACTTTCCATTTGGGAATTTTTTCCAGTGGATTGGGAAAATAATATACTATTTCCATTTGGGAAAATGACCGAATATCGGCTATAAAATAAGCCAAAAAGCATCCCTGACTTACCTGGAGTAGAGAACAGCAAACAGCCAGATACCAAGAGCCACAATAGAGCTCCAATCAAATGTATTTCCTTTACCCCACACTTGAGCACCATCACCTGGTGCGGGGGTTGTAACATTTAATGATGGGTCCACAATCTGAGACAAGCTGGGGTTACATTTACTGTCTGCAATGTAAATATATAACACATTCCTCAAAATGTTCATTAAACAAAATAACAACTAGAAATGTGTCCATAGGACCTAGATACCCCCACATTCCATTATGTTTTTAGTCAAATGACAGACAGACGAGGCAAAATCATTTTTCCTGAAACACACCTCACCTGCACCCCTCAGTAGTGGAAGCACAACAAAACTTATCATTCAGACTACTGAGAGTTAGTGCAACAGCATGATAAGGGCAAATCAATATCCCACACCCATGTCCATAGAGGGAACACACAGCTTATTTCAGCTGCAGTTACAATATTTCAAATTAAATAGGTAAGTACCAATTAACAAAAGTATAAATTATACTTATGATAATCAAATTAAAGATTATACATCTAACTTGTATGATTTTAAGAAAATATTTTGTAACTCTTCCAGTCTTGTGAGTAGTCAAACAAAATCAGTTAAAATAAATCTGAGCCATTAAAGTACACTTGACTTCATTTTCATACCGTTCCAGAAGTCTTTTAGACAGGCCTTGACATATATCTTCTTGAAATCTCCTTTTTCAGTATAAAGAACATAAAATTATATTACCAAACTTAAATGTGCTTATGACAGATTTATAAATTAGGGTTTTATTGTTTATTGTTAATTACAGTAAACTACGCTTATAACGAACACATCAGGACATACAAAATCTGTTCCTTATATCCGGAGTTCCTTGTAAGCATATAGCGAATTAGTTCCTTGTATCACGAGTTTTTATAGCGAACAGATTTACATATAACGAACTGTTTGTTTACCAACGTCCCCCATTTTGAAGAGCATTTGATTAAGACAAGAGGGCCATGATGGCCCTGAAGTCGCTCACCTGTATCACCCAGAGTGGGGCCAGTTTAAACCCCAGGGCTTTTATTTGAACAAACTTGGTAGACACCCATTACAAGATGTTTCATGCTAAACATCTAAGGTCTAGCTCGTTGAGTTTTTTTAAAAATGATTTTTTAAGTTTTAACTATACACATATAGTTCAAAGCAATGACACCCCTAGGGCAAGGCCAGTTTTGCCCCCAGGGCTTTTTTTTTAACAAACTTTGAAGACACTCACTAGAAGATGTTTCATGCTTAATATCTAAACTCTAGCTATTTGGTTTTTTTCAAAGAAGATTTTTAAGTTTTTGCTATACACATATAAGGAAAATCAATGTCCCCCGGGGCAGGGCCAATTTTGACCCTAGGGCTTTTATTTGAACAAACTTTGAAGACACTAACTGGAAGATGTTTCATGCTTAATATCTTAACTCTAGCTATTTGGGTTTTTTCAAAGAAGATTTTTTAATGTTTTGCTATACACATAAATAAAATCAATGACCCCCGGGGCATGGCCAATTTTGACCCCAGGGCTTTTATTTGAACAAATTTGGTAGACACCCATTAGAACATGTTTCATGCTAATATATCTTAGCTCTAGCTCTTTGGGTTCTTTAAAAGAAGATTTTATAAGTTTTTACTATATGCATATAGAGAAGATCAATGACCCCCTGGGGCGGGGCCAATTTTGACCCCCAGGGCTTTTATTTCAACAAACTTGATAGACACTCATTAGAAGATGTTTCATGCTAAATATCTTAGCTCTAGTTCTTTGGGTTCTTTAAAAGAAGATTTTATAAGTTTTTACTATATGCATATAGGGAAAATCAATGACCCCCTGGGGCGGGGCTAATTTTGACCCCAGAGCTTTTATTTGAACAAACTTGGTAGACACTCATTAGAAGATGTTTCATGCTGAATATCTTACCTCTAGCTCTTTGGGTTCTTTAAAAGAAGATATTTTAAGTTTTTACTATATGCATATAGGGAAAAACAATGACCCCCGGGGCGGGGCCAATTTTGACCCCAGGGCTTTTATTTGAACAAACTTGATAGACACTCACTAGAAGATGTTTCATGCCAAATATCTACGCTCTACCTCTTTGGGTTTTTTAAAAGAAGATATTTTAAGTTTTTTCTATCGGTTGCCATGGCAACCAGAGTTCTGCATGGAATTTAATTCTTTGAACAATTTTTAAAGGTGACCACCAAAGGAACATTCCTGTGAAGTTTGGATGAAATTGGCTCAGCGGTTTATGAGGAGATGTCATTTAAAGTAAAAGTTTACGGATGACGGACGGACGACGGACGAAAAGCGATCACAAAAGCTCACCCTGTCACTTTGTGACAGGTGAGCTAAAAAATTAGTCGTTTATTTCTATTTTAGACACAATACCCGAGAGCGTACTTTCTGGATTTTGAAAATCATTTGCTATTTCATTTTTAATATTAATCCCTTTCTCAATTTCTCATGAAATATCAAATTTTGTTTCAAAACTCAGTACTTTTCGTTTTCTTTCCATGATTAAGAATAACCATGATTTTCGATTTTTCTTTCCTTTTATATTGAATATCTTCTATTATATTTAAAGGGTGACTTTTACTAGTGAAAGATATAGATTTCTTTTCATTTAAATCAAGCGTACTTTGTTGTTTTCAATGGATTAAGCTATTATGTACTGCTATACAAATTCTTTTTTAATAGATGTCTTGAAGTACATACAACAATAAACAGTACATTCGGACGAGTGCCAATGAAAATGAAAGTTGAAAATGCGGGATCTATTTACGAATAGCCGATATTTTGGAGTTCGTTATAAAAGTTGATTTTCTGTACTTTTAACTAAATTGGGACTATGAAATGAGTTCCTTATAAGCGAAAATTCCTTATAACCGTATATTTTTATATTAAATAAAGAAGGGCAAAATTCGGGCCAAAATAAATTGTTCTTTATAACTGGAAGTTTGCTATAACCATGTTCGCTATAAGTGAAGTTTACTGTAAACTTATTTCCAAGTTAACTCAAGCTCTCATGAATGGTTCATTGTCTTTCCTGGACAATTTACATGACAGAATTTTCTATCTACTTCATAAACCCGCTTAAAAGATCCTGTAACTTACTGGGGTTATTTGACATTGCTGACCATGTCAGGTAGGTGACATAAGCTGTGATCACAGATGCCTGAAGGAGTCCTGACCTTGGCTGACCTGAAAAATATATAACATTGTAACATACAGTCTTTAGCATTACCTGAAATTAATACTTAACTTATGGAAATAAGTAACATTCTCACATAATGTACAACTTTAACCCTGAGCTTGTTGAATTTCTTTATAGGACCTCTCCTGCTTTAAATATAGACTAGAAAGTTAAGGGATTTCAAAATACAAAAAATTTAGCTACCAATAGTATAGAGCCTGTTCAAACTACATGGAGGTACAGGCTGTCTGGCTCTATACTGATGGCAAGCAGGTTAATTGTTAAGCATCAGCCAAGAAAATCATTAAGTAATTCAATTTTAGATAAGAATATTTCAAATGTGTTTCCCTGTAGATCAGGTGTACAACCTTCAATGTGTTCACAGGACACACATCACTCCATGTTTTAACAGTTTGAAGACAATGAGACTGAAAAGGGCAAATCTGTATGCCCCCTTCTCTCAAAGTAGTAGGGACATAAAGTGTATGATAGATAAATTGAACAAAGTACAATGTAAAAGCAATGCTTTGCTTGTAAGAACTTGTTGCATAACGCATTGCCTTTTTTTATATATACTTATAATTTGTATATATTTATAGTACATGTATGTGCTGAAATAAAAAAAAAGATACATTTTAACTAAGACATTGCTTCTAAAATTTTAACATTGCTTCTTAACATAACAAACATATACATTACATTCTTGTATTTTAGGTAGGATAGATATGACTGACACGGCAATACACAGGATCAAGTTGAAACTCACAAAAAACTTGTGTAGACTACATTCACCATCCTGAAATATATATATACAAACAAAACTTTATTCAAACATGCTTCATACTGCTCCCACATCAAACAGGTAGGACAATCAAGTGCATTATTATATGAGCCTTGTCATGACAAAACCAACATAATGCGTTTGCGACCAGCATGGATCCAGACCAGCCTGCACATCCGCCCAGTCTGATCAGGATCCATGCTGTTCGCTATCGGTTTCTCTACTTGTTATAGAGTTTGTAAGCGAACAGCATGGACCCTGATCAGACTGCGCAGATGCGCAGGCTGGTCAGGATCCATGCTGGTCGCAAACCCATTATGTTGGTTTTGTCATGACATGGCTCATATGATATATGCACCTGGACCACATTAAAAAGGAATGCCTGCAAGTAATATGACGTCAGATATTTATGATAAACTGTATTTTGCATAGTAAAATATGCATAAATATTTATTTCAGTTGAAAGTGAATCATATTTTCATGTTGTAGAAACATTTCTCAAAACAAAATTTAGAAGACCCTTTTCTCATAACAAAATTAAGTAGACATTTTTTTCAAAAGGAAAGCATTGCATGTCAAGATATACTAATCAATCTTTACTAAATCTAAACTGTGTACAGAACTGAAGAAGTCACATAAGAAGTCAATATATATTAGCTTACATTCGCATAGAATATGTAGAACAGTATTATTCCAGTTAACGACAAGAGGTAAAATATGACTGTGAAAAACAGCAGACCTGAAAAACAGAAACAATTATAACTGTATGATATATTACCTTGTCATCAAAGCATCGTTTTCAGATAATATATAATGTTAATTCGAATGACGTCCGACTGGTTATATTGCCTTTAATTTAAACAGTTTGTTGTCTTTCATGCAAATAACCATTAATATATGGCCATATAACCTGTCAAATATTTTTTAACGCATTTATAATATTGCAAACTTCCATTTTTAGAGAAACTAGAAATGTGTCCATAGGACACGGATGCCCCCACACGCCACTGTTCTGTCAATCTTATGACTGTAGGTCAAATATTTTTTGGACTACATGTACCACAAGTTGAAAACTAAAAATCAGCAAAGGGCCATAATTCTGTTAAATTTGGTCACAGCAAAAATTCCTTCCTTTACTACCATCTACACATTAAGGTTGTTCATCCCTGGAAGTTTAAGCAAAATCTGCCACCCGGTTTAAGAGGAGTTGCGTTCACAAAATTTCTACATAGTATATAGTGAAAAAATCAACAAAGGGCCATAATTCTGTTAAATTTCTTTGCAGCAAAAATTCCTTCCTTTACTACCATCTACACATTAAGGTTGTTCATCCCTGGAAGTTTAAGCAAAATCTGCCATCCGGTTTAAGAGGAGTTGCGTTCACAAGATTTCGGGACGTACGGACAGACGGACGTCCGGACAGACGTACGGACACTCGGACGGACAAGTGCAACCCTATATGCTCTCACTCTGTGGGGGCATAAAAAAATTAGTTCATTAATTAACAGCAGCTATGTATATTTAACTATATAAATGTCACGAGTATCCTATGAAAATCAATGTTACAAACATGCAATATTATAAATGGCCATATAACAGGTCATACATCTTTACAACAAACATGTACTACAGCAAACTTCCTTTGAGATAAAAATGAATCTACTTCATAAATTGACAGCAGTTGTGTATATATATAATTATATAGGTTGTATAAACCTCATGATTATCCAATGAAAAGCGATGTTAAAATACATATATATTATTATTATTATGAACAGTGATTTCTTTCCATAAATTGTGAATGGGTCCGGTACTGTAAGATGTAACAATTGTGGGAAAAAATCCAAATTGTGAATTTGTTTCGTGACTTCGTGGCAATGAAAATTTACCCAAGTGACCCTTTTTCAGATATTTTACAAAGAATCTACCACTCTTTGAGGACATTTTTCGTCTATTACACTATAACCTGATGTTTACCTCATATTTATATCAGATATGTTTGCAATGTACATCTTGATCAGAATATGTTCTAAATTTTTAACCAGTTTGCAGAAAAATGTCTTTCATTATTCAGTAATGTACGACTGAAAGATTAATCTAAATTTATTCAGAAAGTTTAGATTATCAAAAATACTGCTGCAAATTCAAATAAATTTGGGTTTTATTTAAATAAAAGACCGTGGTTTAACATATAGTTTTGCCATTTCGGACATTTACTCGATTAAACTGTGATAAAAAATATCTGTGAATCAAACTGGAAGCAATTCAACTTTCGGTTTGAATATCAGCAGTAAGATAACGTTTAAATTTTAAATATTATGAAAAAGACGGAATTGTAAGTTTAATTTATGTACATTGTGAATTTTTGCAGAATTGTGAATGGGTCCATCTGACCCAGTCTGAAAATTGTGAAAGATCGTTCGTGATTGTGAATGGGTCCGTTATTTGGTACCACTTATATAAGGAAAAAAATTGCTGATGAAGCAAGTGAAAAACTCACATAAGTAACAGATAAAAATACTTTCAATATGTGAATAATTGTAACACTGAATTATTAGAATTTACAATACATCCATATAACAAGATATGTTTGTAAAACATGTATGCCCCCTATCTGCAGCCAGTTAGTCATGTGATAAGGTTATTATGCATGACTTCTGACCCAGTGATCAAACAATTAATAAGGGTTATCAAGTATCTACTGGTCATGACCTTAACCTTTGACCCCTTGACCCAAAATTCAATAGGGGTCATCTGCTGGTCATGACCAATCATCATACAAAGTTTGTAGTTCCTAGGCCTAAGCGTTTTTAGTTAATTGATCGGAAACCATTTTTACCTACAAGATCAATGTGACCTTGACCTTTGACCCCTTTACCCAAAATCAATAGGTCATCTGCTGGTCATGACCAATCACCATACCAAGTTTGAAGTTCCTAGGCCTAAGGGTCCTTTAGTTATTGATCGGAAACAGTTTTTACATACAAGGTCAATGTGACCTTGACCTTTGACCCCAAAATCAATAGGGGTCATCTGCTGGTCATGACCAATCACCATGCCAAGTTTGAAGTTCCTAGGCCGAAGCGTTCTTAAGTTATTGATCAGAAACCGTTTTTACTTACAATGTCAATGTGACCTTGACCTTTGACCCCTTGATCCCAAAATCAATAGGAGTAATCTGCTGGTCATGACAAATCACCATACCAAGTTTGAAGTTCCTAGGCCTAAGCATTCTTAAGTTTTTGATCAGAAACCATTTTTACTTACAAGGTCAATTTGACCTTGACCTTTGACCCCTTGACCCAAAACTCAATAGGGGTCATCTGCTGGTCACGACCAATCATCATACAAAGTTTGAAGTTCCTAGGCCTAAGCGTTTTTAGTTAATTGATCGGAAACCATTTTTACCTACAAGGTCAATGTGACCTTGACCTTTGACCCCTTGACCCCAAAATCAATAGGTCATCTGCTGGTCATGACCAATCACCTTACCAAGTTTGAAGTTCCTTAGCCGAAGGGTTCTTAAGTTATTGATTGTAAAGCATTTTTACCTACAAGGTCAATATAACCTTGCCCTTTGACCCCTTAACCCCAATATCAATAGGGGTCATCTGCTGGTCATGACCAATCACCATACCAAGTTTGAAGTTCCTAGGCCTAAGGGTTCTTAAGTTATTGATCGCAAACCGTTTTAACCTAAGAGGTCAATGTGACCTTGACCTTTGACCCCTTGACCCCAAAATCAATAGGGGTCATCTTCTGATCATGACCAATCACCATATCAAGTTTGAAGTTCTTAGGCCTAAGGGTTCATCGTTATTGATCAGAAACCGTTTTACCTACAAGGTCAATGTGACCTTGACCTTTGACCCCTTAACCCCAAAATCAATAGGGGTCATTTGCTGGTCATAACCAATCACCATACCAAGTTTGAAGTTCCTAGGCCTAAGGGTTCTTTTGTTATTTGTCAGAAACCGTTTTTACCCAAGAGGTCAATGTGACCTTGACCTTTGACCCCTTGACCCCAAAATCAATAGGGGTCATCTACTGATCATGACCAATCACCATACCAAGTTTGAAGTTCCTAGGCCTTAAGGTTCTTTAGTTATTGATCGGAAACCGTTTTTGCTTACAAGGTCAATGTGACCTTGACCTTTGACCCCTTGACCCCAAAATCAATAGGGGTCATCTACTGATCATGACCAATCACCATACCAAGTTTGAAGTTCCTAGGCCTTATGGTTCTTTAGTTATTGATTGGAAACCGTTTTTGCTTACAAGGTCAATGTGACCTTGACCTTTGACCCCTTGACCCCAAAATCAATAGGGGTCATCTACTGGTCATGACCAATCACCATACCAAGTTTGAAGTTCCTAGGCCTAAGGGTTCTTTAGTTATCACTCGGAAACCATTTGGTCTACGGACCGACGGACTTCGAAATGGGGGCATAATTATGAAGAAGTGATTCACTGTGTAATCAAAATATTGAAGAGAACATAATTTTTTTATTTGCATACCCAAATTCAAAACCTTGAAATACATAATTTCCTTGTTAAAGACTTGATTTACTAATTTACCATAATAATAGCATTTAGCTTCAGTTTCCTCGTATTGTTCAACCCAGCTTTCACTCCAGCCATGTGCAAAATCAATCAACAAGATCAACTGTATCAGTATAAACAGGAACGCTCCAATCAACCCTATCCACATCCACGCTGTAAATATTCATAAATCAACATCACAATCTTACAGTACCTTTGTAAATAATGTAAAATACAAATTATTATTGAGTTGCTTAGATGAAATTACTGTTTGTGACATTTATATGCCCATTCAAGTGGAAATGGTGAATGTATGGGTAAAAGTCAAAGTAACTTTACATTTTGCTACTATTGTTTTCAATTTTATAATCCACTTTGCATGAATGTCCAATAGTCCATGGGACAAACGTAGGTTTCTACAAGTATCTTCTAGAAACTATCATTATGTTCTGTTGATAAAAAAAGTGCGGCAGTTGTCTTAGATTTAAAGGAGTATTGACATTTATCCCAAACATCTGTCATTATCATTAATTGCTTAATCACCATTATAGTAGCCAGCCTTTTGATGTAGAGTCCTAATTAAGCTCAATTCAACAGCAATTTTATATGCATAATGTCACTTTAACAATAATTAGAGTTTAAAATTATTTTTTGTCCAATAGGATTGCAGTATTTCAAATGAATCGTAAAACATTAACTTTGGTAAATCAGAAAACTATGAATCAGTCTAGTAAATTGATTGTTAATAAAAGTAATTTAAAACACTAAGCAAGTTAAACTTTATTAGTATGTATTTACAGAATTAAATTAGCCTGACCAATTTAATGTTGTAAATATGTACTAACAAACTTTAACCTACACTTAAATCATAACATTGAATGGTAGAATACTAATGTTTGAGTTATTAAGATTTTTTAACCAACATAGTGACAATGGGTTCATATTGAAATTATATATATATATTGCATTACAAAATGAGCTCAAACAACTCAATTTCCTAGCATAATAAAATGTATACTTGAAAATATAATTTCAAGTCCTGTCAAATTTTTTTAGAAAAGTTAAGTCCATTTAATGTCATTTACGAAACTTGTTTCGCAACCAAGCTAACATATTAATTTTGGTATAACAAACCTTTGCCAAAGTCTCCTCTAGGAATGAAGAATGCACCAACACATATTCCGATCATTATAAGGACCTTGAAGAGCCAAAACCTACAAAATCAAAATAATATCTTTGCAACAAATTGAACAATTCACATCTTAACAGCTATGATCTGATTATTGTGTTAAAGTATCAGGGGAAGTCTTTTTTAAACCATAACTATCTCATACCAGATAGCGTCATTTTAAAAACTGCTTCCAAAACTTCCAAACAATTTATTCCTTTAAAAAAAATCAATTAAAAGTCAGAATTTTTAGTATTATAAAGCTATACATCACTTGCTTATAATTTCACAAAAATCATAGTTTAAAATTTTCAAAAAAAAAAAAAATATGAAAGAAATATGTTTGTATACAATGTAATACATTCCCTTACGAACAAATGGTGCACGCACATAACCCTTGCTAAACAGTTACAACCCTACTTAAAGTGGCAGTGTAATATTTTGTTCTAAAACTGTTTACATACAATATAAGTGTTAAGTATCAGAAATATTCTATTTTACAACTTTTTCATAAAATTATTGAAGCTACATGTGTACATACTTTTACCTTTATGGATTTTATAAAAACATGTCATTATATATATAGCTTTAAATCTTTTAACAGGATTTCGAATTTTTCATTGATTGAAATAATGGTAAAAGATGCAACAATTATAACTATCTTATATTAATATCATGGATGATATCACTTACCCGTTCTGGATCTTTGACCGAGGATCCTTTGACGAGCTCACCTTGATCATGATAACACAGAACAGGAAGAAAAACGCCGCCATAGAGAAACAGACACGATACACGGCAAGGTATCCAACCACTTCATCACATTGCTGCTCCTTTAATAACTGAGTGTTCCACACATGCTCTCCAACAAAACTTTTACACAATCCTGGAATCTGCAGAGAAAAATCATAATTCAACATCTACATTTATGCAAATTTATAGACATAAGGTAAGTGCAAGTTAAAAAGAACTACAAGACTGAGATAAAAGTTAAAAACAAAGCTGACTTAGAACTGGTAAAAAGGATGCAGCTGCCCAGTAAAGAGGTCTAAACTGGGACTAGCTTGTAAGGACAAGGGTAGGCCATTCCACAGACAAATACTTCTGGGGAAAAATAAATAGGAGTGGTATTGTGTCCTTCAATATTGTATTAGGAAGTTCAGGTTTCTAGTAGGTGTCACATGGTGATGGTCGACACTCAAAAGATTGTGTTGGATTTTTTAGAGAAGGGTAACAGAGCTGATGTTATGCCTCTGTTCTAGGGTTTGCCAATTAAGTTCACTCATCATTTTAGATACACTACTGTTGTAATTGTTGTCATTGTATACATATCTGGCAGCTGACCTTTGAACTTGTTCTATTTAGTAAACCAGATATTTTTGCCAAGGATGCCAAACCTTGGAACAGTATTCTAACTGGGGCCTTACATAAGTTTTGTAGGCAGTTTCTTTGACCTTTTATTTGAAATTTTGACATTTTTTTTTTTTATAAATCTGAGTGAATTATTTGCTTTTGCTGTCATGTCCAGGATAGATCTTTACTAATTGTTACGCCTAAATATTTTGCAGCCTCAGTGGATTTTAATTGTTGACCATGTAAATTATGGATTAAACACAGATTAATTTATAAGACTGTCTCATCGCATTTTCTCATGTCATCACAAATGTTTCATAAAACACAAAATATTCCTTAACAGAAATTTCTATGAAAAACTATACTGAAAATTATTTCACTTTGAGCCAAATGGCCACATATCCAAGAGACTATGTGAGAAGTATAATTAGCAATTAAATAAGTAAACTAAAATTGCCTTTATGACAAAGTATAAAACATTTTTGAACAACAAAAGATCCGAAAGGCTATACTTCAACCCATTAGCATAATTAGGAAACTTGGTAGAGGTCTCTTAAACCATGTTATACATATCAAATATTTTAATTTGCAAGACTATAATCGTTACCAAATAAAATAGAAAGAAGAGGCAACAGAGCTTTCAAGAAACTTATAGAAAGTCAAATTACACAGAACATATCTAAACTCAAACTATGGAAGTTTCTATTGCAATTTTAGTTAAAAAAAATTTCAAACCAACGATTATGACTTCTGGATAAAACTAAAAAAAAAATGAGCTGCTGAGACTGTATTTATAGTCTCTGTATACTTTTAATTGACAATTTACATTTCCAAAGAAACATGAACAATTTCTATGGTTTCCAGTTTTTAAATAAAAATTTATCTTATAAACTAGTAAGAAATTATTTCACATACATCGTCTAGCTTTTCCCTCAGACCTGGAGCCAGCATCACAGCTGCTACAATGGTTCCAAAAAGAAGCATCATAGAGTAGGCAATTCTTGTAGATGTAGAATTCTTACATGATGGACATGCAGCACAACACAGACTGCAAGCTGCACTGCCAACACAACATGCCAACTGAAAATATTGTTAAAATGTACATTTATTCTTCAAAAAAGCAAACCACAAAATGATAAATAATAATTTATAGCAATTTTTTAACCTCAGAGGTATTCAAACAAGTTTTGCCTAAAAAGGGGCTGGGGCTGACAACCCTTTCGATAAAGAGCCATCTTTTACAATGTGGAAATAGAATCAAATCGTGAGCAAAGGATACAATGTTGTAGCCACATGTTATTGTCAGCTCTACAGCCCACAAACTAATTATCTTGTGCACACAACTTAGAAACTTGTAGCCACAACATAGAATATTGTGCGCATGAGATAAATAAAAACACACCGTATAATAGTATGTGACTGTGTGAATTGTGATTATATTCAAGACCTCATTTTAAGACTTTGCTTAATTCATATCGAAAGTCTCTGCATTAAAAGAGCATGTTACAGAATCACTAGTCCTTCAATGAAAGACATCTCATTTTCTTTTTTTTACAGTTTTAATGCGAAGTCTTTCCCTAATCGGCTAATTTCCTATAGCACAAATAGACACACTTTTCGAGTCCATTTGAATTTACCGGTAAATCACAACTTAAATGTTATTTATCACAAAAGCAACTGATTCCATAAAAAACGGAAGCATATTTTCTCAAAAACGGTATAAATATGCAAAAATTACTCATGATAAGTAATTTATTTATCCATATATTTAATAAGACACATGAAAGACATTTTGTGTTGACCCCCCAATATTGGAAAATCCCGGTCACACTGTGATGTCACTCAAAAACAATAATACGAAATGAGTCGGAATGAATTTTTTCTGTTCTGGTTTAAAGCGCTGACAGATACAGGCATTAAAAATTTCATCTAAACAATTTGGTTCCTCACCGCTATGCGTAGTACACACCAATATGGAGGCTGTTTACACGTTTTTAAACAGGATTGGGTAAAATTGTTTAAAAGTTGAATTCATTAAGTTGTTTTTTTAGAAGGAAAATACACATTTGTGGTTAGCTTAAGGTCTTAAGCGTACCCGTTTATATACTACGGCATGACGTGAATGCTGAAGACAGACCCATAGGGAAACTCCACCGATAATCGTGCCAGGAATCTGACCCGCTCGTATTCATTCATCGAACATGCCATAAAGTAAAGTGAAGCATATCTTGATAAAACTATTATATAATCTGTTGATAAGCCAAGGATGGACAAATAAAACTCTTATTACGAACATAAACTACCTAATAGTTTCTGACAGGTAAAAAATTCAGCACTTGGCCGCCATATTGTCAAAATGTTTGACCACGTGATTACGAGATTGACCTTTACGAACCCATGTGCTTCCAACTTTTTTTATAAATTAATTTTTTTAAAGATATTGAAAAAGGTGATTTACTGACTTTTGATTTAATATAATCATATTTAAGTACTAAAAAATTAAAGAAAATAAATAAAAACATTATCTAAATATTGAGATCATGTCAACAAAGCTGTTCTAAATATAGTACACAACTTTACTCTAATCGGTTCCCGAGAATGATGTCATACAAGGTCTCGCGTGGCACCTAAATGTCATGGCCTACTGTACTTGGCGTATAAATTGATGTTTTACAGTTAAAATAGGCAATTTCAATGACGGTATTAATATTTTTATACTTTAAATGGTATAGACCAATACTAAAATAATTGCTTTATCGCAAAATGCACAAGAATTGATTGGGACAAGGGTATTTGCAAGTGAAAATAAGGTCAAATCCATTTATGTTATTCTGGTTAGGTTTCGTAACTGGTCTAACCCAAAACTTTATAAAGTTTTGGAAGCCAGAACTAATTTGTGGTAAGATTATGAATACCATTGACTGCTACTGAGCATTATTTGTAACATTTTACATGGGAATTTTGAATGATTGTTCTTGTTTATTGTTTTTCATTTTGCTATGGACTTTTAAATAGATATATTTAGACGTTTAATTAATTACAATTATTGTTCCTTAGAAAACATTATTTTTTTATCTTAATTAAACTATACGTATTTTTTTCAAGGTGTAATTATTTAACTATTTATAGCTTTATGTAAGTAATCAGGGCCAAAAAACCATTCTTTGTAGAGGCCGAATATAGGCTGCTTCCCCAACCAAACTAGCCTCTTTTTTCCCCAGTTTCGTCCTCAAAATTCCCCAGTAAGCAGTCTTTTGAAATTTCCCATAGGATTTAGAATGGTGTTGAATTAAGGTCTTATTAGTATTTCCCAGTGCTTTTTGCTTTTCTATTTTAAAGAACTTGTTAAAAGTTTATTTTAAATTTGAGACCCCTTTTCCCAAAGTATGCCAAAATCACGCATATTTTCCCCAAGAAAAAGGCTGAGGCCCCTTCCCCAAAAATGGTGTTTTGGCCCTGGTAATATCAGAGAAAACTTCAAAAGATTTTTTTTAAAAACGGTTTGCTATAATCTCCTGATAATATTTTTAATTATTACTGTTATTAGATGCTAGATGTTATAAAAGTGATTGAAAGACTGAAACCAAATAATAAATGCTATGTACCTGCTATATATTTACAGAGCAACAGATAAGCTTTAAAATTGAATTGGGTATTACTCCATCATTTCCTTTGGAATTGGGTATTGGCTCCATTTAATTGGGTATTCCAAAGCTCTATACCCTATGATTTCAAGATTAATTGGGTATTCAATTATGAAGATATGAATTTTATGGTTTCAATATCAATAACATTTAAACTTTTTTAAAAATAAAATAGGATTAACAATTTACTAGAACTTTTCACAATTGTTTTATTTTTTATATAAAATGCTCATGTTATATTCCATAATATTTTTAACAAGTTCGTTTTCTGACTGATTTTTGATTTACGACTGTTTTGTTGCAAATCATTTTCCTTTTTGTACGACGCCATTTTGCTTTTAAAGCATCTATTGATACAGCTGGGACCTACTTATTGACGGTCTCCGCAAAATCAACGGTCTCTGCCGGTCTGTAAAGACCGTTGACCTGATTAGACAAATCGGCGGGCTCATGCTTTATTGATATGGCTTAGTCGGTCTTTTGAGACTGGGGACCGTTGAAGACCGGAGACCGTTGATTAGTTAGCATTGATTCGGGAATATTCGGATAGCATGCATATCGATATAATTTGTCCAAAACTACGAGCGTACGACAGATTAATTTTGTGGTGATGAAAATGACAATACGCACGGGTTTTTAAGACAATAGTGTATTTTATTTTTTTTTAATGGGTTTTGATACGCATTCTTTAAAAATCAATTGCGTATTTTATAAAATTAATTGCGTAAATACGCAAATACGCACCTTATCTGTTGCTCTGCCTGGTATATATTTATTAATTAGTTTAATCAAACAATGTTGACAGTGACAAAAGAATTATAGATATTATGGCTTCTGTTTTCTTTTAATTGTAAAAATACATGACCGAATGTTTTGATTTTCACGTGCATGAACAACTAACTTTCCTTACCTGATAATTAAATGTGTTAGATTTTTCAATATCAAGGAAATTGTCATTTATGATTATTATAATTGAAATTTTAATATACCCGTTTAAAACACAGTACTTATTCTGGGGCCGATTTGGTAAAGGGCCGAAACCTCTTCAATCTTGGGTAAATTGGGGCCGATATGTCTTGGCGAAATCAAATATTTGGACTACAGAATCAGGCTATACCCTGGATTAGACCCCGAGGTCTAAACCAGGAGTTTATATAAGGTTCATTCCGTTTTCTTTAGTGTATTATATACAAGTTTTACACATGAAAACTACATTGGGGTCTAATCCATTAGATTGCAGAATCACATGCTCAATAATAATAATTTTGACAATGTCCCCTTAATCTGTTAACAGTAAACTACTTTCTATATCCCCGACAATTTTTTTTCAATTCACTCTCTTTGTTTCAAGTGCTATGCAAAGTCACTGGAAGAAATAAAGATATGCACCCGGAAACAAAAATGGGTTTGTTTACAATTTGAGGATCAAATTATCATGAAAATTTTCAGGTTTTCCTATTATCGCAACGGTATTAAATCTACAAATTATGAAATTTTCAGAAAATAAAACTTACACCTCCAATTATACAGCCCATTTTGGCTTTTTCGTTTCAAAATGCGATCAAACAATAAATGCTAAGTCGATGATTAATTTGTCACAAGATTTTGCGTTTCTATTTTTGTTGACAAAATGTCTTCTCTGACGTCAATTGACTGGTTTACCACACAGGGTACCACTAAAATATGCAACGGAGATTTTTTTGGTGCAACGGACCCAACGGGCGCAACGGAGATATTTTTTTTTAGAAAAACCGGCACAACGCCTTTATTAGGGTTGTGCCTGGCGAAATGGAAATTTCATGGCGCAACGGAGATATTTTTAGAAAAAATCGACACAATGTCCTTTTTTTAAGTCAATATGCTATATTTGAGCATCTAAAATGATTGTTTATACAATACAATACAATACAATACAATACACAATACAATACAATCAAGTCAAGTCAAGTCAAGTAAATTTTATTTATAAGTCGGATACATCAACAATAAACATAAGCTCTGATGAGCTTTTTACACCGACTACAATAATATAAAACACATGTTTAAGATATGATAAATGACGAAAATGGTTATGATAAAATAAGACAAATAGCATTGCATTAACAAATAGAGTAGACAAACAGCACTGTACTAGCATTCATCAGTAGCATACAAAAGTAAGAGGTAATACATATTAGATCTAATAAAAAAATCCATTAATATACATACTAAAGGTTAAGATCACACATCACAGCTTATATAAAACACACAAACATTTAAGCAGAGGAACATCAGGCATACATACACACAATAAAATGCATAGACAAACCAACTTATAAAAAGAGCAAATTATATATAAATAAATAAAACATGGTTAGGACTAAGCAATAGAATGTCAAGGTTAAAATATGCATGATGAACATCAATCCTGACATTAACATACACACAAACATTCAAGTTATACATGTATATAAAAGATGATACATATAGCACATAAAAAATAGAAATAAATCTATTACAATAAAAGCACACAAAAGCATAGCACATAAAAAACAGAAATAAATCTATCACATTAAAAGCACACAAAAGCAGCTCATATAAGATAATTAAAACAAGCACAGTGATGAAACAAATGCAAAGCAAAAGTAATTAAAAACTTGAAACATCCAGCATGTCGCTGCCAACATTTTTTTTTTTTTGATGATGTACATGCGTTATGTGATATTACATGAAGTACAGGAGCAGTTCTCCCCTTGCCAAGTATTTATCAATGATCTAAAATGGTTAAAAGATGAAGTTTGTCTAAAATTATCTGGAAGTTGATTCCAAAGTTTGGCAGCGGCATACCGGAAAGATTTCTTACCATATCTGTCAGTTCTTGGTAAAGGTACCTCAACAATATTGGTGTGTCTAAAATTATATTTCGAATGTTTAAGATGTAGTAAATCATTTAAATAAACAGGAGACATATCATTTAGAATTTTGTATGTTTCTAAAGCAATTGCTCTTAATCTCCTAACTTTCAAAGAAATAAGGCCGGACTTCTCAAGTAGTTGATCATAGTTACTGTTAAAATCATCATAAATAAATCTCAAAGCTCTTTCCTGAATTTTTTCTATTTTCCTAGTGTTTGATTCATTGGTAAAATGCCAAATAAGAGGACAATAATTAAAGTTTGACATGACAAAAGAGTAGTATATTGTGAGTCTGCTTAACCTATTAAGATGTTTACCAATTCTCTTTAGTACATTCAGTTGTTTAGAGGCTTTCCTACATATATTTGACACATGTGAATTAAAATTTAACATAAAATCTAAGTTTACACCAAGCAGCTTTACTTCATCATCAGATGATATTTCTATATTTTTGAATTTAAAATTAATTTTCTGCTGGTGGGTTTTCTTCCCAGAGCTATTGTCTTGAACTTCTCAGGGTTAGCCTTCATTTGATTTTTTGAGAACCAGTCTATCAAAGTTAAACTATCTTTTTCTAAAGTGCTAACTAGGTCTGTTTTACAAGTGTTTGAGTAAGAAAGAGTGTTATCATCCGCATAATTATACAGTTGACTTTTATTTATTGTACAATACAATACAATATCTTTATTTCACTCAAGACATGCACAATATATACATGACAACATGAGGTAAATAATACAATAGATATAAATCGAGGCACCAATCAATCATAAATCCACATGGACCGAAAGATCGAAGTTCTATAAAATAAATAATTATGTCTATACTAATTTATAGCGTCATTCTCGAAAACAGTGAATGAAAATAAAAAACACAGAAAACAAATACAATCATACATAATTGTTCATATGGCATAATATATTTTAAACATGCTAAATCTGTGCGTAATTTCAGTCTAAATAGTGACGAAGAAAAAAAAGAAAAAGAAGAAAATTAGATGATATTTCTCAGGATATTTCTCACCAAAAATATGTTTAATTGCACTGAAGAGTTATATATGACTGGCGAAATGGAAATTTCATGGCGCAACGGAGATACTTTTGGAAAACACCAATGTTATTTGAATAAATAAATTTAAAAAAAAGATATAAAAACCTTAATCATATACCAAATAGCTGCAATTTTAATGTTGTAAAGGATTGTGTGCCGGCGAAATGGACATTTTGTCTGGGAAACGGAGATTTTTTTGGCGCAACGGAATTTAAAAAGAAAACAACGTTTGTCCTAAATAGCTGAATTACTGAAGTGGTGTAATAAAAGTTTGTTTTATGAATTTAAAAAAAAAATGGAATTAAATATTGTTTTGAAAGATTATATGAAAATGGACTTATCCGCGGCGCAATTAACGGAGATATATTTCAGCGCAATGGAGAATTTTAGCATCATATTGAAAGTCTGTCTTTAAATTACAATCTTTCGAAAATGGATGTATTATCGACGCAAAGAAGACTATGTCGTTGCGCAACGAAGTTTTTTTCTACATATAAATAACACACTGCGCTTTATAGAGACAAGATATATAAACGAAATCAAGTAGAAGTAATGAATACAGTATCACAATGGAAGGAAAAGTATTAGTGACTAAGTGGTTTATGTATTTTCCTCTCAACCAATGTTCGCGGCCATTCTTCCACGTACAGTACCCGTTATTATCAGGGATCGGGCATGAGAGTGTGGTTCTAATATAAAAAGGATAATTTTTGGTACCATTCATACTTGGTTAGACCACTTGGATAGGTAGGTTCAATAACCTTGACATAGCGATAAATCTTATCATGGACAAGTATGTTCCCTGTTGAGCACAATCTATACAGTCTTTATCCAATTCTGAACCCAATAAATGAAGGCGTTTGTACTACGGATGTAGTAGGATTTTTTTTTATTTATTTTCCGCCATTTCAATACAACATCTGTAATCAGATTAAACAATATTCCTTTACATATACATAGGTTATGACCGTAATAAAAAGACAGTATGATGTATTTTACTAACAAATTACTAAAGGATTCTCAATGCGTGATTAACAATTTAATACTAGCTAGAATATTTTTTCGTCATTATCCAGAATGCCTTTATATATATATATAACAATCACCATCGAGTGTGCTCTTTAAGGCTGTTTTCTCAGACACATGATAATGTGCCAGGAGCGTGTCGGAAACGTAGTCTTGAGTGTGGTTATTAAAATCATTATGTAGATTTGTGTACACAGGTACACGTTTCATGAACCAATGTTACCTTTCTACGGCTTTGGTAAGACCGTTCATTCCAAATTTGGCTGCCCGAAATTTAACAGTTTTCGATTAAATATATTTATAATTTATTTATGTCAATATTTATAATTTGGTTCTTTAAAATATTAATAGTAAACCTGTAGATTTAACTCCCTTCTTTATTATGGCATTTCTATCACACAATAATTTTCGAATCATTATAGTCTCTTTGTAATTACATGTACAAAATAAACAGGTTATAACTTCTGGACTCTTAATAGGGAACGTAGCTTTACATATTCAGTATATTTTTTCAATTATTTCATTTTAAATTGCGCTAAAAATATAATATAGTGTTAAAGGGACATACCTGTTTCAGTCTTTCTAAACACATCAGGTAATCGAAGCTATTTCTACATGTGGAGCATAGGTAAGGCAATTTAATACGAGCTGCCCAAACTTTACTCATCACGGCAGAGAAATGACTCCACGTGTTACAGGTCTGAAAACCATTAATTAGTTTGATTATTATAAAGGAGAAGAATAAATATACTTTATGTGTTAAAAGTCACAATGCGATAAAATGAAATACACAATCAATTAAAATCTAAGTACACTACATGTCATTTATTATAAAAGTTATGTATATGACATGTCCCACAAGCTAACATCATTATTTTTTATGAAAGATTGTAAAATAAAAATTAAAAAAAATTAGGGTACGTATGGCATGTTAAACGTTGCAATATTCAATTAATTACATTTTTGTTCTATATCCAATATTTATATTGTATAACTCTAATTATGCCCCCATTTCGAAGAAAAGGGGGTATATTGCTTTGCACTTGTCGGTCCGTCGGTCCGTCGGTCCGTAGACCAAATGGTTTCCGAGTGATAACTAAAGAACCCTTAGGCCTAGGAACTTCAAACTTGGTATGGTGATTGGTCATGACAAGTAGATGACCCCTATTGATTTTGGGGTCAATGGGTCAAAGGTCAAGGTCACATTGACCTTGTAAGCAAAAACGGTTTCCGATCAATAACTAAAGAACCTTAAGGCCTAGGAACTTCAAACTTGGTATGGTGATTGGTCATGATCAGTAGATGACCCCTATTGATTTTGGGGTCAAGGGGTCAAAGGTCAAGGTCACATTGACCTTGTAAGGAAAAACGGTTTCCGATCAATAACTAAAGAACCTTAAGGCCTAGGAACTTCAAACTTGGTATGGTGATTGGTCATGATTAGTAGATGACCCCTATTGATTTTGGGGTCAAGGGGTCAAAGGTCAAGGTCACATTGACCTTGTAAGGAAAAACGGTTTCCGATCAATAACTAAAGAACTTTAAGGCCTAGGAACTTCAAACTTGGTATGGTGATTGGTCATGATCAGTAGATGACCCCTATTGATTTTGGGGTCAAGGGGTCAAAGGTCAAGGTCACATTGACCTTGTAAGCAAAAACGGTTTCCGATCAATAACTAAAGAACTTTTAGGC